GCAAGCAGGTTGCTCCCCAGGTGTTTTGGACAGTAACTGCCATCAGCCCCACCCAGAGGAAAACAAGCAGACCCAGCCAACAGATTCATAGTGGCTAATAATAATAAGGGATATCCAAAGTTAATCATAATTGTAGTAGACCCACTGGGCATAGTGAAACTGCAGCACTCGCTCCCACTGAAGGCATTGATGGCCATCAAACGGGCTGGCGTTGAAAGAGGTTACAAATTCATGGAGGAGAGGGCTATTGGTGGCTACTAGCCATGATTGCTCTGCCCTGCCTCCATGGCTGGAGGCATCAATGCTTCTGAATACCAATTCCTGGGAAGCACAGGAGGGGAGAGAGTCCTCTTATGCTCAGGTCCTGCTTGCGGGTTTCCCAATGGGGCATCTGGTTGGCCCCTGTGAGAACAGGATGCTGGACTAGATGGGCCATTGGCCTGATCCTGCGGTGCTCTTCCTATGTTCTTATATTCTGCTGAAATCAATGTTAAATCAGTTGATTTTAATAGGCCTACTCTAACTTACTTGGGTATCATCACCATCGTAGTATTTTAAAGCTTTGTAGTAGTAGTAGTAGTAGTAGTAATTTATTATTTATACCCCCACCCATCTGGCTGAGTTTCCCCAGCCACTCTGGGCGGCTCCCAATCGAGTGTTAAAAACAATACAGCATTAAATATTAAAAACTTCCCTAAACAGGGCTGCCTTCAGATGTCTTTTAAAGATAAGATAGCTGCTTATTTCCTTCACATCTGAAGGGAGGGTGTTCCACCGGGCAGGCGCCACTACCGAGAAGGCCCTCTGTCTGGTTCCCCGTAACCTCACTTCTCGCAATGAGGGAACCGCCAGAAGGCCCTCAGCGCTGGATCTCAGTGTCCAGGCTGAACGATGGGGGTGGAGACGCTCCTTCAGGTATATTTTATTAAGGGTACACCCCATCCTAGCACTGTTCCATTTGATTCCAGTGGGGTCTGAGCAGGAGGTTCTGGTGGTTTCTGTCCACAGTTATCTAGTGATACTAAAATCTATGACTCCGGCCTTCGTCACACGGTGGAGACCCTGTTAACTCCATAGACCGCAGTTCATTCTTATTTGTGTGCAGTCAGGTGCATTTCCAGAGGGAATTGAGGAGAACCAAGCTGAGCCCCCACACTCCCCATTGGAGTAAGCCCTTCTGCAAACGCTTCGCTCCCTCTCAGCCTTGCCTAGAGCTCCAAGTGCTCAGGCATGTGCTTTATCGGGAAGTGCTGACAAGTGTTATGCTGTAAGAAGATTTCCAGAGTCCCTGTCATTTCCTCCGCAGGCTGCCACCCTGCCTTGTCCTCAGGGCTCTGTCTCGCTTCATCACAGTTTTCTCCTTGATGTAAAGCAGAGGTGCAATGGCCGGTGGTTCTGAGAGGATGGGGGCAGGGGAGAGAATGACAGGAAGAGCACAGATTTCCGGATTGGCCGCCTCAGAGTTCCCTTCACATCATTCTTCCCTGAGGATGTGGAGGCAGGGAGGTGGGTTGAGCAGAGGTGTCCTGAACTTGACAACAGCACCTGGGGAGGATCTGCAGGAGGTAATGAGCCATCAAATCTACCAGAGCACCCCTTTTTTGTAGCCATGGTGGCTCTGCTCCACAATCACAGGAATCACTGTGCTTCTGAATGCCAGTGCTGCAAATCCATCCAAACTCAGTTTAAGACCCTCCTATGAAGCAGAGGCCACCACCTTCTGAGGTGATTTGTTACTCTGTCAAACAGCTCTTGCTGTCAGAAAGTTCTTCCTGATGTTTAATCGGAATCTCCTCTCCTTTCTTGTACAGTCATACCTCGGGTTGAAGTAGCTTCATGTTAAGTATTTTCGGGTTGCGCTCCACGGTGACCTGGAAGTAACGGAGTGCATTACTTCCAGGTTTCGCCACTTGCGCATGTGCAGACGGTCAAAATGACGTCACACGCATGGGTGGAAGCGGCAAATCGCATCCCAAGCACACGCAGACGTGAGGACACAGGTTGCATTCGCTTCAGGATGCAAACGGGGCTCCAGAACGGATCCCGTTCACATCCAGAGATACCACTGTACTTTGAATCCATTGGTTCGGATTCTACTCCCTGGAGCAGCAGAAAACAAGCCTAGGCCATCTTCCATGTGACAGCCCTTCAGATATTTCAAGTTGCCTCTCATTCCATTTCTCAGTCTTCTCTTCTCTAACCTAAACATACCGTATTTTTCACCCTATAGGATGCACTTTTTCCCCTCCAAAAATGAAGGGGAAATGTGTGTGCGTCCTATGGGGCGAATGCAGGCTTCAGGAAGCTCTCCGCAAGCCTTGGGAGCCCGCGGGAGTTCCCGTCGGGCTCCCTAGGCTTGCAGATAGCAGCCTGCATCTTGAAGCCTGGGGCGCGCTGCACAGCGCGCCCCCGGCTTCGGTTCCCCGACCTGGTTTGGAGGCTGGCGGTGGGGAGAAGCGCGCTTCTCCCTGCCGCCAGCCCCACAAGCTCGGGGGACAGTAGGGAGGCGGAACGCCGCCATCCCGCTGTCCCCCGACCTGGTTTGGGCTTCAGGCAGATATCCGCAAGGCGTGGGAGCCCGGTGGGAAGTCGCGCCGGTCTCCCAAGGCTTGCGGAGAGCTGCCTGTTCTGGGGGGAAAATAATTTTTTTTCCCTTTATTTCCCCCCCAAAAAACTAGGTGCGTCCTATGGACCGGCGCGTCCTATGGGCCGGTGCACCCTATGGGGCGAAAAATACGGTACCTTATGCTCTTATGTCCTTAAATGAAAATAAAAGCTGTGAATGCATATTGCAGGGGGTAGGGGGGCATTCTCTACCTAGAAAGCAAGCAGTCAGTTGGCTACTTGGCTCAGTTGTCATGTACTCTGACTGAAAAGTTTAGCCTCGCTGGCATTTTCGGTATCTCATGTTTTGACTCCAGTAATTTCGGCTTTGTTATGTGTCTGTGCAAATCGATAACTTCTGCAGTGAGGCTAGAAGTCAGAAAATTGATTCACTTTGTGATTAAAGGGGAATACCTAATTTGTGCTTTCTCCTTGCCAATTCACTCAGTTTGGAAAGATCCTCATCCTGCTCCTTGAAGTCCCTTTTATTCTTTTTTTTTTAAAAAATCAACTTTTCTCTATCTCCCCTGTGTCAAAATCTAGATTGCATTCTCCCTGGAGCAGAGACCTTCCCTCTTGCATGTGCAGCTTGAAAAACTCAGCTTTTTCTGCCCCAGAGTTGGTGTTTGCAGCTGGTACATGGTACGTGAGTGTTTTTACTGTTTAGCACAGATCACGCAGCCCGGGTGTTGAGCATGCTTGTCAGGGGCCTTCCAAAGCTGGCTGCTTTTCTAGCCTTCCTCCAGGCAGGCCTAAATATTATTTTAATGCATTTCTCTTTTCATAATTAACTTTCATCTTCGTACAATGCCAGCCAAGCTGGCGATCATGGCAATAAAAGGATGATTATGCAAACGCTTCCCCACTGCGCTGGTGCAGCCAGTTCCAAAGTGCTGGAGGAAGACCTAGCTGCTGCGCAGTGCGGAGCCATTTATTTGCTCTGCACCCTGCGTGCGAACGAGACAATATTGCCTTTTAAATATTTGAGGAGGCCAGGTTGCCTGGGAAAAGGAAGGTAATTCTTCAGGAAGCAGATGTGGGTGTCCCAGGGTCCCTGTCGTCGGCAGAATTATGCGGAGCTTCAGGGGGCAGGTGGAGAGAGAGAGACGCTACTGACACTGAAATACTGTTACAGGAAACCCAGCTTAGCTTCTCCCTCCCTCCCTCTTTCTCTGTCTCCTGTGCTTAAAGGAGGAGGAAGAAGATTTTGAAATAATAAAAAAAGTACAACTGAATTTATTTAAAGAAATTAGCGGGTGGCGTTGTGGGTTAAACCACAGAGCCTAGGACTTTCTAATCAGAAGGTCGGCGCTTCGAATCCCCGTGATGGGGTAAGCTCCCGTTGCTCGGTCCCTGCTCCTGCCAACCTAGCAGTTCGAAAGCATGTCAAAGTGCAAGTAGATCAATAGGTACCACTCCAGCGGGAAGGTAAAGGGCGTTTCCGTGCGCTGCTCTGGTTCGACAGAAGCGGCTTAGTCATGCTGGCCACATGACCCGGAAGCTGTACGCCGGCTCCCTCGGCCAATAAAGCGAGATGAGCGCCGCAACCCCAGAGTCGGTCATGACTGGACCTAATAGTCAGGGGTCCCCTTTACCCTAGAGTTTACCCTTTTTTAAAAAAAGCACACACACATGGGTGGGGGAAAGCATGGAAATAGAAACCACAAATTTCCTTCACTATCTGTGGAGGTCTTAGACTGAATAAGACAGTTGAAATGCACTTGACTGCAGAATCTAGAACCTGTGGTTCTAGAGGGCCAGAGGTTCCCCATCCCTGCACTGGAGCGATTGGGTTCCAGAGACAAAAGGGACACAATCCGCATCTTCCTGGGGATTGAGAATGCCTCCAATCAATGACACGGGGGATTGAAAAAGCCACCAATCATAGGAGAGCACGCAAATATAAGGGTTCCTGCATCTGCCTTCCTGCCTCTCACCTTTCTGCTTCACTCTGAGCCCTTGGTTGTCTGAGTCTTAAGGCCTAAGAACTTAAGAAGAACCTGGTTAATGGCCCATCTAGTCCAGAATCATGTTCTCACAGTGGCCAGCCACATACACAATCTAGTCTGGAGTCTGCTACTTGTGACAGATTTTTGATTTACAGTAGGAGCTGTTTGACAGTAGAACAGGCTACACTGGAAGGTGATGGACTCTCCATTGGAGGTTTTTAAACAGAGGCTGTTGACTATCTATCAAGGATAATTTTGCTGTGGTTCCTGCATTGCAGGGGGTTGCACTAGATGAGGCTTGGGGATCCCTCCAACTCTACAATTCTGTGATTCGACAAAGATGGACACACACATGCATCAAAACAAAGAGACACTCGCAGACCGGTGATATTCCAGGCCTAATTGAATAGAGAGTTGGTCCAACATACTTTGGAGAATCTAGCCAGATTTCTTACATCATATTTTATTTATTTGCTGATTTAGAAACCACTTCACAAGCCAAAAGCCACCAAAGTGGGGTAGTACAAGATAAAACACAAAAGACTGCAGACTCGTTGAACTAAAAGAAATTAAAGCCATTGCTATAGTTGTACAAGTAATTTTTCGTAAAATGACTGGGTCACATGACGGTAAAGCTTTCTTAAACAAACAAACAAACAAAAGTCTTCCATAACTGCCTAAATATCAAGATGATTAATTCCAGAGGGCTGATGCAGGAGCACTAAAAGCCTGCTCCTTTGTGCATACTAAACACACCTCTGGGACAATGTCATTTCTGAAGAAGGCAGGCCTCTAGATGACTGGGTCCCAAGTTGTTTTAAATGCAAAAAGAAAACCTTGAATCACGCCCAGTAGCATATTGGCAGGCAGTGTGCAACACACTCAGCAGAGGTGTTACACAGCGTCAGTGGGATGACCTAGGCAACTACCTAGCTGCTGTATTCTGCAGCTTCTGGACTAAGCCCAAGGGAAGCCTCACATTACTGCATTGCAGTAATCTAGTCTTGAGGTTGTGGGTGCCAGGACCACAGTGACTAAGCTACCTCGGTCCAGGAATGGCCTTAGCTGTCTTGCCAACTGAAGCTGATAAATACAGCACCCTCTCTTTTTACTTTTCGCTGTTCAGTTTCTCACTCCTGCCACGAGATGTCAGCAAAGACCACAGTTCTTCTTTCAGAGCTATTTCTGGTGTGGAAACCAACTTGAAAGCATGTTGCCACCCCTTCTCTATAGTATTGGCAGGTGTCCTGTGTGCAGCAGGATGTCTTTGCAGGATACACCAGGGCTGGCACAGGCAGCTACACACAAACTCACACATACACCTCTCTTTGAAGAGAAGCAGCACCTCTGCCAAAGCAGATGTCTTGCACGCAGCAGTATTTCTTGATATAACCAGTGCTCAGATCATCAAGATTATACAGACCTTTGCCCTTTGAAGGTAGAATGTTTGTGAGCATTCTTTGATGTCACAAGGACTTGGGAGGCACCTGCAGATGTTGGGCAGTATAGATGTACAAAGGGGGGCTTGCAAGTAAATGTTGCAGTTCATCTCCTTTCACAAAGGAGTGCTCACATTCAGTGTTCCAATAAACTAAGCATCCCACCTCGGCCTCCCTTCTATTTTCTTCTGTTCTTTTCAAACTGTCACTCTAAATTCTGTGGTCATTCAACATGTTCTACTCTCCCTGCATTGTTGTTATTTTCCAGTGGGTTTCCCCCAAAAGCTTTGGGGGCTTAAAAAAATATTTTTGTTTGTATTTCTGCAGCTCTCAAAGTTCCATGAAACATGTGGGTCATTTCTGCTTGTTCCCTTGTGGTCCCATTTTTGCTACGCTCCTGCCAGTGCTCACCATCTGACTTTGCTGTTAGAAGCAATTTTCTACAACTGTATTTATATCTACATCTGATCTATTAGTGGAAACCATTCTGCCCACAGGAATTGCTTCTGCTTGTGGAATTTAGAGACATTTAATACACAGATATAACCTAATGGTGGGTAGGCACCTGTTCTGCAGGACTACAGATTTCTGATACAGTGGTACCTTGGGCTAAGTACTTAATTTGTTCCGGAGGTCCGTTCTTAACCTGAAACTGTTCTTAACCTGAAGCACCACTTTAGCTAATGGGGCCTCCTGCTGCCACTGCGCTGCCGGAGCACAATTTCTGTTCTCATCCTGAAGCAAAGTTCTTAACCTGAAGAACTATTTCTGGGTTAGCGGAGTCGGTAACCTGAAGCTTATGTAACCTGAAGTGTATGTAACCCAAGGTACCACTGTAATCTCACACCCAAACTAGGTTATTCCCCCTCACCTTGGGAGGAAGGTGATCAAGGCCTTTCTTCATCTTCAGTCTACCAGAGAAGCTCAGCATGTGAAGATGTCTGAGCTGGTTGATCCAAGCTCAGACCGCATGGCTCTTACAAGCCCTTTTGTGCTGGCGGAAGAGGGAATTATTTTGGAACTTAAAAGGGCATGTATTATAGGTCTAAAAACCTATATTTCCACACTTCATTTTGCTGCATGTTTTGTGGTTTTAAATCTACTTGCCCCAAACCTGGATCTTGGCATCCAGGAATTTTCCTTTTCATACATCATATTTTATTTCCTCGCCACTGACAGAAGGAGCCTAGATCTGCACAAGACCCTCTTTCCAGAAGGCCACTCATCTGTTAACCAAAATTATAAGCGCATGGAAGAAAAAAGGCCCAGGGGAGAGCAAGACAAGCCATCCTTTGACTTAGAAGTCACTCACTTTTAAGCGCCAGCAGGTGGCTCAAAATAAGAAAGAGAAAGTAGGGAGAAATGGAAAACTGGTGGTGTCAAAACCCACTGACCCGGATGGGCTGTGGTGTTTGATGACCTCATATGGTGCAATCCTGCCTTTGCTTAATATCCACCATCCTGGCCATCAGGAGGAAAGCTAGCCCAGTGAGGATCTCAGTAGCCAAGGAAAGCCAGGCAAAGGCCAGAGACCAGCCAAACCGGATGTTGATAATGTCCAGAAGGTTCTTCCTTCCCAAGAGGAGAATGGCTTCCCTGAAGCCTGCAGCAAAGTAGGTGATGTAGATGCTGAGCCCGGCCAGTGTGATGAGAGCTAAAAGAGAGACAAGCTGTGAAGGAGTCTGAAGAGGGGAACCTTTTCCAGTCTGGGGACCACATTCCATTCAGGGCAACTTTCTAGGGGTGGGTGGAGCTAGAGGCAAAAGCGGGTGGGGCAATGAAAGCAGCTTTTACCTTTATACAGTAAATAATAAATAATAATAATAATAATACCCTGTCCATCTGGCTGGGTTTCCCCAGCCACTCTGGGCGACTCCCAACAGGATATTAAAAACACGATAAAACATCAAATATTAAAAACTTCCCTAAACAAGGCTGCCTTCAGATGTCTTCTAAAAGTCAGATAGTTGTTTATTTCCTTGACATCTGATGGGAGGGCTTCCATGAGCGGGCACCACTACCAGGAAGACCCTCTGCCTGGTTCCCTGCAACCTCACTTCTCGCAGGGAGGGAACTGCCAGAAGGCCCTCGGCGCTGGATCTCAGTGTCCAGGCTGAACAATGGAGGTGGAGACGCTCCTTCAGGTATACTGGGCCGAGGCTGTTTAGGGCTTTAAAGGTCAGCACCAACACTTTGAATTGTGCTCAGAAAATTACTGGGATCCAATGTAGGTCTTTCAGGACCGGTGTTATATGGTCTCTGCCTGCTATTTAAGAGTAAAGGGCAGTACTAGAGTGAGGGTGGGCACTCCCTTTTACTCATAAAGAGCAAGAAGAGGGCTTATCTCTGAACTCAGTGCTGCAGTGCTTGGTGCTGAGATTGGAGATAAAAGATCCATCCAACTGTCCTTCAGCGATTTTATCTAGAGAGCAGCCAGAGGGATATTTTATGTGCCAATCAGGGAGATAAATCATTCTGCCTGCTCTTTAGATATTGCCCTCTAAAGAGCAGATCAAGAGCTTTATCTCCTGATCAGATCAAGAGATAAAATTTGGGGGCTGGCAAGTCTGGGACCTGTCAGGCCATATTCAGTCTGCAGGCCATGGTGCATGGGGAAGGTTACCTTGCCTTCAGCTTCTGTGGAATTAAGGATAGTCTAAATGTGCAAGGAATTGTTTCCCGCCCCGCCCCCAAATCCATAGCAGCTCCATGGCATACCTCCAAGGAGAAAGAGGAGGCCAGTGAACATAAGGAGGAAGTAAGCCTGTGCAAGGATACTGATGAAGCCCGTCATTGCTCCAAAGATCAACAAGATGAGGCTAAGAGGTAGCAGGATCACAACTGCCCCATGCATATCTGGAGGGAAACAAAATCGATCGGTCACATTTGCCAAGTACTGTCCTTATACATATGGCTATTGCCACTTTTTGCAAGGATCTCAAAGGACCTAATTTAACAGCGTGGTATGAAAGTTTTTGTCACGTAGACCTTCAAGAGAAACTTACATGTAAACTAAGAATAGCTAGAGGAAATAGTTGCAGAGACACATTTGTTGGAGACAGTAATCCTGATTGCTTATACAAATGTTTCAAACAACAAAATGAAAGTCCCTTTGGTGTACTCCAACATAAGGATTTCTTAATTGTTTTCTCTTTTTCTTACTTTAAATACTGTATCTCTGCATTTATTTATTTTTTAAATCTGAGGGATCTGCACTTAGAAGCTTCTTGGCATTTTCTTTTCTGACTTCATTAACTTGGTTACAGTCTAGATTTTGTAATGCCCTTTTCTCCATTGTTCTCATTTCAACGAGAAACCACCTAATTTGCAGTTTGAGGGCCTATATGCAAACCAAAGGGCAGCTCTCCTTCCAAATTCATGCTTCTCCAATTTTGCAATACAAAAAAAATGTATTAGTCGGTCCAAACACCAAACACCACATTTATTAGGAGAAATTTGAAGTGAAATGATAAAGAATTTTCATTAATTTTCCCCCTTAGAAGTTGCCGTGGAAATATGGAGAAATGAATTTAAGATGGGGGGAAATGAGAAACTGAAACTGACATACTTGTCAATCCCTGGTGGTAAGAGAACAATTTGTAAAAAAAAGACAAAATCCATCAGGGCTGGAGCTCCCCTATCCACACAGACGCCAGGCCACAATCCATCTGCCCATCTTTAGAGGTGTCATAAGATGCCTGGTTTTCATAAATATCATGGTGGCTGCAATCTGAAGTCCCACTGAGCTGTGCTTCCTTCTGAATAAACATGTTTTGGAGGAGAGAATGGGTACCTTGTCTCCCAGCTGTGCTTGTTTGTGATTTGTTCTTTGCTGTAAGTGACCCTTCCTGCTCTTGCCTGTTTTCTCTTTTCCTGTCTTTTTTGTCTTTTTCATGTGCAATGGGCTAATGGATAACTGGAAATTCCTCAGAGCCCTCTGGTGCTTCCTAGGAGCTACTGCTCGGTTGTTTGCTTTCTTCCTGTGCAATTAGCTTTCTGTGCTTCTCTGATGACCTTTCCTGCCAGCTATCGTGCCACCAGCTGAATAAACAGAGAGGTGTAGAGTACTTTCCTAGGCCTTTCTAATTCCCTCTTTTGTCTTCTGCCCTGGGTGGCCTGAGCCTGGGCCTCAAGTAAGCATGGGAGAGACAATCAAATCAGTTTGTGTTTAAAGGTGAGTCTACGTTGGGTTGTAGCCAACTCAGACCCCACCTGCAGCAGTACATCTAAAGCTTCTCTCTTTCCCTGGCCAGGAGATGGAAGGAGCAATGAATGAAAAGGTGGAGAAAGATTTTAGGTATTTTGAGGGGAGGGGGAGGAAAGGCTTGCAGCTGGGAATTCAGGACTCTGCATGGTAAAGTGAGAAGCTGTGGGGCTTAAGGGTTTTTGTGAAGGTCCCAGGCATTTTCGTCGCAACTGGAGACTATGGTTATCACCCTAAAATGTTGGCAATGAACATGCTGGGTTTCAATTAAGAAGACTAGAGTCTGCCTTGCTGTTTGAAAAAAAGAAGAGTAGAAGAGTAGATTTTCATCCTTGTAAGTGAGTGGCTGGATTCTGAGTTCCACTTTGTTTCTCTTCAGTACTAATTGCCCATGCACTGAAAACCTGGCTTCCCTCTTGGTCTTTTAAAGCTACTATGGAAACCAATAAATAATAGAGACTCAAGAGTTGGTAATGAATGCTATTATACTAATTCACAGAACTGTTAGAGGTGCTTGCCTTAGTACATTGGTGCAACTGGCCAAAACAAGAGGTTCTGCTGTGATTTCCTCCCACCTATCGCTGCTTCCAGCTCTTCTACAGGGGATGATGAAAAATGTGGCTTCCCATAACAATGGATAAATGATGCAAGAAAGAGAGACTGCAGTGGGAAGCTTACTCATGAACACATTTCATCTTATTGCAACAGGCCCAGCTTAGGCATGAGGAGATTTTTGACTAGCATATTAGAACTGGGAACCTGGAGCTGACTTCCAAACCTCATTTCCACATCATTATAGGAAGAGCTTGCAGCAATTGCCATAAGCTGCAACTTAGTTCTTATACAGTGGTATCTCGGGTTAAGTACTTAATTCGTTCCAGAGGTCTGTTCTTAACCTGAAACTGTTCTTAACCTGAAGCACTACTTTAGCTAATGGGGCCTCCTGCTGCCGCCACGCCACCGGAGCACGATTTCTGTTCTTATCCTGGAGCAAAGTTCTTAACTTGAATCACTATTTCTGGGTTAGCGGAGTCTGTAACCTGAGGCGTATGTAACCTGAAGCGTATGTAACCTGAGGTACCACTGTACAGTTAAATTACAGAATTCACTCCCACAAAAGGTCAAGGTGGCCACCAACTTGGACAGCTTTAAAAAAAGGGTTAGATGAACTTGGCAACTAGGCTTTGGGACAGTGTGGTGTAGTGGTTAAGAGCAGTGGACTCGTAATCTGGTGAACCAGGTTCGATTCCCCACTCCTCCACATGCAGCTGCTGGGTGAACTTGGGCTAGTCACACTTCTCTGAAGTCTCTCAGCCTCACTCACCTCACAGAGTGTTTGTTGTGGGGGAGGAAGCAAAAGGAGAATGTTAGCCGCTTTGAGACTCCTTTGGGTAGTGATAAAGCGGGATATCAAATCCAAACTCTTCTTTAAGGATATGTTCTATCTATCTCCTCTGTCAGAGGCAGTAGGCATCTCAATGCCAGTTTCTGGGGAGCACAAGTAGGGAGAGCACTGTTGTACTCAGATTCTGCTTGGGGGATTTATCTAGTGCATTGCGTTTGGTGGGCCCTTGTCTTATGTCCTCTTATGTTATTGTTCTCCACTAGCAGATAGGTTGACCCACTCCAAGGCAGCCATCTTGCTTGCTAGCAGAATGACCATACAGTGGTACCTCAGGTTACATGCGCTTCATGTTACACACTCCACTCTCATGTTACACACTCCTGCGGCACGGCGGCAGCAGGAGGCCCCATTAACTAAAGTGGTGCTTCAGGTTAAGAACAGTTTCAGGTTAAGTACAGACCTCCGGAACGAATTAAGTTCTTAACCCGAGGTACCACTGTATAGATATATAGCCGGAAAGATTGGGTACAGCTAAATGGGTAAGTAAGCTCACAATTGCTCGCCTTTGCATTTTCACATTTACTCTTGATTCTGGTAAGCATGTTAGTTATAAAGGTAAAGGGACCCCTGACCATTAGGTCCAGTCGTGACCGACTCTGGGATTGCAGCGCTCATCTTGCTTTATTGGCCGAGGGAGCCAGCACACAGCTTCCAGGTCATGTGGCCAGCATGACTAAGCCACTTCTGGCAAACCAGAACAGCACACAGAAATGCCATTGACCTTCCCGCTGGAGCGGTACCTATTTATCTACTTGCACTTTGACGTGCTTTCGAACTGCTAGGTTGGCAGGAGCAGGGACCGAGCAATGGGAGCTCACCCCGTTGCGGGGATTCGAACCACCGACCTTCTGATCGGCAAGTCCTAGGCTCTGTGGTTTAGCCCACAGCCCCACCCGCGTCCCTATGTTAGTTATAGTCTTTTATATACTAACCTTTATGCTCTTCCACATCCGTTTTATGCTTCTAACCCTTCTTTTAGATTTTTTTTAGTTTCTTTTAGATTCTTATAGTCCTTTAGCTATACCTTCTGTTTTAATACTTTTTAGCTTTCTAAAACGTTTTACAGATTCTAAATGATTGTACTCCCACCCTACTTGTGCTGGTCTATGACTGTAATGAAGATTAGATTGATTGATTGATTGATTGATTGATTGATTAGATTGATTAACTGGTAAGCATGCTGACTTTTGCTCCTTGGTTCTAGAGATGGGCCTGAGTCCAAACAGACCCTGAATGTTGTGGCCCCATTCCTGGATGGTAAAATTAGGTGGAATATTTTGCTCATAAGAGCATAGGAAAAGCTCTGCAGCTAGGTTAGGCCAAAGCCTCTTGTAGTCCAGCATCGTGTTTTCACAATGGCAAACAGATGCCCATGGGAAGCAGGATCTCAGTGCAACAGCATCACTCTCCCCACTTGTGCTTCCCAGAAACTGGAATTTAGGTGCACAATGTCTCTGGCAGTGAAGGTAGAACACAGCCATCATGGCTAGCAGCCACAGATAGCCATATCCTGCATAACATTGTCTAATCTCTGGTAAAAGCCTCACTGCCTCATCTTGTAGGAGAAAATCACATAGGACATACACTATGTGAAGAAGTATTTTCTTTTATTTGTCTTGAATCTTAATTTTGGGGTGGGAGGGAATGCATACCATTTTTTCCTCTCCAAATACCCCAGAGAGAACACCATTCTGGGACATTACAAGTAAGGGGGATGGCAGCCCCCATAACTGGAAAGAGGTGGGTCCAGTCTGTTAAAATATTGCATGTGTACATTTGTAAGTGGGTGTATGGGGTGTTAGGGGAAAGGTAGTACCTCTGGTGGGGGACATGTCATGCTCCTTCTGGGGTAGTTTGTCCACCTCTGGTCCCCACCTTGCTCTCAGTCTTCACCTGTGGCTCCTAGAAGCTGTCAGCATGCAACAGCAGTAACACCACATGAAATGCCTTCGACTGGCCAGCTAAACCAGGTGAGGGTAGCCAATGGGTCTCAAACCCTGGGTAAACTAGAGTCTTTCCTTGCATGCAAAGACAGGCTCTGGTAGATTGAATGGACACGACCGATTGTGGGTCCAATGGTCAATAAGGTGTTTTCTGCACATGCTGTAGACTAGAGGGAAGTGCGGGGCAGATGTGGCTCATCAACCTGGGAAGGTCTGGGAAGGTGGCCCATCTAGGAGAAGAAAAACTCTGATCCTAAACCTCTGCTGCCTTGTGGGATATCTTTGGGAGAAGAAAGGGCTAAGGAATAAACCCTACACAAATCCGGAGTGGAGTCCCTAAGGCAGTTGGGATAGCGCCATGTACAACTCCTTCCAGCAACTCCTGCAGCCAAGCTGGTACCAAACATATTGCTCTGCTTTCCTTTCCACCACATCAATGAGGCCAAGAGAGGGGGTCTTGTCATCTAGTGTCAGGGACTGGGCAGAAGAGGAATGGTGGAGACCACCTCCCCATGCTGACCCCTCCAGAGAGGAGGAAGAGGAAGACAGTATATATTGACAACAGGGGTTTGAGAGAGGTCACAGCTCAGAGGCAGATGAGGAGAAAAGCTGGGAAATCATGGGAGAGCCAGAACAACACCCAGCTGACTCGTCATTAGAAAGCATTCTAGGCCCTCCATCTCCCAAAACCTGGTGAGCCTTAAAAGTAGGAGAACAAAGAACTCAAAGACATAGGTACATAGCAGCACTCGTAGAGGAGATGATGAGAATGACAAATGAGGAAGTGGAAGAGATGAGGAGGTGGAGATTCACTTGGGACAACGCCATTATCCAAGAGGCTAGGTTCTCTAGCCTCTTTCTGTAAAGATTGAAATAAAAAAGGTCTGTAAGATACTTTTCCTTGTCTTTATACTTTCCTAGGCAACCAGCCAGGAGCTGCTGACAGCATCCTAACATCTGGGCAGCCCAGGACCTCCATACACCTGTCCAGGCTTGAGCCCCACAGAGGTCAATTTGGTGCTGCTAACACAGCAGTTTGACTTCACCCCAGAGGCGCACTCCATTGTCTCTTGAGACAGATGGATGCCAACAACAACAAAAACATTTGTATGTCCGTTTCATCCTATTTCCACATTAATCTGGGATTTTTTTAGGTACTATTTTTTATTTAAAGACATACTCAGATATCACACATATATAAATACTTGTTTTATATCAACATATGCATTTCTGAACACATTTTATCCTAAAATATGAATTTTGGTACATTTTTTAAGCCACTTACTTAAGAGTTGCTTGTGTGATGTGGTGATATTTGATATGTCAGGGTTAAAGGGGTTTACCAAATTGAAACAGGTCCTATTAACTGGAAGAGAAAGAAAAGAAAGGGAAAGACCATGAAACATTTATTCAGAATTCAATAGATCATTTCTTACTACAAATTTTCCATTTCACCACCGTTGATTAATCAACCTGAAGGATCAAGTTGATTAATCTGGTTGCTAAACCAAGTAGAACATGCAGCTCCACTTCTTCTTGACACAACCTCCCAGCACAGGACAGTTCTATGAGACTGGTCTTTAACAATTGCTTGACTGCAGCAGTCAAATCCATGGATTTCAACATGGATAGCATTTATGCCTTTCAGAACTCCACCCTGGAGGCTTAGCCCCTTAATCCTAACCATCACTAACTAATTTGCCAGCACTCATCCTTTATTTACCAATGTAGTGATCTGCAACCAGCAGGTTTAGAATAAGGACTCCTTCTGGGAATGTCCTGTCTCTCCAATGCTTGTTTCCTTTCCTTTCACCTATAAAGAGTATCAAGGTAGGGAAGTGGTTTGAGTTCTGGTCTAGGACCTGGGAGGCCAGGATTCAAATATCCACCCAACCATGCAGCTCACTGGGTGATCTTGGGCCAGTCACTATCACTTAGCCTAATCTACTTCACAGGGGTGTTGTGATGATGAAACAGAGTGGGGAGATCGATACACCACCTTGAGCTCCTTGGAGGAAAGGTAGGATGTGTCTAAAGCATGGTTGGAAAATAAAATAAGCCCATCTACCAGCCATGTGGTGGGATACCTTGCGAGACAGTTGGTGGGATGGGGTCTGCCCAGCCAGCCAATTAAAGGAAGTGAGTATTTCCCTTTAGGAAGAGACTTTTCCCAAAGAGCTCAACTTATGTCAGTGGGCCATGGCTCAGAGGTAGATCACCTGCTTTGCAGAACATCCCATGCTCAATCCCTGACATTTCCAGGTAGACTCCCTGCCTGAAACCCTGGAGAGCCACTGCCAGTCAGTGTAAACCGTACTGAGCTCTAGGTGGACCAATGGTCTGACTCGGTCTAAGGCACTCTCCTGTGAGCCTAACCCACCGAAGCTCAAGAGGAAACCAGGGGTTACTTACCTTGGCATGTCCTCCAAAGCCCTGAATGGGAGCTCAGGCTGTCTGTGTGGTTGAGGAGCTTCTGCAGCTTAGAAGCATCAATAAGGTACCAAAAGTCAGTGCTGATAGCCACCAGCAGGAAGCTGAAACTGACCACGCCAGCCAAGGCTGCCAAGAGGGAGACGGCGTTCAGTCTGACTTTCATGGCAATTTTCTTCAGGCTGCCACCTGCTGCCTTGGTCCTAAGACTGAAAGAACTGAAGCACTGTTTTCATCCCTTGATCACAAGCTGGTCCTCTGGATATGATTCCCAGGGTGCCCAACACATGAATTGCAGTCCAAACGGCGGTAATAACAGCCTGGTGGTCAGGAAAATCCACACATAATTAATTAAACCCTGCCTCCAATCTGTCCCTCTCTCCCTTTATTTACTCTGTCTTTTCCTCCCAGCATGGAAAGTCATAGCCAGTTGGTTCCCGCTTTTGAATAAGAGGTACTTATGACAGTCCAAATGAGTAAACATGCACAGCGCATGGTTGAAGAAGCCCACTCTAGCCCATCAAAGTACCAAACGGCTTCTTGTTCAGGCAATAATTATCCAACAGCTTTTTTCTCCTGAATACAAGAAAGGAGGAGGAGAAGGACGTCAGAGATCAGCACCACAGACAGTGCCCAGGGAGCAATGAGTAAATCCAGCTCTTTTAAGCTGCAGGGAGGTTGCAAGAAGGAATTTGCAACAAGGGAATAGGGTGACCTACAAAGAGATGGTCAGGGCATATCCACACATGCTCTCCAAAGGACTCTCCTTTGTATTTCTTGGGTGTATAATTAGATGTTAGAGCCTGGAAAGATCAATCTGTACTTTTCATTGAAAAAAAGTCTCTCTCTGATGCTTCCCATCCCATCTTAATGGCATTCCAAAATGTGCACATTATTATATTATGTCAGAAACTTAAAGGCATCTTCAGTGCCATGTGTGAAAAGTCATTCTGTACTTTGCTGTTCTTCAGGTCTACAGCTTAGATATTATCGCTTGTACCCCCTAATAATGTATGGGTTGTCCGTGGTAGTGCACAGATTGTTTCAGTGCAGGAGATTATATGCCAACTTGCTGAGAAGTGCCTTGCATGGCCATGGTGTGAGAGTCTGGAGAGGCATGACCAGCTCAGCCAGAATAAACTGGTCAGGAGACTGAGGTAGATTTATTAATGGGATTATTCAATATGAGGAAGTTGTATAAATTCACTTGATGGGAGCAACACACATGAAACCATACAGGTGTCGTAATAAGAGAGTCACAGTTTTGTTTAAAGTCCGAAACAACTTAGCCTCAGACAGACTAGAGCAGGCTGCTTACAAAGCAGCTCTGAACCATCCTGGCTGCTGTTTTGAACCCGAGGTTCAGGGCAATCCTGGCTGCCTGTTTGGATAGGTTGCTGCTGCATTTATGGCATAAGTTGCTAAGAATGCTGTACACCCCTCCATCCTACACTCAGGCTGTATATATGTGTAAGTAAAACCATATGTCATAAAGACACCATAGTTTCTGTTGCGCCTCATTCCAAGAGCAGCACAAACCCTAGTTAAGTGCAAAGACCATGGGATCTCACACCACTCAGAGATTGAGGCAGCCTGTAACAATAGGTTACCACCCTTTTTCTCAAAAGAACTCAAAGCATTATTGTTGTTGTCTTCAATCACTTGCTTATTCAAAAAACTGAAGCACTTGTCATGAGAGAAGATGGCACCAAATAGCTAATTTCAATTTCAGTGCCATCACTGGCACTCAGAAACAGCCCTATCATTGGGCAAAGTGAGGCAACTGCCTCAGGCAGTGGGTGCTGGGAGGCAGCAGTGGCTGGATCCTTTTCTTGTAGGCAGTGGTTGCTGCTGCCCACTGGGACACAAAGGGTAGAAGGCAGGGAGCTCAAGAGTAGGATTAGTAGCTGGGATTACTGCCTCTGACAGTGGAGGTAAGACATAGGGTTCACAGCCATGAGCTGACTGAGACTTGACCATTGTGTGGTTCGACACAAGCAGACCACAATGGCTGCTGCTGAAATCAATTGGCTTACCATCCAAGTTCTCTGACTCAGCTGAGTGGTGAGTCAGGTGCTTGATGGCACTTCTAATCAGCTTCTAAGACATTCAAGATGTCTTCAGCAGGGACTGTTTCAACCTGTGCTTGTGAAACAGAAGTCAGAGCAAGACCTGAAGTCAGAACAGGATTTGTTGCACATATGTCTTCTCTGATAACCAGATGCATCTACAAATCCCTCATGGCCAGAGAGTTAAGGGCAGTGACCAGAGCTTCAGGATGAAACTACATCTTACGTTATGCTTCTTAACATGGAATATCACATCTGATTCTGCCTAAAGATGTGAGGGCAGCAGCAAAAGCATCTGAGGTGCTATATTTATTCATTTGGAACTGTAGCTCAGTGGTAGAGCATCTGCTTTGCATACAGAAAGTCCCAAGTTCAATCCCTGGCATCCCCAGGTACAGCTGGGAGAGACATCCTGACTGAATCCCTGGGGAGCTGCTGCCAGTCAGTGTGGACAATACTGAGCAAGATAAACCGATGGTCTGACTCAGTAGAAGGCAGCTTCCTATGTTCCTGTAATTACATTTCTGCCTTTTTCCCAGTGAGCTCAAGGTGGCAAAAAATATTGAAAGGACCAGTGAAAACAGTTAAGAAGAAAAATATTTAAAAACAGGTGCTGAAAGGGGTACAGTGAAGCCACCTGCCTGATGTAAATAGGCGGGGAGTTCCAAAGAGCAGATACTGCCACACTAAAACAGTTTTCATAACGAAGATTGGTTTCTCACGAGCTCAGACTAACCAAAGATTCTAAAAGATTACCCACCACAAACCTACCAACAGTAAACAGAGCACTGTACCTGAGAGAGGAGAGATAGGAAGTCTTGGAACACATACTACAGGTTGTCATATCCTCCAACTTCCATATCTGAGTGGAGTTTTTATTCTGTGGTACTAGTCTGTTGCTGGGGAATCCCTTCATTGACAAGTTCCTGAATGTCAGGTGTTTGCCTCACTGGTTAAATATATACTTAGTGGGAGAAAACAAGTGTTCTGTGATATGCTGTCAACAAAATGAACCTTCTCAGCCTGTATAATGTTGGCGGGACCAGTCTTAAGGCTATGCAGAATGTAGCAGCTGCCTCAGGCAGCAGAAAATAGGGGGTGATAGGGGCAGCTCCCCAGCTGTTCCACCTGAGACACCTTCTGCTGGAAGGCAAAGATATGCATGCCATGCAGTCTGTCCTGCCGCCCTCTGCATCCCATGATTACCCACCTGCCCTCAGGTGCAGTGGAGGACATGATCCCATTTGCTAGTATTAACACATGATTTGCTAGTATTGGCATGTGATGAGAGCATAAGAAGAGCCCTACTGGATCAGGCCAATGGCCCATCAATTCCAGTATCCTGTTTTCACAATGACCAGCCAGATGCCCCAAAGGGAATTTATATTCTAGGAGCACCAATTTCTCTTCCAGGTACCAGATCTTTTTACTTGCATGGTACAATCAGAAGTACAATGATGAGTTTGATATTATTCCCTCATTGCAACTATTTTGATTTTACTTGGAAAGCTGCCTTGGAAGGAGTTGTATCCTTAAAGACAGGATACAGATAAGCTAAACAAATAAATTCTCAGAAAGTAACTCCACGTTTTAATAAGGAACATTTTTTTGTGGTTTTTGAACTAGGGAAAAGGTGGTGTGGAGGGGCAGGGGGACGTGAATAAAAAGGGCAGAGATCTGCCACATTGCCCCAGCAGGGCTATCATCTGGAATATTTTCCCCATCCTCTCTGCCCCGGCCCTGTCTGAAATGAGTTTGGTCCTTGCAGACGGAGACCGTTGCCATAGTAACTCTGGAGCGCGGGAGGGGTGACAGCAGTAAGTCAAACAGGGGCTCGTTGCCGCGGCAACAGAGGGAAGCAGGAGTCGGTTGGGCTGACAACGCATCAGTTAAGCTAAGTGGGCGGACCGCTGCTACGGGAAACAGCGCGGCGGAAGTCGGGGAGAAGGGCGGAAGCGGCTGAGGGCAAAATGCAAAATGGCAGCAGCGGCGTCAACGAAGCTGCCGCGAGAGGGGAGGTGAGAGTCGCCATTACACCCACCTTGGGCAGGAGAGAGCCCTCGCTCCGTAAGGCGCAGCCCTCTGTTTCCTGTTCCACCCCATAACAGTCTCCCATAACAAACTGCCGTTTGTTGCCTACTTGGAGCCTTAGCTTGTTTTAACAACTGGCAGCATGCGGAGAAGTAGAAATGGGAGTGCTTCTGTGCATGTGCAGAGTGGAATGCTTCCCGCTTGCCTTCTGTGCATAGGTGTTTTAAACTTAGAAGGGAAGGAGCATTACAATGGGGAGGCGGAGGGATTCTGGGCGTAACATTATTATGGACCAAAACAAATAAAAGTCATTTTGGCTGTGTGAAAGAGGGAGTGAAAGAGACTATTTTTTAAAACTTCATGCTGCACTTCAAACAAATTGATCACCGAAATCATATTAACAGTTACTAACAGAGATTAAATCTTTATAGAAAAACGTGTTGGCTTCCGGCTGACGAAGGCAGAAGCTGAAACAGCTTGCTTTAAAGAATTAGGCTGCAAGCCTAACTCTACATACCTGAAAGTAAAACCCATTGAATTCAATAGGACTTACTTCTGGGTTGACATGATTAAGAGTACACTGTTAATCTGTTTTGTTAGTTCTTATATACTGGGTTGCACATTGTCCAAGAATATATAGCCTAGCCATTTAATATATAGCCTAACCATTTATATCCACTTTGTTATGCATGATGCCAGGCTAGCCAGCCTGGTGCCCTCGAGAAGTCCCCTACCACCAATGTATATAGCCCTTAAAAATAAGCCTAGTTTATAGGAATGTGAAATATTAATCTCAACCTTTGTATAATGTGGGTTTTGATTTTTTTCTATTTATGACTAATTCATATGCTGTAAATTCTTGTTTTTACTCTTAATTTAAATAAAAGATTTTTAAAAATAACAAATCCAGTGAAATACAGCATATGAATTAGTCATAAATAGGGGGGACGGACCCAAAGATAGGTAGTGTGCTCCTTTCATTAAACTTGGTGCAATCCTGGGTGAAGTTTTGTTGTTGTCATTCTAGGGTGAAAAGGGAGGCTACCAGTTTTGTTTTCAGAATTTCAGATACCTTATATATATGGGGGAGGGGGGGAGTATCGTGTTTTCAGCAACAGTTCCTGAACTTCACTTAAAAATGTGACTTAGAATGTACGAAAGAATGGCATACATTCTTACTGAAAAGTAAAATAATATTCAGCACTTCATCTCAATAATTTTGGAAGTAGAAGGTTGCCAGACTTTTTTTTTTTAAATCAATGGCTTAACACAGAAATTTAATTACTGGGGCATTTCAGACCACTGACAACCTTGTTGCTAACAGCTTTACCTGCTTCTGCATATCAGGCAGAAGTTGAAAATAAAGGAACTGGGCCAGGATAGAGCAATGTTAACCTTAGTCAGACGTGATCATCTCCCCACAATCCACTACATATTGATGCAGATTAAATGTACGTACTATTTCATAGAAGCATACAATTGTACCGTTGGACGGGACCATGAGGATCATCTAGAATCTTTTGCCCAATGTGGGGCTTTAATCCATGACCCTCAGATTTAGAGTCCCATGCTCTACCGACTGAGCTATCCACTGCATCAGAAATGAATACTGAACATTAAGAATGTAATAAGAGCCTGCTGGATCAGGCCAGTGGCCCATTGAGTCCACTCACAGTGGTCACCCAGATGTCTGTGGGAAACCACCAAGCAGGACCCGAGCACAACAGCACACCCTACTCCTGTAGTTTCCAATGATTAATATTCAGAATCATTATAGCCATCACGGCTAGTAGCCCCTGATGGCCTCATCCCCCTCCTCCAGGAATTTGTCCAGTTCTCTTTCAAAGCCATTCAAATTGGTAGCCATTGCTATCTTCTGTGGGAGCGAGTTCCATAGTTTAACTATGTGCTGTGTGAAGAAGGCTGGCTTTTTCTAGCCTTCCTTTCCACACTGGTTGAACTGCTGGGGTGTGATGAAATTTCCATAAACATTCCAATTGCTGAGGGAGAAGAATGAGTTGCAGAATATCAGCAGTGGTGGTGTTGAGGGGGAATTGAAAGGCTAGTTTGGCAGAGCTGTGGGAGCATTGCAGAAGATCTATATGTTGGGATGGAATGGGACAGGGGGGCAAGAGGCTGTGGGGGAATCAAATCCAAGAGGCAGAGATGCTTGGAGGCAGAATAAGCATTGAGCTGAGAATCTGGGTTCAGATCACATCCTGTAAGAGAGGCATAGGCTGGCCACTTCTTTTTGGAAAGTGCCCCTTTTCCTACCAATGTTGAGCAGGAGGAATGTTGTCTATTGCTGCATATTTCTGCCATTGAGAGATTCATCCAGTTTCAATAGTTGGCCTTCATATGTGGAGGAGGCAAAGGAGGTTAGGATTGTATTTTGCTCTAAGTGTGATACCTAAGCTTTCTATGGCTGTTGTTGGTGGGAAGGTAGTAGTTTGTTTACTTGTTGAGAATCATGTGTTTGTGTGAATGCGTCAATTGTATTATATATTTTTATTAAATTATGTTCTTAGATATGCTGTAAGTCACCTGGGGACCTATGTGTAACAAATGGCTAATGTGTCAGAAGATGAAGAAGCTTAAAGGAAGGGTGGGGTGGGGAGCAGTGCCTGAGGAGGTGTGCTGAAATATAGTGAATAGTAATACCAAGCTGGCAGGAGGTGCTAGGTTTTGTATACAATTCTGTAACTATTTATAATTAACATGCTAATAGAGCTTTATGTCTTATAATTATAGATGTCCCTTCAGCAGTGCACCATACAAGGTGCAGGGGAGAGAGAGGTGATGGATGACATCATCTTCCGAAGTGACACTGTCCTATCTGATGTCCACCTACACACCCCAAGCAAAAGGCATTTAATGGTCAGGCTGAATGCTGTCGGACAGCCAGGTAATGTGCCTCTGGTGGTTGTTACTGTTACTTGCACACAATTATCATAATCCCCACTGAGAGCTTTCTTCAACAGCTCTGTGTGTGTTTTAAAGAAGTTACTACATTAAAAGTCTTAGCTGATCAGTAGCAAACAGCTTACCACCTCCTTGACGCAACTGGTCTCGCCACCATCCTCTTTGGTAGAATCCCTCCATTTACATTGAGGCTCTTTGGTTGTTAACATTGCAACTAAGCATATCCTGTGTTTAGCAGGAATATCTATCCTTTTCAGTAGACAGTGCCATGGATAGGGAGTGGAGCTTGCCAGATGTAGCAGTACCTACTTCCTGGGTAGTGGAAAGGAAAGGGGCAGGGGAGGTTTCCAGAGCAAGTTATTTGACCCTAATCAAGGCTGAACCTGTGTGTGCCAAGTGCTATATAGTGGAGATGCCACAATTGTTTCCCATTGGGCTCATATCGGGATTGACAACTGAGGGCTCCAGGGCCAACTCTAGCACATGCAGATGCTAGTAAATGGTGTGGAAGAAGCATTAAATGTGGCGATAGGACTTTCTGGCTGCCTCATTGGGGACTTGCTGCTTGGAGGCAAATGCCCACCACTCTTCCTCCATCCCGTAAATCCTGTCTGAGCAGGTTTTTGGAGAAGACAAGCTGGGGAACTAAGACGTTACTAAGTACAGCAGGCACTTGACAGTGTAAGTGCAGGCAATGTGAGGTTAGGGTACTTCAGGAAAGTTTATCAGGTTCAGTAAAAACAGGTGGTATAGCAATGGGGGAAAGAGGCCAAACCAACAGTCATAATACAAATATCAGACACACCAGGAAGGACTCGGCAAAAACAGGAGATCATATGCGTGACTTACGAATGGGCAGATGTCGGGGAAATCTATTTAGAGAGTAAGGAAAACTATGGTGATATTCCTGCATTCTTTGTTATGGTTTTGAAGATTGACTGGGCTTTGATCACAGTGTTTGACTTCAGATTGTTGCCTCTTAGTGTTTCTCTCACAGTTCAAATTCCTTTTGGACAAAAGCAATCAGAAGACTGAGAGGGAAGTGAGTGGCTTTGAAAAAGAAAACCTTAAACACCAGGACAAACGTGGAGAGGGATTAGATGTGGGGGAACCTGCTGATGACCACGTTACTCTGAAAAGCACTAACAAGGAAGAAAACTCTTTGAAAGGAATTCAAGCTTTGTTAGACAAAGATGGGGATTTGGAGGTCGTCCGGAAGCCTCCGTTACTTGATGCAGAAGCTGAAGATCTTTCAAGGGACAAAGTGTGCCCCATCATTTTGATGAAAGGTGGAGAAGTCTTGGAAGAACAAGAGCAAGAAAACAATTGCTATGATATTATTAAAATAGGTCAGTAATGTAGTATATGGATGTGGCATAAAATAATTTGCATTTCATAACATGATCCAGAAGTACTCATTGAGATGTGAGCATAGAGAGCCAATTTGTATACTTTATTCCTCCCTCTACACCTGCACATAAAACCTTTTACTGGTACACCTTTTGGATTGAAATTGATAGGAAATGATATTCACTAATGGCAAGCCAAGCAGTCTCAGGAATTTCCCCATGCCAGCTATGTTTGGTGAGTTAATTAGACTGTTGGGCTAGGACTGGGGAGAGATCAGGCACAAACCCAGACTTGCTTATAAAGCTGACTTGGCAACGTTGGGCCAACCATTTTCTTTCAGCCTAATCTACCTCACAGGGTTGTTGTGAGGATAGAGGGGCATGTGTGCTGCCTTGAGCTCCTTGGAGGAAAAGCGGGATATACATTTCATAAGTGTCCCTTCACAAATGTGCCCTAAGGCAACAGACTATATCTTGTTCTTTTCTGCCTTGTTACATTTGCCCTTAAACTTTTCCATTAAAAACACAACATAGAAGAGCCTGCTGAATCAGCCCATTGGACTATCTAGTCCAGCATCCTATTCTCAGTGGCCAGCCAGAAGCCTGTGGGAAACCCATATGCAGAACCCAAAGACAAAAGCACTCTCCTCACTTGCAGTATCTCAAAAACTAGCATCCAGGGGCATGTTTCCTCTGACAGTTGAGGTAGAATATAGTCATTGTTGAATATAGAATATATTAGAATATAGTAGCCATTGATTGCCTTATCCTCCCTAAATTTACTGTACGTGTAACATGGAAAAATGGGCCCCTTTTCATGTTCTTCCTTTTTCAGAGCACGCCATGGCAACCCCTTTAGAAGATGTTGGCAAACAGGTGGGTAGCTACATTGCCAGCCCTTCTCTTCTCCCTTGACCCTCATGTACCAGACTGTGCTACCTTTTGCCTCCTGTCTTGAAGGTCTGGCGAGGAGCCTTCTTACTTGCAGACTACATCCTCTCCAATCAAGATTTGTTTAAGGACTGCACAGTGCTGGAGCTTGGGGGCGGCACCGGAATTGTCAGTATCATCATGGCAAAGGCAGCCAAGGCCATTTATTGCACAGGTATCTATTTAGGACAGTTATCTTTGATGTTTGTGATGTTGCTTTTATTTTTATCAGAAAGCTTGAAAGAGCAGTAAGTCAAGCTGAGTTGTTGAAAGCAGATGATGTTTGAGAGAAGAGACGTACCTGCCCTGTTTTTTCTATGCTTCTTTTTCCCTCTCTTGTTTGTTTTTTTCATTTCTTCTCAAAGTATTACTAACATTTGCTTCTCAAATATTTTAAAGATATTGGTGAAGATCTCCTGGAAATGTGTGAACGAAATATTGCATTAAACAAGCACCTTACTGAGCCAGCAGGTAAAAAAGACTGCTTGTATATTATTATTGTTTAATGGATTTGGTTTTTTTTCTAGTTGGATAAAATATCATTCAAATCCAAAATACTGTCCAGACGGCCACATGAAATATTTACATGTCAAAAAGTGGCTTCTGTTCTAAACATTTCCTTCAGCCACTTCTGCCCTACAAACCTATTCCTCCAATCCTAAACACATTTATCTAAAGAGTAAGTTCCATTGAGCATAGTGGAGTAAAAAAATAGACCAATTTCAAGTCTGCTTATAAAAGATCCCTCCAAATTTAAGGAATAATATTTTAATTGTTATTAGAATTATTCAGTACAGTGCTTTTGGCTTCTTTGTACATTGTAATAATTTCTGTGTTGTACATTGCCTTAGGGTGTTGCTTCTAGAAAGGTGGCTAAGAGCACAGTTTCAATGGGTTTGGGGGCAATGAGGACAATCCACCACTTTTCAGGCCCAGCCTTGGTGGGAGGTGTGGACTTACCTTGTTTTCTGCTCCATGCAGATCTTTTATTTTCAACCCCCAACCCCCGATTGGTCCCAGTGAGAAGGAGGAGGAGCTACACCAGCTCTAGCCTTGCGTGGATATGGGTTCCCATCCTTGGGTCTCACTGATGAATGAAGGGGCTGAATCTAGGCTGTGTGTGTGTGTGTGTGTGTGTGCGCGCGCCTTCCTCCCTGTAACCGCTAGTGAATCTATGCCTGCAGAGCTTTCTGAGGGCCTCCACAGTGGATATACCCCCATCAGCAGAACAAGCCTTTGCATAGTCCTAACTCTCTCTAGCCAGCAAATGCAGAGGTTAAGTTTGCTCTGAATTACATTTTAGAAATACATCATGGGAAGGAACAAGGAATCATTAGCAAGACTAATTTGGGGGAAGGCGGGTAAAGTGAGGTGGGGGCATAAGCCTCTGCTTGTTCACTATTATCAATTATAGCAATTTACAGTCTTCCTCTTATTATGACACTTTAATGGCTTTAACCTGTCTTCTAAAGAGCATTTGCCACTCACTTATTTTCTTATCATCTTACTGACTTCCAGGAACTAAGATTAAGGTCAGAGTGCTGGACTGGCTTAAAGATGAGTTCTGTATTGGTAAGTAGATGCATCAACTTCTTAAAAGCTTGATTTGATGTTCTTTCTCTAATCTGTTGAGTTACTGTTTTCACTTACAGCCAAATAACACCCATGGCCTAGCTTTGAAATAGATGAGTAAATGAGTTTGTTCTGAGTATGTGCAAAATACCGGTACATTTCCCACGCCACTGAGTAATCCAAATTCTTTCTCTAACAATAAGAAGTTCGAGAAGTGGAGAGCCAGACTTCAGGGGGTCAAGTGGTCACACTTTAAAAGAGACCACCCACAGAGCCATTCTTGTTTTACATGTTATATGGAACCATGGGTATCCTTTTTGTCAAGTCTGAGGATTGCTTGCATTATCAGGGGTTCCTTACCCACATTTTCGGAGCCTGATCCAGTTCTCCAAGCAATTTTTAGATCGGTGGCAAAAAGGAAATATACACAGCACTTGGGTTGCTGGGTTTGTTATGTAAAGCTCTATAAAACTTGGAACAAGAATACCTGAAAATTGTCTCACCCCTAGTTGATCATTGTGCTCTGCAGCTGAGGTCGTCTGCAAGTACCATCTTATCAGGATGTCCGTTCCACACAATATAGAAATCGAGCCTTTAGTGTTGTGTTATCTCCCCTTCAGAATTTCCTCCCTTTAAATACTAGGCATGCACAATTTCTGTTGTCTTTTCAGTACCTACTGAAGACCGTCCCCTTCCAGCATATCTCTCCTAGTCTGCAACTTTATCGGAATTATTTTCAACATGCTTTTATTGTTTTATTGCTTGTTGTTTGCCACTGTGGGTTCCTTTGGGAAGACCTGCTTCCTTCTTTAAACTTTCTGTACAGTGTCTAAAAAATTATAGTCTCCTTTATAATCAAATCAATTTGCATATTTTGCTGTAGATCCTGATCATTCCTACAGCTGGTCTGAAGAAGAGATTGCGGAGCTTCACGATTTCACCACTGTGATTCTAGCTGCTGATGGTAAGCAAACAGAACTGGAGAGTCAAGGATTCATAGTGGTCGTTAAAGCCCCTGTTTTGTGTGTATTGCGTGCTTTCAGCAAATCTTTTCTGATCATTGTTTCAAGAGTCCAGTAAGACACATCATGGCCATAGACATTGAATGAGGAAACTGACTCGGCTCATCTAGCCCATTGTAAAATATGCGCATCAGCTGCATCTGGAGAAACATTTCTTGACGTGGTAATTGAAGTGGGGGCGGGAAGGAACATTACCCTGAATTTAACATGGTAAACTTGACACAAAGCCTAGAAAAATCACATCACAGTTCAGAGGATTTGTATTTTTCTGTAATGGAAATTGCTTTTAATCAGCATGGGGCACCACTGGCTTTCCCTGAACATGCCCCCTTGAAATAAGTAGGAGCTGTGGAGGAACTTACGCCTTTCCTTGTATTAAGTGGGGGGCGGTCATGCATAATAGAAAGGGGAAGGGCTGTGGCTTAGTGGTAGAGCATCTGCTTTGCATCTGCTTTACATCCCAGGTTCAATCCACCCTCTCCAGATAAGGCTGAGAACATCCCCTTATCTAAAACCCCAGAAACCTGCTTTCAGTCAGTGTAGACAGTACTGAGCTACATGGTCCAATGGTCTGATTCCATATGTCAGCTTCCTATGTTCCTAACTTCTTATGTCCCTATAGGACCCCAGTGAATGATAGAATACCTCAGAATATGATAATATTTGCAGATGGAAGCTATGCCAGATACAGTAGTGCCATATGCCAATTTTAGAGGACCAGAAGTCAAAGATTTAGATATTTCATCCCCAACTGCACTCACATTTGCAAGATTCCATGTCCTGGCTATTTCCCTTCCTAATGGATGTTAACAAAACAAAACACTGCTGTGCCCTTGTAATTAAGACTATAGCCATTCTTTTCTGAAGGCTTGGGATGGATAACAAAATATTTTTAAAAATCAACTTTAAGATAGAAGTGAATGTCTCATATGTGAAGTCAAAATCCAGATGATCCTAACCCTTTTTTATTGCAGTATTTTATGATGATGATCTAACAGATGCCTTTTTCAAAACGCTGTATCGAATCACTGGCAACTTGAAAAACCCCTCCACCATCTACTTGTCAATAGAAAAGAGGTGACATGCTTTTTACTCTTAATTGGAAAATATGCCACAATGTGATTAATTTGTTTTGATTGTTGCTAATGCTAGAAACGTTTTTCAGCTTGGAAGTGGGCAGTCTTATTGTTTCTCAAAAAGGTTTCCAGCATGAAGTTATTTAGATATTTTTAAATAGTTATATAGATGACTGCATTCATAAGAGGAAGCTGTTCTTAAGAGGATGCAGCAAACAGTCATGGTCACCAAGTAAGCATTTAAGTGGCTGTCAGGTAGTTTGGATCTCCTTCAGCTAGATCCTCTGTGGCGGAAATTACAGCACATCTACAAGGCTGCCGAATACTGAAGATCTGTTGAAAACCACTTGCTAGATACTGAGAACCTTCCTAGACAGACAGGCGTCGCTTTTGTGCTTACCTTTGAGAGTCTATTCTTGACCTGCCAAAGCAGACACTCATGCTGTTGGTTAGTGATTGGTGGATGAACAGCCCTAAGCTGATCTTAAGTGAATCCACTTTCAGTTACAGCCAATGGTACAGGGTACCATTGTCTTTATCTTCAGTTGAAAGATAAAGTGGGAAGAATGGGATGAGAGAGAACTCTGCTGGAGAGGCAGTGCTGGTCAGGATTGCCTAAACTTGAACTACAATAGCTACACTGGGGAGGCATATCTGATTAAAGCAGGGACCTTGAAGAGCTGAAGCTGATAACACTTGGCATTTATATTGTACTACCAGCCTTGTACCTAGTACTGTTTGGAGATTTTGAGAAACCAAAACATCAATGCAATCTTGAAAGGTTCAGCCCACCATCTTGATTCAAAGTGGCATCTGTTTATATCCAAATGTGGATGAAAGCCTGCACCTTGATCTCAGGAAGCATGATGCAAAAGTTAGTTAAAATCTGTGCAGTTTTTAAAAGTTCAGTCTTTAATGGATGTATCTTTTTGCAGGCTCAACTTCACCTTAAGACACATGGATGTTGTATGTGAAGCATACAATTACTTTAGAAGCACCTTGAATGATCTAGAAAATATCAGAGATGGCAAAATGAGATATACTGTTCAGCCTGTCCAACTCTCCTTTCCTCAACATATTATTTATGAGCGGGTTGAGCAGTTGGTGGGTACCGTTTGTCTGACAAACGATCTAAAACTTTGAGCAGTTTTTAGTTTAATTGTATTAATGAGACAAAGTCAAAGACAATTGACAATATCTTGCGGTTCTCTGACCGAACATAGAAAAGTAACCAGCAGTAAGTTGTACACATCACTTTATTTTCCAAGGCTGCTAGTTTTCTTTGCAAACAGCTGAGGAATGGATGATGAGTGGTGAAAACAGGCATGGGGTTTTAATATATGAATTCAGTTGTTTTATTGTTTCTTGTAAACTGCCTTGGGAACATAATTGAATGGATGCATAAAAATATATGTAACAAAGAAGCAGAATCGCATTAGATTCTTCACACTTGTTTTAGTCCAAATTTGCAGGTTTCAAAGGGCACAATCATTTATTTGTACATATATGCATTAATCTTTCACCTTACTGGAAAAGATGTGTGCAACATCTAAAAAAAAAAAAAGTTGCAAAATTTACTGGGGACAAGCTGGTGGTACTTTTAAGGTTACCACAAGTACTAGCCAGTAGGTCATCTTTTCCCTGTTCAGACTGAACCACTCTAAAAACCTGCAAGAGCTGTTGTTTCCAGAGCTCACTCTTGGAGAGACGAGTATGTGTTTTCCGAGCAGGAGAGCTGCTGTCATCCTACCTCTGACACTTTTAAAATGTCACCTGTGTCTTCACTCAGATAAAGATGATTTACCATGTCAGAGGGATTTACCGTATTTTTCGCCCCATAGGACGCACCGGCCCATAAGGCGCACCTAGTTTTTTGGGGGGGGGGGGGAAGAGGAAAAAATATTTCTTTTTTCATTTTTTTTTAAATGATATTTATTGAGAATTTAAAATTACAGAGAAAGAAAGGAAAAAACAAGAAAAAAGGAAAAAGGAAAAAAGGTAGACAAAAAGAGAAATTAAACAATACAAATCAATAAAAACAAAAGTCAAAGAAAAAACAAAACACACAATACATCAAATTCAAAAAACAAAAACAAACAAAAAATTTAAAAACAAATCCAATATTGCCAAATCTTTATCTTTCATTAACTTGTTTCATCGACCTCCTCACACCTCCCTTTTTGTATTCTAGTTATTAATTATCTCAGCAAATCCTTTCCATCTTTCACAATATTCTGTCATTAAATTATCTTAATCTATTTTAACCTTATCTTACCATAAAAAACCCTAAAGCTTAAAACTTAAGTCTTATTTATACCTAATTCTTTTTAGCATAACATATTTATACATAATTCTTTTTAACATTTCTACTAAAGCCAAATAGTTTCATTCCAACATCTTTCTAATACTCATTAATTTTACAATAATTTTCTAAATGAATTTTTAAAACTTTCTTCCAATCTTCATCCATCGTCTCTTCTTCCTGGTCTCGGGTTTTGTCAGTCCTTTCTATCCCATCCATCTAGTCCATCAACCTGGTGACCTATCCGAGGCTCTTAAGTCTTTTCCATGTCCCTTCCGCAGGTCTTCTTCATGTTTATACCTGTACTTTACTTTGTCTTCTGCTGATCTTATCCTTATTTTCCTTCCTTTCTCTCGGTGAGACTCCGAAGACTCCGACTTGACAATATCTTTATCCCTTCTCAACAAGTCAGCCCATTCTCCATAGTCAACACTGAAATCCATAAGATATTTAAAGACATGTTTCAAAGTCCCTCCAAGGTTAAGGGCCCCCACAACTCCAAACTCCCCCTGGCCCAAAGCCAGATCTGAAAAGCCAAAACATCCCTGCATAGGGGAATCTATCCAGCTTCCCGTCTCCAAACCAAACAGTACTCCATCTCTCCAAATCTGATTTTCTCCAGGTTCAGTCGTCAAAAACAGCAACTTATGTTCCTGCAAGGCCGCAGCTCTCTCCATTTCTGCTACTTGAGGTTCAGCAACAACCTCCTCCTTTATCTTCTTCACCACTCGCTCTGTCAAAGCACATTCCTGGATTGATTCCTGAATGGTTTCTATATAGGTATTCACTGTTTGTCCAAAATTTCCAACTGCAACAGTCATCAAATCCATCTTCTCATGTAGCTGTTCCAGTAAGGCACTTGTCTTGCAAAAAACAAGCACTAAAAGCTTCTTCTGGGCACATTCTTGTTCAAGGTCAAAGTCTGGTCTCACGCTCTTTAATCTCTACAGCTGCAAAATTCCCCAGATCGACTCTAACAACAGTTTCACAAGCTCCCTCTAGAGGAAACAATTTCTATTTGTATCCGTCTTTTTAAAAGCAGATCTAGCAACAAAGTTCCTTTCGTTTTTCAGATATTTTGTTCCTTTTAAGTGCAAAAGGGAACATTGGAATCAGTATGTTTCTCTTTTTTAACTATCTGTCAAAAACGTTTTATCCACAGTCAATGAACTTCCCCAAAACGTCTGTCCTGACACCCCGCTCCCAGGTTCAAGACGGTGGAAATTTATCTTTCTTTACTCTCTCTTCTGCAGGTTTAAACAGTCTAAAAAGATTCCCCCCTCTTCTCCTGCTTCCAAGGGGGGTTTAGTAATTTTAACTGATGGAAATTTAGTCCTTTACAAACAACTTTCCAGACTCTAGCTTGCAATGTCTTTGCTTCAATCTATTTACAAAAGCGGAAGGCGGACTTCCTGTTTAGACCTTCCCGCTTCGGTGCCAAATTAAGAAGTTTCATAGTCCAATTTTCCGTTCTACTCACGGGCAGTTGTTTAAAATCCAATTCTCCACAGGAAAAAGTCAGCGCTCTCCGGCAACAGCAATGCGGCTTCACTCCATGAAAAGAGCAGTTGATTCGAAGCACCGTGCCATTCACCCCACGTCGCTCCAGATCCCCAAAACTGGGTTTCCCCGCGAGTAGGGGAGGTGCAAAAGGTGCCAGCCGAATCCCACGTCCACAGGCTTCTCCCGCCTGTGGTTTTTAGTGGGTCTCCGCCTCGCCGCTGCGGTCCAGACCCTAATTCTCACGAAGCAGATTCCTCCCGATCAGAGGAAATCCGCCATTGCCGGAGGCGCTAACCCAGAAGTAGGGGAAAAATTATTTCACCCCCAGGCGCGGGGCGGGGGCGGGGGAAGCCCGAGCTTCCCCTGACCCCAGCCCCCAGAACAGGCAGCTCTCCGCAAGCCGTGGGAGCCCAGAGCCGGGCTCCCACCGCTTGTGGAGAGCTGCGTGAAGCTTGAAGCCTGGGCGCGCTGAGCTCAGCGCGCCCAGGCTTCTGAATGCAGGCAACTCTCCGCAAGCCGTGGGAGCCCAGCGCCGGGCTCCCACCGCGTGCAGAGAGCTGCGGGAAGCTCGAAGCCTAGGCGCACTGAGCTCAGCGCGCCCAGGCTTCTGGATGCAGGCAGCTCTCCGCAAGCCGCGGGAGAGCTGCGCGAAGTCGTGCAGCCCTCCCAGGCTTGCAGAGAGCTGTGCTAAATCCGAAGCCTGGGGGGCGCTGAGCTCAGCGTGCCCCCAGGCTTCGGGGTGCAGGCAGCTCTCCACAAGCCGTGGGAGAGCTGTGCGACTTCACGCAGCCCTCCCACGGCTTGCAGAGAGCTTCCTGAAGCCTGGAGAGCGAGAGGGGTCGGTGCACACCGACCCCTCTCGCTTTCCAGGCTTCAGCGAAAGCCTGCATTCGCCCCATAGGACGCACACACATCTCCCCTTCATTTTTGGAGGGGAAAAAGTGCGTCCTATAGGGCGAAAAATACGGTACCTTGTTAGAGGCAATATGCTTCTGAATGCCAGTTTCTGGGGATCATGAGTAAGAGAATTTTGTTCCTCTCTTGACCTACTTTTGGGCTACCTGTATGCATCTGAATAGCCACTGTAATAACAGGACATAGAACTAAAATGACCTTTGGTCTGATCCAACTGCACAGCTTTTCTTAGGCGCACAAAGTATGACTGAGCCTGAATGGCTGGACTAGTCCCAGTCCTTCATTCTGCCTGCTAAGCCAGATGAGAAATTAGACATTTATTTTTTTATTTTGCATCTACTGAGTTATATCTTCTTTGTAAGAGCAAAGAATGTGTATCGGTGGCAAATACAGCCGTGGCTGTACTGAGCTTCTAAACTTCATCTTGTAGCATTAGGTAGATTAAGCTCTTCTTGCTTTAACTCAAAATGCATAATGCCCTTAAGGTAACTCTTAATTTAATGGAAGCTTCTCTGTTAAGACAGTTGATGCATTAGTAATGCAGTCCCAAGTTATAAGTGTAAAGAAGGAATACTGTTACTTTAGAATTTAAAATTTAAATGCTCTGTTTTGATTACCATATTCCCCATGGCAGTTCATCGATTTTCAATATCTCTTCTCTGCCTAACAGGAGTTATGGAAGATTACGGCTGACATGACCACTGAAGGAAGCACACACACACACCTCCCTGAGAGATTGAAAACCGGACATGAGGACTTCAGTACAGAATAATTTCCCTGTAGGGTTCTGTCTGAAATAATTATCTGAATGGAGCCAGGACCCAAACAGATCCTGGGTATGTGTTTAGAAAAGCATATTAAATATGTGCATAGCATCAGTTAATAGTCTGGGTGTGATTTATGAACGATATCACCCTCTGTGATATGTTTGGTTTGCATTCTAAGAACACGTGCAGCTCCAGAAGACCATCAGTTTGGATACGGGATGGGAAAATTGCATACCAGGTCTGATTCAGATTCAGATTCTTATCTGAATCAGATAAGTGCTGGAGATGCAAAGAGGTTGAGGAAATGTTTTTTCATATGTGGTGGACCTGTAAAAGGATAGGAGTTTGGGGAAATAATCCATAATGAATTGAAAAGAAATGTTTTAAAGTACTTTTCCAAAAAAAACAACCACCTGAGTCCTTTTCATTGGGGATAATTCAGACGGAAATTCCCAGGTATCAAAAAGGGTTATTTATGTACGCCACTACTGCGGCCCATTTTTGTTAGCCCAAAAATGAAAGATGAGTGAGGTCCCAACTAAAGAAGAATGGCAACTTAAGCTGATGGAATATGTGCAGCTTGTGGACCTAACATATAGAATAAGAAAACAAGAAGAACATACGTTTAAAGAAGATTGCAAAATGTTTATTGAATATATGGGGGGAAATTGTGTACACTTGAAAACATGGGCAGCATTAAGATAAATTCAACAGTGTAAGTAAGTTTTGATGGATGTAATAATGGAACAGTTTATGTAAAATATGCAGGGATTTATGGTATGCAAAATGAACCATGGAAGGAGAAGAAGGGATGTCACTGATATTTTAAGGATGTTTAAATGAGTATTCAAAATTGTAAAACAGAAAATTTAATAAAAAAAACTATAATATATATATATGAGAGAGAAAATTGCCTACCAGGGAGCACTGCTAGTTTACTAGGTGCCTCCTTCCCATTATGTCAATTATATTCTTATAACAGATATGCTTGTGGCACCTTAAAGAGGAACAGATGTATCACTGTGTGGGCTTTTTCATTCACTGGACCCTTCTAACTTGTATGTAGAAATGGTTAACGTTTGTACACATATGAAGAAGTGGATCAATTCACGGAAACCATTGGCACAATAAATCTGTTAGTCTTTAAGGCAACTTTCACCAGCATGATACCCTCCAGATGTTTTGGCTTACAACTCCCCCAGTTTTTGTGTGTGTGGGAAGACGGAGTTGTAGTCTGAAACTTTTGGAGGGCATCACATTGGTAAAGGTGCCTTTAGGTGCTATGCACAAGACAAGCAGATTTGCCCTCCTGGAAGTAATTGATGGTATTTTTTTGTCCTCAGTCTGCTGCTGTGTCTGCTCTTCAGTGTTACAATTCAAAATCCCAGGCCAAAGTAACCTCCGTTCTGTAGTAAGGATAAGAAAGCTGAATGTTACCATCACCGACATGCCTTAAGCAAAATCATGCTATTGGCTCATCTGTGTAATTTATCTTGTTTCTGCTCAGCGTGGAGAAGTCCAAGAAGTTCCAATCCCTAGGTACTGGTCAACCTGCTCATCTCATTTCTGAGAATTCACTGCTCATTACCTACCTTTGGAGACACTCAGCATACTGATTTCTATGTCCAGGAACAAATTCCTGTGCAGTGAAGCAGCCCTCCCTGGGCAGACAGCCCACAGGGACTCTCCTTCACAGGAATCCTGCTTCGAAGAAATGGGGCTGTAAGTGAGGAGGACACTCTGTGGAGAATCAAGAGTCTCCATATACCTTAGAGCCTGCCAGCAGAGATGAAGACGAAAAACTGGTTCAAGCGCCCTCAAGGGTTGGGAAATCAGGAACTGGTATGAACAACGTTGGACTTGTAATGGTAGTGGAGCAGAAACCAGGTTCCAATTCAAACTGAGTCATGAAACTTGGGCCAGTCATTCTCTCTCAGACTAACCTACCTCACAGGGTGGTTGTGAAGATAGTGTTGGGTGTGTGTGAGAGAGAGAGAACGATGTACAATGCCTTGAACTCCTGTTAGCAAAGAGCAATATAATGTATATAGTACAAATGCAAACAATGGACAAGGTTTGGTCTATCATTGGCTCTAGCCACAATGTTTATGCTCTGCCTCTCTGGTCGGAAGCAGTAATGCTTCTGAATGCCACTTGCTGGAAACCACAGGAGAAGAGGGTCTGTGGGTCCTGCTTGAAGGTTTCCCATAGGTATCTGGTTGGCCACTGTGTGAACAGGATGCTAGGCGAGATGGGTCATTGGCCTGATCCAGCAGGCTGTTCTTATGTTAATAACCATAGCAACAGCCAATGAGCAAATAAAATTAAGGAACTCTGTATGAAGATAGGTGCATCTTCATACCGTTGCTTTATATTTGCTAGGCCAGCCTCCTGGAAGCCCAAAACAGCACCCCTGGCCTAGGAGGAAGAAACGACTGGCATCCAAGATTATGCAGCACAATCATAGAATACGCAAAACCTGGTTGCATGCTTTATTTTGACTAAAGAATGACACAAGTCAATGTGCATTTCAGACCCTTCTGAAAACTCCTTATTAGCAAACGGAGGACAGCTGTGGACTCATCACAGTCTTAGGCATTTATTTATTTCAGGTATTTATATGCTGCTTAATATTCTGAATTTTGAAGCAGTGTACATAAAATGGGGTTGTTGTTTTAAGTAAAATGAATAAGAACTATTAAAATTCGCTTATCGCAGAAGCAGAAAACTACCTGAAAATTTCTGCTGTCAAATCAAGCGCCTGAAGTTCAGCAGGGAGGGGTCTTGTCTAATCTCATCTGGGAGGGAGTTGCACAGGATTGGGCCCACAACGCCGAATGCATGACTTCTGGTCATCACAAGCCAAGCATCTGAACCAAGGGGGACTGCAGAGACACTGACAATATCTGTGATCAGGCAGAGATATAAGGAATTGGGTCGTTCTTAAAGTATTCTGGACCCAAGTTGTTAAGGGCCTTGTAAATTAATAAAATGACCTTGAATTTGGCCCAGAAAGATATTGCTTTTTCTTAGCCACTGCAATTCAAAGCAACTTGCAAAATGACCAAAAAACAAACCCACCCACATACATATGTTAAAACCAAGCGGAGTGGAAATGCAGTATCTTTCTTACTTGAGTTTGAGATGAGCTGAGCTGCCTGTTAAAATGGTATCTCTGGTGTCCTTTCAAGAACATTTGTTTTCATGAAATGGTAGCAGGCTGGGATTGTTGAATTTCCAGCATGCCCCAATCACATTATTTTGTGTACCATAGAATATGGGGGGGGGGGGAATTCAGATGTTTACAGTTCACCACTAGATGTCACTGTGACCTGACTGAAGACTTAAGTATTCTAGACATAACAAAGTATAGTGGCCTTACTTGTGAGTATTCTGTCATTGCAGTTATCAGGTTCAGACTAAATATCCACAAAGAGCAGCACTGAAATGTTCTAGGATGGGAATAGGGAGCCTGTGGCATTCCAGAGATTTCAGAACTACACTTTGTACTGTCCCTGCCTATTGACTATGATGATTGTCAGGCCTGTTGGGAGCTGGGAGTCCAACAACACCTGGAGAGCCACAGACTCCCCATCTCTGTTCTGGGACAAGAAGAGATACCTGCCTCTTCTCCATGTGCTATCTATGTAGTCCAGCATTGCCCATAAACATGCACTGAAGGAGCTGGTTGGTAGGAGAGGAGCCAGTCCTTTAACCAGCTTGGTTGCGAGCACACAGAGGTAACTGAGCCACATTAAGCGATCTTGTGTTGGAAATTCCAGTGTTTTTCTTTTGAGTGAGATTTCTAGCCAGACTTTTCCCACTGGAGATTTGATTGCACAGTAGTTTTCGAAGAACAAAAGTACAGTTGTTCTATTGAACGATTTGAGTATTTCCTATACAAAAGAAAGATTAGGTTAAGAGGGTTGCTGGAGAATTGCAGCACTGTGAAGCAGAACTATTGCATGTATGTGGAAGACAAAAGGAACAACCCCCTTAATCTCTTTGGGATTTGAGGTGAAAAACAGGATTTAAAAATAAGTCTTCTGCTCAACTCTGCAGGCATCTTTTGTTTTCTACAATCCTGTTCCCAATTGTCTTCATTTATTACATCATGCATATTTTGCACAGGGTGAAAACAGCAATTGCGTGTGAATGGGTGCTGTTCTGTACCTTATGCAAAGTAAGTTGGGAGAGTGATGTGGTAGAATTCTGGAAGGAAACTTGTATTATTGAGAGAGGTTTACATTCTGATGTGCTGGTTTTGCTGCATACTGCAAAAATGCAATGCCATTTCTACACTGGGACACCCCAGCACTCTACCACGTCCTTCTGCATCCCATGTAGAATAGCTCTCCGGTTCCGCCATATTTTAGTAAACAATAAATTTAAGACTGGAGGTCACATCTCTTCTGAAATCCAGGTATGAACAAAGAAATTCTCCCCACAATCAGGAACCTCTGCAATAATCAGGGTTTTTGATCTTGAGAATCAGACCTTCATCAGACCTTCTGCACTCAGCCTGGGAATTCTGAGTGGGGCAGACATGCCCAGTGTATGTGGGGAGATCAAGATGCGCACAACTGCTTTCACTTCCCAGTTTAAGCCCTGACACTAATTTTGAATGTGCAATTAGAGCTTACGACAACACAGCCCTGTTTCTACGCTGTGTTCATGTGAGCATTAGCAAAAGGGTAGCTACATTCCACTTTTCCTCCGTATGCTTTTGCATCCTTTAGAGAGGACTACTCCTCTTGAAAGTAGGGCAGAGGAGAATTCTGGGATACTCTGATTCAGCTTCACTTTACCATGAGCTTTGTTTTTGGAGAATACCTTGTCTGTGCGTATGCACGATTCAGAAATATGGCACGCCCTCCTGAATAAGCTCTGCAAGGACTGCCTTGATGTCAGCCTCAGATTGGTGGCAAGTGACCCCTTGTGTGATTGGCTCTCACACCCTGTATCGCTTTCTAGGTCACCCTTTGTTTGCCAGTCGGAAGACACCTGCTGTGTCCCTCTTCAATTGGTCTCAGGCTTCTTGCTCCTTGCTGTCTGCCTCACTCCCCTCACTTGTAAACATAGCTATCCTGCACTCTGTTTCCTCACTTGGCCTTTCAACAGTGCTCCCTGCTTATTACAGAGGAGTTGCCTCTCCAAAGTCCAAATGCTTATCCTATTCGGGAGACCCCATGCCCACATGCACAAGTGGATCTGAAGATGCCACGGATGAACCTGGGTCCTTCTGCATGCAAAGCAGATGTTCTTCCACAAAGCTAGATCACTTCTCCTGCAGTCTCCAGGTAGGAAAAGCTTGTGTCTGGAACCCTGGAGAGCCTCTGCCAGTTACCAACAATACTGAACTAGACAGGCTTGTCCTCGGTATAAGGCAGTTTCTTATTTCCCTAGGAGCTGCAGGGCAAAACTCACATAGGACCCAAAGACAGGAAAGGCTATGCACTGTGCCTGGACATGTGAGTTTGGAGAGTTGTGAGCCAGTGTTCTGCAGTCCTTGGAGGCACATGGAAAGAGAATTTCACACTAACCAGCCCAATGGTTGGCTGAAAAGCTCTGTTACACTTGCTAAAGGCCGTTTGAAGATACAGAATCATATAATTGTAGAGTTGGAAGGGACCTTGAGGGTCATCTAGTCTTTGATGTTGGCTGAAAAGCAGGCTATTCAGGAATACAGCTGCTCCAGCAAATTTTACCTTTTTTTCTTGCTCTCATTGGTCAGGAAGAGACCTGAGCAGAGACCTAAGCTCTCCCTCCTCCCTTCATCTCACCAAATTTGCCTGTCATTCCTTTGAAAATCTCAGCAGAGCTGTTTTCCCAGAACGTTGCCATCTTTAATTGTACATCATGCACTTAAACTGTGCTGGCATTTGATACGTAGCATGATTAAAGATGTCAGCCCCCACCGGGTATTAATGCTTCGGCAGGAGGATTTGAAGAACTAGGCTGGGACAATGAAGATAATACAATAATTGAAGGTGAGGTGAAGGAATTGAAAAGGGGAAAGGCTTCTGGGTCAAAAGAGCTTAATGTTATTTAACACTCAAATCTAGAAAGCAGAGAGAGTGGCAAGCAATTGGTTATTGGCAGCAAGCTCAAACTGAAAGCTCTAACTGAGCTAGAGTAGACACAATGGACCTAAATCAGGTCAATTAAATAGGTCTACTCTGAGTAGGACTAACATTGGCTACAACTCAGCTTGTTTTGAATTTAAACTCTAGTCCCAAAATCAATGTTTAGGCAAATGAAGCTACTGATATTTGCAGTCACTTTGCAAACGTCAATAATTCTCAGAAATGGTTTTAATGGATGTATAAATTCATGGAGAATAAGACCCTCGATGGTTTACTAGCTATGATGGCTATGCTCCACCTCAAAGGTCAGTCGCAGCAGTGCTTCTGAAGACCTGCTGCTGGAAGCTGCAAGGAGAAGGTAGAGTCCTGCTTGTGGTTTGCCCTCGGGCACCTGGTTGGCCACTGTAAAAACAGGATATACGGGATAAGATGGGCCATTAGCAGGCTCTTCTTTTGTCCTTACGTTGAAACAGGTATCGAATATTCAGTGAATATTTGTGTGTGAGAATACTGTGGGAATACGGAACAACAAAATTTGTAGAGGAAGATTTTGAAAGTAACTTTCCATAGAATCATAGAATGGGAAGGGATCCCATGGGTCATCTCCCTGCAATGCAGTAATTCTGCCCACCACAGCTACCCCTGGGTGGGCTCAAACCACCAACCTTCTGGTTAACAGCCAGATGCACTGACCCATTGCACCAGACATTGACCTTGTTTCTACTCTCTGTCCAGGTTGGCTATTTCTCAAATTGCCCACTGGTTTTCTCTGTAGCACCAATTGCATAATCTGGCATTAGGAGGGTCTAATCAGAACATTCAGCAAGGTTACAAGAGAACGTGTCATCATGCACTTGATTATTTACTATCTTTTACTAGCAGGGCCAAGTTCTCGGTTGCTAAATTTCAGCTATAAAAAAGTGCATATCTGAGCAGCCAGCTAGCCTGCCTGTGCACCAATCTGTGTGTTTATCACTGATTTGCTGTGAAGAGCAGAATTCCCTAAGAACGTCAAGTACTGGTTTGCCGAATCAGACAAGGTCTCTGCTCAGAACACACTTGGGTTCAATGGATGTAATTAAACTAGGGTTGCAATCCTATCCCCACTTACTTGCGAGTAAGCCCCGTTAGGGCCCTTCCAAATATCCTTCTGATGTTTGTGATTATTTGTGCTCACGAGAGCATGGGGAGGTTATACTTGATCCTGCCTTGAATACTGTTTTGCGTCTGCAAAGGTTTTGGGGTGGATTTTTCCAGTCAATGCATGAACTGCACCTTCCTGCTGATATCCTGTAACTGCAGGAGAGCTACAGCTGGCAGAGAGGTTTCGTAATCAATCTGTCTTCCCAGGAAACTCTAGGAACTGTAGCTGGGACTGCAGGAATTGTGGTCTAATAACTCTCAACACCCATAACACACTTTAGCTCCCAGAATTCTCTGGGGGAAGAAGTCATCCTGCGGTTCTCAACCTGTGGATCTCCAGATGTTGTTGGACTACAACTCTCATCATCCCTGAGCTCTGGCCTTGCTAGCTAGGGGTGATGGGAGTTGTAGTTCAACAACATCTGGGGACCCGCAGGTTGAGAAGGACCATCATAGTGATTTAAATGTGTGGGGTGAATGTGGCAAATGCTTACAACGGAACACAATATTTACACATTATTCTCTAAACAAATTACCTCTCAGTTAGTTATGTATATACACAGAATGAAGGGGGGAATTAGACAATTCACTACTTATAATGCATAAATAAGGACTTTCTTCCCCTTTTTAAAAATAATACTATCCTCTCCCCTGTTGTAAGTAAGCAGGGCCAAGGGGAATATTGGAAGCCAGATCTTCCAAGGGAGGGTGGGAGATCTGATGCAGGTAGACTTGAGTCTGATACTTCCTCTGCGTTTCAAAAGAAATGGTACCACTGTTAAAAACTGCCCATCCCCAAGGACTGATCAAAGGGACCACCTGTCACGGTCTCAGGGCCAAACCCCATCCGCCTGCCTGCCTCCCTCCATCTCGCCCACCCCCGTCCTTTAGATTTACCCTCTTTCCTCCCAACCGCACAAAACAACTCTTCCCCTCCCCTCCTCAGAGGAGGGGTGTGTCGCACTCGGTTCCTCCCATTGGCGGGCGCCGCAACGGAGCGGCGAAAGCTCGACTCCGATTGGCTGCGGCGCGTTCGGCGAGCGGGCCAGCTGCGATCCGCCCTCCCGGCTGCTCAGTTGCAAGCAGGGGACCGCGGCGGCGGCGCGGCTAGACGGGGGCGAAAGCGGCTGAGGTCGGAGCGAGCCGGCGTTTGCCTGGAAAGCGGTGAGTAGGGGGAGGGCTCTGCTTTGCCGCTCTTCCGCTTATCTCGGGAAGGAGGCGAGAAGATAGCCTCCATTTTATACCTACCTGTGAACAGGATAGATAATAATTAGGAGCAGCAACCCCTTCCCTTCAGTTCTTAATACAGTAGACGGGGTCTTTATGTAATCCCTTTTAAGCAATATATTTTCTTTCCCTTTCATCTATTATTGCATCCTGCTTCTCCCATTTTTTTTGGGGGGGGAGGGAGGGGACATCAATGTGCCTCCCTGATCTACTGGGGATAACCTTTTCCAGTATTGCCCCCTCCCAATCTCTTTATTGCGTCCTCTTCTCGGAGATCTCTGGTTCTGTCTGGTTTCTCTTCCCAGTCGCTCTCTTCGACCTCCCCCATTTTAGTAGGGAGGCTTCTTATTAGCCCTCTTCACCTCCCCCCCCCCCATGTTTCTACCTCTACAACATCCTGCCCCCTCAGCCTCAACCCCTTACGACAGTGATGGCCAAACTTGGCCCTCCAGCTGTTTTGGGACTACAGTTTCCATCATCTCTGACCACTGGTCTTGTTAGCTAGGGATGATGGGAGTTGTAGTTCCAAAACAGCTGCCACCACTGCCTTACGGCCTTTCTCGCCACCCACCCCTCCTCCAGTTCCATGTTGAACTCTCCCCATCATTCCCATTGTGTGTGTGGGTTTCCCTTCTTAATCTATTTCCAGAGCCACCCCTTAATGTCCTGTCCCCCATTTTTCTTCTAGGGAACTAATCCTCCCCCCCCAAAAAAAAACCCTTTCTTGAGGACACAACTTCACTTCGTCTCTATCATTTCCCCAAATCTAGCCTATCCTTCTTAGGGAATCTCATCCCACTTCACACCACATCCCATTTTCAAGGAACCTTCCACATTGGTCTAATTTTGGGGGAACGATTTCAATTCTGACAATGCCCAGTATCTCTTGTGAGCCTTTCCAGGTGCTATCATAGCAAGAACTTCAGAAGAGCTTCTGGCTTCTGGACCAGGCCAAAGACCTACGTGGTCCAGCATCCTGTTCTTATAGTGATTGAGCAGATGCCTGGGGAAAACTCGCAAGCACAACCTGAGCACAATACCGCTTTGCTTTCCTGTGGTTTCCAGCAACTGGTATTCAGAAGCATTGCTGCCTCTGACTGTGAAGGCCAAGCAAGCCATTGTTTCTAGTAGCCAATGACAGTCTCATCCTCCATGAATTCATCACCACCACCAGCACCCTGACTTGAGCATCTTTGCTCCTCTCCATCCCTCCTGGATGGTCCTCCTTTCCTGAGGAACAGGAAGCCGATTCAGACTAGCCAGACAGCCTCTACCCAAGAATAACATTCTTAGACTCTTTCTCTAGTTTGTCTTGGACACCCTTCCCATCACCACTCCCAGAAATTTAAAGGTGCAATTGCATTATCAAAACAAGCAAATGGAATTTGTGCTGCAAGCTTTTCATCAGCTTCATCAGTGGATTAATCAACTACTCTTGTTGAGTGAATGGCAGGGGGCTGTTTCCATCAGTGAAGGAATATTTTAATCAGCGAGTTTTGTTTTGTAGCAGTTTTGGTTCTGGTTTGTTAACCATCCCGCTAAGGGACTCCAGGGATGTCCTTTTAGCAAATGATTAGCAGGTTTTGTTTATCAAAACTACGAGTGCTTATGAAACTTAACCAATTAACTACTTGAAAGGCAAGTGACTAACTAAAATAAACCCACCCATTTCTTGCAAGTCCAAAATATGTGACTGTTTTTTAAATGGAACTGTAGAGTTTGAAGAGGTCAAAGGGTGATAAAACCAGACTGCTAACCAATTTTGACCTGGGATAAAGTTCCTTCTACACATCTCATATTCTGCACTCAAAAAAATTAAATAAATTAAAATTCACCAGCAAAGATACTGGGAGACAGATAGCCAGGCAGGCACTAAAGTCCCAGCCTCTGACCCCCAGGATTTATCTTGGAAGTCTTGAGGACTAGCGACCTTTAAAAAAAGAAAAGAAAAAGAAAGCTTAGATTCCAAAGGATGATGAATGCTGTCCCCAGGGCTGATTACAACACTTGTAGAACATACCCAGCCCAGAGAATCTTGTGTCCTTATCTTCTGTAGTTACAGAAAATGTAGCATTTGTGCTCATCTTTTCTTCTCAGATTGCCCCCCAACCCACACTCAAAAGACCTTAGCCAAATCTTGAATTTGATGGGAAGAGCCTGATGACAAAAAAAGAAGCAGGAAGCACATCATTTTCTGGACTGTGTTGTAACCAACAAGTCCTACTCAAATTAATGAACCTAAGTTAGCCATTTCCATTAATTTCAATAGGTTCACTCTTGAGTATGATTAGCATTACCACTGTTTGTTTGTTTGTGCTATGTGTTTCCATCCTAAAACCTCCCTTTTGTGGCAGGTGATCAGTTTTTGATCACCCACTTGCTCCTGACCCAACACTCCTCCAAATCCATATTTGCACCTGGGGAGAGGGTTGCAAAGCCCCCTGTGAAATGATGCTCTCTTTGCTCTCCTCACTGTGTCCATTCCCTTTCTTTTTCTGCCCCACCCCCACTCTGTTTTCCTTGCCATAAATGACTGTTTGTGTCTCTGTCCCCTTATGTAAGAAAATCTCTTTCCTTCAAAAGATCCCAACCAGTTTCAACCTTGGGGGGTGGGATTTACATTTCATTCAAGTAGTCCCTCTATCAAGTGCTTTTATCGTGGCTGGTTTTCCACGATTAAGGCCTTCCTTCTTCCAGGGATTGTCAGTTGTGAGCAGTTCTTCGACTGGTGTTGCTCCGATGTTTTGAAAGGGGGGTGGGGGGTGGATTCATGCATTCTAGGGATTGAAGCAGCAACTGGATGGAAGAAAGCATCGCTGCGATTCTCTGAAAATTATCACAATAAATTCTGTTGCACTTATGCAGAAAGGGGTCTTGCAAAGGAGCCCTTATCCCTTCTCTTGCCTGGTTGGGACCAGAAACAGCCCTCCTGTTCCTTCTCCTCTCACTTCCTTGTAGGTGGTTTGGTTTGGTTTAATTTTAATTTGGGGAGGTGGGAGGAGGAAACCTTTCCTAGCCGTGGACGGTAGAAAGATCCTGGATAGCAGGCAGCACGTTATAAGACCATATATCAATTATCTTGCTATAGCCATGTTATCATCAAACGAAGTGGTTCCGCTTTGCTCTTCTGTGCTGAGTCATGTTTAGGTACTGTTTAATCGATTTGCTGTTTCAGCATAGGGAATTCGCCTTGCGCCGAATCGTGCCTTTTTTTACAGCAGGCTAGGGAGCACTGGCAGTGGTGGTCCAGGGTAGCAGCCTGAGACCTGGTCTTTTCCCATCACCTGCAGCAAGAGGGGTATAGAATCATAGAATCACAGAATTGTAGAGTTGGAAGCGCCCCCCACAAGGGTAATCTAGTCCCAATACCCTGCAATGCAGGAATCCGAGCTGAAGAATCCCTGACAGGTGGCTATCCATACCCTGTTTAGAAACTTCCAGTGAAGGAGAGCCCACTAACTTCTTTGGGAGTCCATTCCATTGTCGAACATCACTTATCGTCAGAAAGTTCTTCCTAATGTTTAGTCTGAATCTCCTTTCCTCTCCTATGAATCCATTGGCTTGGGTCCTACCCTCTGGAACAGTAGAAAACAAGCTTGCATGACTGAAATGCGCCCTTGAACTGATGATAACTCTTGGTTGCATGAGTGGAGGATTGGGAAGGTTGTGAATATGCCTAGAAACTAGCCTACTGTACAAAGTAAAATATACATCTGTTGCTCTGCCCCCCCATCCTTTGCCTCTGGCCCCACCTGCACCCAGCATGTGGCCCCTGGCAAATTGCCCAGGAGAGAATGAGGCCCTTAGGCTGAAAAAGACTCATGACATGTTCCAGCCAGGCAAAAACCCCTTGAGCCAATGAGAGGTGGAGCCTGCAGAGAAGAGGTGGAGCCTGGAGACAGGTATGGAGAGACACATATACGCTCCAAGCCTGAGGTCCCCCTCCCTATGACTTTGCAGCCAGCCAGCTGAATTGTTAAATTTTGCCGGGTGTATTTGCCTAGGAAGTTCCAGTGGAACAGCATGCAAAGTTTTCTCAGCCAAATGAGGTGATGTGTTTGGAGCAGCTGCCTGCCACTTTGTGGTGGATGCAAAACACCACAGATTGCATCTGTTCCCCAGGGGTGGCACCTGTTCTTTGCTTGATCCTGTTGCTGGTGTGGGAGGGAGGGGCTGCAGTTCCTGCAGGTCAAGGCCTGGGCTTAGCAACTGCTGATTCCCGGCTCCGAAGGAATAATGATGGCAATTACGGTGATCTTTGGAACAGGAGAGGTTGCCAGTTGGCTTAGTTTGGCAGAAATGAGCTGCAGTTTAATTTGTACTCTGATCTGCAGAAGACATGAGCTGCTTGTGTGCATATGCATGCAGATGGGCTGACACTCTAGGAACATAGGAACAAGCTGCATAATACCGAGCCCTGCATTGCAGCGGGTTAGACTAGATGACCCTCGGGATCCCTTCCAATTCTACCATTCCATAATTCTGTGATTCAGGCCAGTGGCCCATCTAGCCCAATATTGCTTACACCAGAGGTTTTCAACCTTTCTGAGTCCATGGCTCCCTTGACCTTCTTTCTGCGGCACCCCTGTGGGGCTCAGGAGCCCAGTTATGTCACCCCTTGCCTGCAAAGCTGGCAGCCCCTCACCCTTTTTGGAACACCCTCCCTTGTGGAGTGTTCCCTCAGCCTCCTCCCCTGGGAGTCCTCTGGGCAGCCACTGCTGCCACCCCTGGTCTCTGAGCTGCCCCCTCCCCCTGCCCCAAAGAGAGGTGTCTCCTCACACTGCCCCACAGGAGCCTGGGACTTGTCTGTCCATTCCCAACAGCAAGGGTTGGTGGACTGGCTGGCTGCACTCCCTTGCCCGCTTGCTTGCTTACTCTAAGGCTGCTTCAGCTCCTGGAAACCAGTACCCCTTGGCCAGCCCCAGAGGCACCATTCGCCTGTGGAGCTTGTAGCCAGGGCTGCTGCAACAAACAGCCATGGAAGCCTTTGGGAGGCAGAGACACTAAAGGGCAACAGAGGAGGGAGGGAGGGAAAGAGGGATGGAGCCCAGTGTTGCCCGTGGCACCCCTGACCATCATTCACGGCACACTGGTTGAAAACCACTGGTCTACACTGACAACAAGCAGTGGTTCTCCGGTAGAGGACAATTCCCAGCCCTACCTGGAGAGGCTGTCGGGGATCGAACCAGGGACCTTTCACATGCAAGGCAGATGCTCTACCCCTGAGCTATGGACCTTGCCTTGTCATAGGAAGCTGCCTTCTGCTAAGTAACAGTTTTAACCCGAAGTTGGGGTTGCTTTTAAATGAATGTTACTATTGAGATAGAGCTGAAGAGTTGAAGTCCACAACATCTGGAGGGCAGCACATTGGTAAAAAAAAAGAGGTAAAGGTAAAGGACCCCGACAGTTAAATCCAGTCACAGATGGCTCTGGGGTAGTGCTGTGTTAACTGGACCAATGGACTGTCTTGGTGTAATCTTTAAAGGGTGCTTGCTGATAGGCCTCTTGCCTGGTCTTCTGTGGCAAGTAAGGGTTGCCATTTGGTGGACCAGAAGCAGAAGTTCTTTTAAATTATCACAGACACACACATTCCTTTGTGGCCATTGAGGTTTAGCAAAATTAATGTGTGGTCAGCAGAGGCCGGTTTAAAACACTCTCACACACAATTATTAAATATTAGTAACTTTGGGCAAATTGGAATGGTTGCTGTGGGGATAGAACATGCAGATTCACCATTTTTGTTCTGAGGCGGTGTTTGGGTTTGAGGACAAACACTTTTTCCAAAATCTTTCAGTCAGAAAGATCTTTGCAGGCAGAAGTCTGCAGCCAACAAAGAAATGTTTGTATGGGTGACTGGCTGTTAAGTGCCATGATAAAGCAGTGTGTCTTGTTTTGCCTGAAAGGCTTGAAATGTCTTTGGGTCCAAAAGAGTTCAGCTTAGTTTCATCTCTGGTATAATGCATGTGTATCTGATGTATGTGTTTATCTAGATGCATAGACCTGGGAATCCTGCATATTGTTATATGACTATGTCTCTGGCCGGCTAAACCAGGTGAGGGTAGCCAAGGGGTCTCAAACCCTCGGTGAATGAGGGACTTGCCCTGCATGTGAAGACAAGCTCAGGCGGATGAATGGACGAGACCATTAGTGGGTCCAATGGTCAAGAAGGTGGTTTCTGCACATGAGGGGCAGATGAGGCTCATCAACTTGGGAAGGTAGCCCATCTAGGAGAAGGAAAACTGATCTTAAACCTCTGCTGCCTTGTGGCTATACTCCTTCATGAGAAAGGATTTGGGAGTAAACCCCAGGGAAAAGTCTGTACCCACTGCCTTGTGGGACAGTTAAAGCATCCATGACAAGTGGCCAATCAACCTCTGCTTAAAAACTTCCAAGGAAGGAGAGTCCACAACCTCCCGAGGGAGACCATTTCACTTTAAAGCAGTCCAAGTTCATGGCTGACACTACACCCTATGGGTTTATTTATCGGTTTATTTATGCAGTGTTGGTCCCAAATCTTCTAACATTTCAGCTTCCTCAGGCTCTGAATAGCCTGCCTTGCACTGCCTACAAAAGGAGGTTGCGTTAGTACGGTAAATTGTAACAGCTTTCTGTCTTTCGTTCTCATTAGAATGCTTAATTCCACAGTGTCTTAGAATTGCATCAGATGTGAATACTGGTCATTTATCATAATAAAGGGATTGATTGAGTGCTTGGTTGCATCAGATGAAATGGAGCCCAGTTAACAAAAAGGATGCCCCATAATAAACTTGTTAGATTTTAAGGTATTGCAAAACTCTCTGGAAATGTCTTCAGAATCGGTGCTATTCTGAGTAGTTTAGCAACAGTTAAGTTGCTGGGAATTGAATTTACACTCTGCATCAGCATGGTGTCCTCCCAGATGCCTCTTCCATCATCCCTGACCATTGGCCATGCTGGCTCATGACAGTTGGAGTCCAACAACATTTGGAGGGTGTTGATTCTCTCTGCAGAGGAGTGAGCAGGTAGTACATTGGAATCTATTGATTGAACTCAGGGTGATTTGCAGTTGATAGGCAAAAGCTTTTGACTCCCAAATTTAACAAAAGTAAAATTATATGTTTATTTTATTTTATTTTTAAGATACCATGATACCTGGCCATGTGCTTATTATTTTATCTCTTGTTCTCCTATGAAATATAAGTAGTTATTTGTTGCCTTTGATCAGATTGCATTGTGTCTGGAGAGTTTTGTGTTAGATTTTTTGACTTAGATTTAGATGTGTCTTTGTCAATTGTAGCGTCGATTACAGCCTCATGGACTGAAGTAGGTAATTGACACCACTGCCTCCACACTCCCCTCCCACCCATCCCCAGCCTCTTTTTCACCAGGCTCTGCTTAGGGAACCTAGTAAAAAGCAAAATGGGAAGCGGGGACATAACTCAGTGCTATGCTCATTATCTCCAGGGAGGGCTGTAAGAGACCCCCGGCTGAAATCCTGGCGAGTCACTGCCAGTCACAAGCTAGATCAGGGATGGGGAACCTTTTTGGGCCAGATCCTTATCAGGAGCAGCCTCACCTGTCCATTATACGATGCCACAATGACATCAAGTGCAAGGTGCTTTGACGTCCCAGAGTCGGAACTTCAAAGCACCTTGCAAGGTACTGCTAAAAGAGAGATTTTTTTCCCTCCTTTCTTTTTTAGCAGGGGGGTTCCATGGAATTTGCTGAACTGAGCAGGATTTAACTCCCCACTCATTAGTTGATAAAAGTAGCAGTTAAATCCTTCTGCTTTGGCTGCATACCCTTCCTTCGTGCTGGGAATGGGTACACAGCCAATGTAGGATTTAACACCATCTTCCTACCCATCAGATGATGTCATGGGTTTTGTCAGCTGGTGGATGTGGTTTGGGGAAAATGGGTTTGCAGGCCAGAGGTTCCCCAGCCCTGGGACAGATGAACCCAAGGAGCTACCTTAGTGTAGGGCAGCTTCTTGTGTAGCTCCATGCTTTCTGGCATTAGGAGAAACTGGGATAAATGTCCCTCCCTGTGCACTGTTCCAAATTGTGTTAATCCTCACCCACGTTCCCTTCTCGGCCATTTCTTTCTTGTTCCAGTGCCTGGTTTTATGACTGCTTGCAGAGTGGGGAGGAGATGCCTGACTGTTAAATCTGGTCAAAAGTCATAAAGGGAGCCTTGTCTTCAGATTAAAAAAAGGAAAGGAAAGGAAAAACCCCAATCAATAATTGTGCTTTGGGGCCAGATCTTGCAGTCACGCTGTGGAACTTCAGCCTCTGATCAACTCATTAAATCTGTGCCGATGGTGTCAGCGAGGAAGTCGAGCAGCTCGGATTGCGGGATTCTCTTAGCCAGGTCTATTAACTTTGCAGAAATCAATAATAATAATAAAATCGCTGCAGATGAACCTCGCAGTGCGGCACGTCAGTTTCATAAAAGCAGCTGAGGACCGTGGCGCTTGGTGGATGCGGCTCCTCAGTTGGGACATTTCCTCCCCTGAGACGATGCCAGGTGAACCTGATGGGATCCATTTTCTTGAACCCTGTGCAACCACAGCTAGGCATCTAATGCAGCAGCTGCCTGTCTGGGATACCACCAGGGAAGGGGTCACTAACCTCTGGCCCTCCAGATGTTGCTGAGCTGCAACTCTTAGCAATTCGTGCTGCTCGGTGTTCAGGGATGATGGGCATTAGGAACATAGGAAGAACATAGAAAGCTGCCTGGTGCCAAGCCAGACTTACCTTAATCATGAACGTTTATTTCAGTGGGTCTGCTCTAAATTTGACTAAGGTAAGATGCAGCCCAGGGGTGGAAAGGAGAAACAGAAAAACTAAAGCCTGCAGATTTATCCCTCCTTTTCTGACACATAGTTGGATCCTAGAGTTGGAAGAGACCCTGAGGATCATCTAGTCCAACCTGAATATGCAGCTGTCCCATATGCAGATCGAACCTGGCGTTATCAGTACCATACTCTAACCAAATGAGCTATGCTTGATAGGCATGAAGCATTGTTGGGGAAGGGCTGTAGCTGATTGGTAGAGCATTTGATTTGCATGTGGAAGGTCCCAGATTTAATCCCTAGCACCTGCAGGTGGGAAAGGGAATTTCCCCTGTCTGCTCCCAGTCAGTGTAAACAATACTGAGCTAGATAGACATAGGAAGTCTTCTACCAAGTCAGGCCATTGTCTGTCTAGCTCAGTATTGTTGACACTGACTGGCAGCAGCTCCGCAGGTTTGGGACAGGGTTCTGCTCCAGACCTATCTGGAGATGCCAGTGAATGAACCCAGGACCTTCCGAATGCAAAGCAAATGAGCAGTGTTGTTGCCCAAAACATTTGGAGGTTTTTGGCTGATTCGCCAATCAATCAAATGTTGCAGCCCTAGAAAATATTCCACCTTGATGGGTTTGAGGGTATAGATGTTTGGGGTGTAGATGTTGATATGGTCTGGCTTTTCTTTAAAGGTAAGACCTACCATGTGAGCATAGGGGTCTCTTAGGTCCAGAGGTAGAACTTAAATCACTCTAGGTTGGATTTGATTTTTTTTAAGTTACCTCATTTGAGAGCGCTTGCTTTTGAAATGATAAACCAAATGCGGCAGCACTTGTCCTGCTTGGTTTGTCTTCTCCTTTGTGACGCTGATGTGGCCTCGTTGGGTCGCTTGCAGGCATAACTGATGTGCTTCCGTTTGACATTTTTGTCTCTGTCTCAAGGGGCTGCCATTTATTTTTTATCTATTTTTTTATTAAAGATTTTGTTGATTTACAAAAGTGTGCAATATCTCTCGTGGTTTTTTCCCCATGTAACATTTTTGTTGAGACATTAGAAAGAAAAGGGGGAAAGAGGTGTAGGGAGGGAAAGATGGATGGGGTTGGGGTCAGGTGGTGATATTTCTATTTTACCATATTTACTATATGTAGGGTTTGGTGTCAGCGTTGCTTGTGCAGGTACTTTGCTGTTCCTTTGGTGGTGAGAGAGGTTGGGGTTGGCCTAGGGTGTGGTTATTCATTTGTGGTTGGCTGTGGTGGCCTTTGTTTTCATGTGTGAGTGGGGTAGGTGGGTGTTTTGGATCAGGTTAGCCATATTGATTTGTATGCTGTTGGTGGATTTTTATCGTTGTGATGTTGGGCTGTGTATGTGATAAAGGGTAGTCATACCGGGGTGAAGGTGTCTTCTTCTATTTGATCCCGTGTCAGTTTCAGTTTATTGGTTAATTTTTCTAGTAGGGCTGTTTCCCATACTATTTGGTACCATTGGTCCATGCTTACTCCTGACAGGTGTCTCCAGCGTCTGGCTATGATGCTTCTGGCTGCTAAAAGTAGGTGGGTTATGAGTTCTTTGTGGTGTAAGTGGGCATTATTGTCTTGGAAGATGTTTAGTAAGGCCAATTCTGGGGTGATTTCTAATACTTGCTTGGTTATTTTACTTATTTCTCGTATGGTTGTTGTCCAGAATGGTTGGATTTTGGGGCACTCCCACCACATGTGGAGGTATGTGCCTGTGGAGGTGCACCCTCTCCAGCATTTTGGTGAGGTTCCTGGGTATATTAGAGCTAGTTTTCTTGGTGTTAAGTACCACCTGTAGGTGAGTTTCAGAGTGAGTTCTTTTCTTTTCGTTGATATGGATTTAAAGGGGGGGGTTTAGACCACATTTTGGTCCATTGAGTGTGGTTAATCTCATAGCCTATGTCATCCTCCCATTGTTTTTTAATTGCGTCTAGGGAGTTTGTGGGATTTTGTAGTAGTATTTTGTATATTACCCTGTGTGTTCATCTTGGAATCTTGCAACCAAAGACCCTGTCTCCCTGATCCTTTAGGGCAAATGGGATGATGCCCTGCCTGCCTGTCTTCTTGCTTACGTCCCCAGTCCGGGAGGGTGACACTACTTGCCAGCTTCCCCCTCCTTCGTCTCAGTGTTGCTTTTGCGGAACTCAGCAGGGAGGAGAAAGATGGATGCTGAATAAGAATTAGTTGCCTCCACTTGTCATTGGCTCTAGCGACACCTTCTGTTGGGCTCCCTGTCTTCCACCCTACCAGAAACAATGGTCACCAGCCACCCCTGCCTGACTCATGTTTTTGGATATAGAACTCAGAAAGGCCTGATCTAGTTAGGTTTGGTTATCTTTTGGTAGGTTTGGTGATTCCCAAAGTGGGCAGTACCTGGGGCGGTGGAATTACCTAGGGGGCGCTGAGGCAAGGGGGCAGCAGGGGGCTGCTGGAGGTGTATATGACTATCCGACTTCGAAAAGCTGGCATCAGTGGATCATGTTCATCAGTTTTGTTGAATTAATTAAGCTAAATAGTTGTAACCGGATTTTGGAAAAAATGTGTAATTAAGTGTTACTGTTTTGGATTATATTCTGTTGTTATCTTCCTTAGTGGGCCATGCAAACCGCTATTCTGAATAATGCCTTTTATAGGGTAGAGTATGCAGACACTGGGGATGAGTTTATGAAACCAAGGGGGCATTGACCTGGAAAAGTCCGGGGAGCCACTTATTTAATGGGAGATAAGAAGCATCACATAAGAGCTTTAAATTACTGTTGACTGCTGGAAATCAGCCTTGGGACATGGCGGGGAGACTGTGCAGCACTGCAATTCTCAGCACCCTTAACAAACTGCGGTTCCCAGGATTCTTTGGGGGAAGCCATGTACTTTAAATGTATGGTACCTATGCAACCTGAGGTTACAGCCGCACCATATATTTAAGGCACATGGCTTCTCCCAGAGAATCCTGGGAACTGTAGTTTGTTAGGGAGCTAAAAAGAAATTTCTGCCTGCTTGCATCCCTAAGTAACACAGAAGACTTTGGGGCAAGAGCATGGAGTTTATCCTGTTTTATTGCCATACCACTGTCCTTTCTAAAGCTACTGAATATTTTAATATTGTTGTGTAAGTTAGGGTTGCCATATTTCAAACAGTTGAAAGTTGTTGAGCTGCTGCTTCTTTTGCCAAAGTTGCTGAGCTTTTTGTAGTTTTGCCCAAAGTTTTTGAGCTATTCTTAAGGAATATCTCCAAAAATGACACTGCCGACATGGGTTGCCATACGTCCAGATTTTCCCGGACATTTTGGCGATTTATGCTCGGACACTGCTTCTGAATGCAGTATTACGGATATGTCCAGGAAATTCCTGGAGAAATTTGAGGCTCTTTGCAATTTAACCTAATTTGCACTTTGCTACCTTTCCAAAGTCGTACTTCTCTTAGTTTTGTAAGAGAAGTTCTCTTTTTAAAAAAAAAGTGTACAAGCATAATGTGTGTGTTGGAGGAAAGCGTGCATGAAAACAACATAGAAAAAATGGATCACGCTTAGGGGAAATCCCTTGCAAAGATGTGTAAATCAGGAGGAAATGGAACAAAAATACTGGCAAATTTTCATTAGAAATTCCACCACCACACACACAGACACACCCGCAAAAAAAATAAACACACAAACTGATGTGAAAATGTGGCAAGCTGAATTTCAGACGGTTAAACAGAGAAATTAAAACTGGTCTACCCATTCTTACTGGGGGGTAAACAGAAAAAACTTAAAATGCATTCCAAAATATCCCCACCCAAAAAATAATAATTCCCCCTTACACACTCTCACACACAGAAAAACCATAACCATTGAACCATATATTTTCTACGGTGTACTGATGACTGGACTAAGGTGCTGTCTCCTATCTAATAATTATACATTTCCTTGCAGATTTTCCCTGTCATTGGTTACTACAGCAACCGTATAGTGGTAGCTCAGCTGAAGAGCTGTCTGGGTGATTTATGGCTCAAAAGACATTCTCCCCCCCCCCCCCAAATCCCTTCCCTCTCATTGGAACATTCCTTGCGCTTGTATTCTTGCCCCACTGCGGGTGCCATGGCAACTTATCAAGAGGTTGGGGGGGGGTCACCTGAGGCTGCTGCATTTTCTCCTGGTGAGTAAGGCAAGAGCTGCGGTCGCTCAGGCTCTGTTACTACAGCATCTTGCACCTTGTATCTCTGCGCACACATCACACATCTGTGAGTGAGCAGAGCATAAATGTGTACATATTAAATCTCCCATTTCTGGACTGAGAACTTTTTCATCTTGCAGAGGAAAGCTGAACTAAGGGAAGATGGCTGATTTTTTGGTACTCTAATGGTTTCTGTGTATTTAGCATTGCATGCGGAATTTCATAGTACAGGGTCGCCCGGTGTTATTTTTATCCGAGGCTGGATAGGAAGGGAAAAGATTTAGATAATATAGATGTTAGGTTTGTGTTCTCGTTCTCTCTCTCTCTCTCTCTCTCTCTCTCTCACACACACACACACACACTCTCTCTCTCTCTCTCTCTCTCACACACACACACACACTCTCTCTCTCTCTCTCTCTCTCTCTCTCTCTCTCTCACACACACACACACACACACACACACACAGCATCAAGCAATGACAGCCATATTTATTACCTATAGCTGCAGGCCTCTGCACAATAGGCAATAACAAAATTATTGTTGTTCATAATTGTTATTTGTACATATTTGCTTATTTATTTGGTTTATTGACTTCAAATTTTTAAAATGCAATTTTAAGAACAGTTAAAACAAATTACAGCCAAGAGAATAAGTTGGGAAATGTATATTCCTCAGCTGTCGAAGGCCAGAATCAAAGGTTTCATCTTCAGCATGTGGTGGAAACCACAAAATGAAGGTGCCAGGTATATCTCTGTATGAGGGGTGGGATTGTGCAGTTTATGGGGCTGCCACACAGAATGCACCTTTCCAGGCAGCCCCCCCCCCCCGCCTGAGCTTATGAGGGTGGGGGGAATTACCCAGAGGGCCCCCTCCATCATTCTGAACGTAAAACGGCATGAAACAGAACAATGAAATGTTCAGCTTTGTTTATCGTTGCGATGCTAGCTACGAGAAAAGAATCTTAACATCTGTAATTTCAATCCAGATAGACCATCAGCTGCACAGTTAACTCTCTCACATCCAAAATAGTTATTCTTGAATATCTTAGCATTGATAGGAATTTTAAAAATAAAATAAATTACAACCATCAGACTTTGCAAATGGATTTTTTAAAATTAACTGTAGAAAGAACCTCCACCCCAAGGTTTTTTTTTATATACCAGGAGCATAATTAAACAAAGTGCACAATTCCTGAGATTCAGGACAGGCCCCAGCACTCACATAAAATCCAGTTATCTTTCCTCTGTCTCCCATCCCAGTAAGCATCATTAAACCAACGGAGAGGCATAACTCTGGATTGTATTCAATGAAATGAACCCCGTGTTCACAGACTTGATTTTAAGTTTAGAAAATAACTACTGTACATAGACAAGGGACACGGGTGGCGCTGTGGGTTAAACCACAGAGCCTAGGACTTGCCGATCAGAAGGTCGGCGGTTCGAATCCCCGTGACGGGGTGAGCTCCCATTGCTCGGTCCCAGCTCCTGCCAACCTAGCAGTTCGAAAGCATATCAGAGTGCAAGTAGATAAATAGGTACCGCTCCGGCGGGAAGGTAAACGGCATTTCTGTGCGCTGCTCTGGTTCGCCAGAAGCAGCTTAGTCATGCTGGCCACATGACCTGGAAGCTGTACGCTGGCTCCCTCGGCCAATAAAGCAAGATGAGCGCCGCAACCCCAGAGTTGGCCACGACTGGACCTAATGGTCAGGGGTCCATTTACCTTTACCTATAACAAATAGAATCAGTTACATTTCCATGCATTATTTTATAGATATTTAAATGATATTGTCCCAATACATATACGATTATTAGTAACCTGCTACATTCTGTATAAACTTGTTCCAAATGTTATCCAAAGTCTACATCTTTTTTTCTTTATAAACATATTTTTTATTAAAGATTTCTTGGTTTACAAAAGTATGTGCAATGTCTCTTTTTTCAAGTTACATTTCCTACAGATCAGTTTCATTTACTGAGACGGCAAAGTCCATGTCTTTAAGCAATCTGTTCATATGTTGCAAGTGTTGTCACGTCATGAATCCATTGATTAAAGGGGATCAATACCTTTATTCTTCCAATTCATCAATACCAGTCTCTTGCCGGCCGCCCCTGCTGGTTGGCGACTGTGAGAACAGTATTCTGGACTAGATGGGCCATTGGCGTGATCTGGCAGGCTCTTCTTCTGCTACTAAATAGTGTGTAGAATACATGGGCATTGCAAGCAAGGATGTGCTCTATTCATTTGTAATAAATTATGCAACCCGGGAGCAATCGGCTGCAAATGTAGAAGCTTGGAATAGTGTTGAGCAAGAATCCTTGGATGCATCGTTGCAATGGGATTGGGTGACCCCAGCATGGTCCATGAGTCAGCGCATATCATTCGCTGAACTTGATCTGACCTGCTTTCCCAGCAGGGATGCATACCAAGATTCAGTGCGCCAGGAAAGGGAGAGATTTAATGATGGGTTGGAGAAAGAATTACAAAACCCCTTTTAGCTTTAAGAGATTTGACTGCTTGTTTGAATAGATTCCACAGGGAGAGTTACATTCCCTGGGACATCTGTAACATGAAGGCGATTTGAGTGTCAGACAAAATAAACCCGAGGAAATGCCTGCAACCTCTCCAGCTTTGCGTGTTGCCGTGGCAATTTATGACCTTTGCAATACTGTAAGAGGAAAAGCAGGAACTGCTAGCTAGGAGCTAAATAAAAGTTGCCATGTGCAAAACACAATACAAGAAGATCTCTCAAAATAAAGATGGTAAATTCCCACTGCCAGAGGTTAGCAAAAAAATTTATCTTTTTCTAAAAGGTTTTGAATCTGGAGTTGAAATTATTGATTGAATTCAGTCTGTGGAAGGAAAGAAGGAAAGTGGGCCATGAAGGGGGGGAGGGAAGCAACATAAGGGAACGATGCTAGCATGTCAATTAGTCTTTCTAAATTCTTTGCCCATTGTTAATGTTAATGCAAAAAGGAAGTGGCTTCAATGGGACAGCAGAGGCCAGATATACAGATTTTGAAAAACTTCCACAACGGGACAGGGATGAAGCCGGGGGCTGGGGATAGGTATGTTCCTTTCATCAAATCAAAGTATTAACAGTATAATATAACATCAGTGTACATATTGAGATTATGTGCATTCTAACCAATACTGGACGCAGCTCCCATTTACAGTGGTACCTTGGGTTAAGATCTTAATTTGTTCTGGAGGTCCGTTCTTAACCTGAGACTGTTCTTAACCTGAGGTACCACTTTAGCTAATGGGGCCTCCCGCTGCCGCTGCGCAATTTCTGTTCTCATCCTGAAGCAAAGTTCTTAACCCAAGGTACTATTTCTGGGTTAGCGGAGTCTGTAACCTGAAGCGTCTGTAACCTGAAGGTACCACTGTATAAAGCTAAATAAAACTGAAACAGCAACAAAAGCAGAACTTCATAGTAAAGCTCATTCACGTGTTCCACTGAATACAGGTAGAACTCATCTTTGCACGTCTAGAAGTGTTTGTGTTTAAGAGTACAGTGGTACCTTGGGTTACATACGCTTCAGGTTACATACGCTTCAGGTTACAGACTCTGCTAACCCAGAAATAGTACCTCGGGTTAAGAACTTTGCTTCAGGATGAGAACAGAAATCGTGCTCCGGCGGCGCAGCAGCAGCAGGAGGCCCCATTAGCTAAAGTGGTGCTTCAGGTTAAGAACAGTTTCAGGTTAAGAACAGACCTCTGGAACGAATTAAGTACTTAACCCGAGGTACCACTGTATAAGCTTGTCAATATGTATGCCTCAACTATTGTATGCACAAAAACATACAACTTTGAATGTTATATGTGAATATGAGTTTACAGGTCAACTATTTGTGTACACAGGACAGGATGGCGGTGATTAATTCATGGAGAACTAGGCTGTCTTTGGCTGCCAACCACAATGGCTGTGCTCTGCCTTCACAGTCTGCAGCAGAAATGCTCCTGAATACCAGTTGCTGAAGAGCAAAGGAGAGGAGGGTGTTTTTGTCCTGGAATCCTGCTTGCTAGTTTTCCACAGGCATTTGGTCGGCCCTTGTGAGAACAGGATGCTGGACTGTTTGGCGCCTGACCCAACAGGCTGTTGTTCTTATGGGGCTATGATTCATGGTCACCGGAAGAATGTATTTGCTTGTGTGTTGAGTCTCTTCCTTCTCTGTCTCCCAGGTCACCAGCAGCAAGGGAGGAAAAAAGAAGGTTTGATCCTTTGTTTTTGTTGCGGAAGAAAAGGGAAAATGGCATTGATGCTGCTCAGCCGACATCTAACGAGTTCGTTGCAACAGAACTCTAGGATTATTGCAGCTGGTAAGTGGTGGGAAAAGCACATGAAACAGAATGGCGATATTGGTAGAGTTCCACAGCTCAAGGCAGTGGCTTATATTAGTCCTGTGATGAATATCTCCCCCATGTTTCCCCCCTTCCTCCCACCAGTCTTCATCTATTTATGGAGAAAATAAATCGCATTTGGAAATTACTAGAAGGGAGGGGAAATATCATTGAAATTAAAGGGAGGGGGCTTGCCTTGTACCACATTCACACCGCACGTTTAAAGCACCATGATATCACTTCGGCCGCGGCTCCGATCTGATGGAATGCTCTGTCACAAGAGACTAGGGCCCTGCGGGACCTGACATCTTTCCGCAGGGCCTGCAAGACAGAGCTGTTCCACCAGGCCTTTGGTCAGGGCGCAGCCTGACCCCCTCCTCTGGCAATCTGCACAGAATTTTGCTTAATGGTTGCCATCAATTTGATTTTAATTTGATTTTAATTAATTTTATAATGAATGTTTTTAGAAGGTTGGATTATTTTGATTGTTGTTAGCCGCCCTGAGCCCAGCTTCGGCTGGGGAGGGCGGGATATAAATAAAATTTATTATTTATTATTATTATTTAAACAGGCATTGCTTTCCCCAAAGAATTCTGGGAGCTGTAGTTTGTTAAAGGTGCTGAGAGTTGTTAGGAGGCCTTAATCCCCCTCCCAGAGTTTCAGTTCCCAGAGTGCTTTAACAGTCAGTCCCTCTTTCCAGGGAACTATGGGAATTGTAGCTCAGTGAGGGGAATATAGGGCTCTCCTAGCGACTCTCAACACCCTTAACAAACTACAGCTCCCAGAGGTATTTGAGGGAAGCCATGACTGTTTAAAGTGGCATCATAACGCTCTCAATGTATGGGGTGAATGTGACCTCAGTATAAGGCAGATTCCCATGTTCTTTACAAAACGTCTTTCCGTGAGCAAAACCAGCCAGGATCCAAAATCTTCCCTTTCTGTTCTGGCCTTTCAAGAGGCTTTTAAATTCCTCTCGGCTGGGAAAGGGCTGGCGTTGTCTGGTACAAACTGCCTACTTCTGCATCTTGTTTATCCTCTGGAGCTTCTCGTGTTACTCTTCAAGCATCCAATAAATAGGATTCATCTCCCAGAACATTGCACAAGAATTGTTTACTTGCTACGCAGTTCCCACTGGCTTGGCCTCCTGCTCTGTGAAGATTCCTGTTAGCAAAACTGCAATCTGAATTTGGGCATTTTTTCACCATGCGCCAGAATTTTGGTGAAAAGGTAGACTGGCTCTACAAAAATAGCATAGAGGCAGATATATGTCCTGCATTGTATACCCACAAAGTCTAATACATTTGGAGGGCCACAGATTCCCCATTCTTTAATCTAGTTCATCGTTGCTAGTGGTTTTTCAGCATCTCAATGAGAGGTTTTACACGTCACCTGCTATCTGAATGACCTTTTTGTTTTGTAACTGGAGACGACACGGATTGAGCCTGGGAACTTCAGCATGGAAATAATGTGCTCTGTCATCTGCACAATGAAATAGAGGAAAGAGCATAGGAATCTGCCTCATTCTGAGCTGGTCCATCTAGCTCAGTATTGTCTACACTGACTGGCAGCAGCTCTCCGGGATTTCAGGCAGGACATTCCTAATCCTTCCTGGAAATTCTGGGGATTGAACCTGGGACCTTCTGCATATGCATATCAGATGCTCTGCCACTAAGCTACAGCTTTTCCGACCAGCAGGAATGTTCATAAATCCTCTATTGCCATCCCATCAACTCAGCTGATCAATGTTCAGCGGCTTCACTGCCACACGGGCAATGCAGTCAGATCAATCAAGCTCTGATCAATAAATTAAATCAGCTAAAGTTTCGGCTGGTTTCATCACTGGAGGGCATACTTGTTAATCTTTTTCTTGGGAAGGCAAGGCTATTTTTGGTCCTAGTGTGTCAGCTCAGTTTGGACCGATGGGGTTTCTAGCCATGCTTGGTAGCCTTTGCTTAATAAATTATGTCAGAGGCTTCCACCAGTGTCTCAGAAAAGGCGTTCGGACTGGTTTTTGATAGAAGGCAACTTTATTTCACTGCAATGGATTTGTTCAATAGGTATGTACGCTCAGGGCGGCGAGTCCCGTTTTGCCACTTGAGGTGATCCCAGAAGTGCCACCTTGCCTTGCTGCTACCACCAAACTGCCCACCACCAAGATCTTGCCCCAAATGGACACAATCTTGCCTGAAATCTGCACTGACAATGGCAGTGCTTCTCTGCCACTGGCGGAGGCAGCAGGTGCCCCCTGGAGAGCTTCTGCCACCTGAGACAGCAGCCTGGTTCTGCCTAATGCCTGGGCCGGCCCTATATACAATGCAATTCTATACATATTACCCAGAGGGGAGTCCTATTGTGCCCCTTTAACCTTTTAAAAAAATGACTTCAAATTGGTTAACTTTATATTCCTTGCAGGGCACAGAGGAATCAGTCAAGCTGCAGCAAAAATTGATGTGGAGTTTGACTATGATGGGCCCCTCATGAAGACAGAAGTCCCCGGCCCAAGATCCAGGGTAAACTGATGCATTGAGACAGGCGTCTTTCAAGCCCCTTGTTATTGGCCTGGTTTGGATGCAGGGATGGGGGAGAATTCGATTCAGTGTGCATTTAAACTGTCACAATCACATTTTTCAAAACAAAATGAGAATTGAAAGGCAGCCATGCTTCCAGATTTGCACTTCTACAAATTTTGTGATGCTGTTTTCCACGCAGTGTTCACAAAAATACATCTATTAGGAGAAGGTGTGCATATAAAAATGAACATATTTGAGAAAATAACATACAGATGTGTGTTAGGAGAAATTGCCTGCAGAGAGGTGTTCCTTAGTCGAAAGTGCATACCAAAACATGCTGAGGAGAAATTTGTGCTGAATACTGAACAAGTCTCATGAAGTTTTAAAAAAGGAAAACCCAAACGGCCACAGAAATGTGAAGAACCGAATTTAGGATTTGAAAAATGTGAAACCAACAGAAACTGAAATTGATGGACATATCAATCCCAATTGATACGTCACACTGAGCCACACAATGGCTTAGTGGAAGGTGTGCAGACTCCAGGAGGAGAGATTGCAGCCAATTAGTTCCTCAGCTGAGCTGAGCTGAGCCAAGCCATGGTTTGGCTTATAGTGTCGCCAGCACCCAGGCTCACACTTCAGCTCTTTCTAGACTAACCAAGGTTGCCCTGTGGTTTGGAGATCCAAACCACAAGCCCTGTTCAGACAACATGCTAAGCCAAACCATGACTTAGCTCAGTGCATCTATCCAAACTATCATCCTGCTTAAGTTATATTCATAATATTCGTTATCTCTTTCCTTCCAGGAATTAATGAAACAGTTGAACAGAATCCAGGTAATTTATCCTGTTTTTAGTGTAAAAATATAAATCTTCTGCCCCCAAACCGTTACCTGCAGAACCTTATAAGAATACTAGGCAGCAAATCAACTGTGGATGGGTAGGCAACCCTCCTTGCAAATGGGGAGTGGGCATTCAATACTTCTTTGAGAAGCTGACCATATTGATTTTCAAGGGGGGAAATGGCCCACAGTCCCCGGCTTGGAAGACGCTGCAGATTAGGGGGCCCTTGTCCTTATCTCTCCCACCCACCTCTCCGTGGGCCACATTTGACCAGTTGTCAGAGCCTCCGAACTCTCCGTCGCCTGGCATCACAATGATGTCAGGTGGGTTGTTTTTGCCTGCAGGGTTTGAAATCAAACCACATGGGCAAAAAGCCCAGTGCTTTTTGCAAACCCCAGCAATCAGCTGATGCAAGCAAACCCTTTTTTGGCTCAGCCTTCTTTACCTGCCAACATAGATGACATCAGGTAGAGGGCAGGTATGTGTGTGGCTTGGCCTACACAGCCTTAGGGACCAAATGGAGAAACCTGGCCAGTCTTCTTAGGCCTGGGAGCTGGACTTTTCCTTATTTGAATTCATTTTTTTATTATTATTTAGAGCATTTGTACCCTGCTCTTCAGCTAAAAAGCCTTTCAGAGCAGCTAACAGACCATCAGTTAAGACAAGACAGCCCCTACCTGGAGATTTACAATCTATTTACAATCTATTTTTTAAAAAAGGCACAAAAGGAATGGCGAGGGGAGAGGAAAAAAGCAAACTCAGTTTCCCTGATACTATGCTGAGGAGCAGCTTGCTGTGTGCGCATGTGACCACTTTCAAGTAGGAAGCTGGTACAGGACCCCAGTCTGGATCAAGGGTGCATTGCTTTTTATTCAGAATAAAAAGGGGCTGCTTCAAGCACAATCGAAAAAGCATGAATAAAGAGTGCCGTGTGTTGACTGGCCCTTAACTTCAGGGCTCTGCCAGGGAGGAAGCAGGCAGACCAGGACAGTGTCGTGGCCTCAAGTCTTTTTTAAAACCAGAGGCAGCCCCCCTCCTTCTCCTGTGCTAAATGGCCTGAATGGTCTTTCCCTGGGGGTGGGGCGGTCAAGGCCACTTCTCTCTCTCCCTTCCTTCCAGAATGCAGAAGCCGTGCACTTTTTCTGCAACTACGAAGAAAGCCGGGGAAACTACCTTGTTGACGTTGACGGGAACCGAATGCTGGATCTCTACTCTCAGATATCTTCCATCCCAATAGGTAAGCCAAGAGGATGTTCTCTTGTGGGGGGGTATGAAACTCCCTTCTGGGAGATGTGGGGTTGCCTGCTGTCTTAAAAACAAACAGTTGGGCCATTTTTGCAGGGTGGAGTTGTAAAAGTCCATTGACAGCTAAACAGAACCTCCTTGTACAGTGCCACTCTACCTCTGAAGAAAAACTGCTGGGGCAAATAACAGGGTGGCTGCTTCATGCCCTCCTTGTTGTCTTTCTGGAGGCATCTGACTGGTCACTTTTGTTATTGTGGTTAGTGTCCAACTGGGACCAGGGTCCAAATCCTCACTTCACCATGAAGCCCACTGGGTCACCTTGGGCCAGCAACTCACTCTCAGGTTAACCTACTTCACGGGGTTGTTGTGAGGATTAAGTGAGGAGCGTGGGAGAACCATGTAGGTCACCTTGAGCACCTTGGAGAAAAGGGTGGGGGATAAATGCAATAAACAACAACAAAAAGGAGGCTGGACTGGGCAGACTCTGCACTGATCCTGCAATGCAAGTTTAGCATTCTTCTTTCCGTGTTGTGAGTCCTAAATTTGAGCAAATGTTGGCCCGAAATGCACGTTCTGGTCTAGAGCCAGGGTTGTCATTGAGCAAGGCACTAGGAGGAACTTTCCGAACTCCGAAGAAAGTAGGTTAGCCTTTACGTAAGACTTCCAAACAGAACTGAATAGCTACAGAAGTGGAACTGGCTAGGCCTCCAAGCTCCCGAAGGGCAGGAATGCAGATTAATGACCACAAGAGTGTGCCATTTTATTTTGGCTAGCTGCTGTGTAGTTACTATGTCTGAGCTGTTTCAACAATACACCAACATCAGAAGAGCACCAGCTGGGCCCGCAAGCTGTCAACGAAATATTTGAGGTTGTGAAAACGGGGCTTGTGACGCTGAGCTTGCAAACTCTTGATTGTGTAGAACTTAATGGGTCACTTGCTGCTGGTTAAGCTGCAGTGATTTGACGGAATGTTCAAAACACTCAGCCTGCTCAGGGTAAGCAATCATGTCATTAGCAGAATGTGACAAACCAGTCGCATGGCTATAGGATCTTTGCCAGAATAATTGGTGCACACACAACTTTTGGAGACTTGGCAGGTGGTCACTGCAGTGCTTTTAGTTGTAGTTAGTTATTCCAGTATCAGTGATTCTGAAATCAGTTTTTTTGGGGGGGCATTTAAAAGAGGAGCATGGAAGTATGGACCGGGCCTCCTACTGAAGGTGGGCGCTGGCAAGTCCCATAATCACAGCCACTGCTCTTTGTCTCTGGGCTTCAATAGGGTGGCCAAAATGTACCTTTTGGGGAGAAGCATTTGAATTTGTTACTGTCCACTGTAAAGGTAAAGGTAAAGGGACCCCTAGGGACGCAGGTGGCGCTGTGGGTTAAACTGTGGTTCGCCAGAAGCGGCTTAGTCATGCTGGCCACATGACCCGGAAGCTGTACGCCAGCTCCCTCGGCCAATAAAGCGAGATGAGCGCCGCAACCCCAGAGTCGGCCACGACCGGATCTAATGGTCAGGGGTCCCTTTACCTTTAAAGGGACCCCTGACCATCAGGTCTAGTCATGACCGACTCTGGGGTTGCTGCGCTCACCTCGCTTTATTGGCCGAGGGAGCCGGCGTTTGTCCGCAGACAGTTTCCGGGTCATGTGGCTAGCATGACTAAGCCGCTTCTGGCGAACCAGAGCAGCACACGGAAATGCCGTTTACCTTCCCGCCAGAGTGGTACCTATTTATCTACTTGCACTTTGACATGCTTTCGAACTGCTAGGTTGGCAGGAGCTGTCCGCTGTACTGATTCCTAAATCATGCTCTTTCCCTGTGCATGCCCTGTTCGTCCTTGGAGGTGCTGTATTTTCTTCCAGCTTTAGGGACAGCTGTCCCAGTGAGCTACCCTAGAAGTAGCTACTGTCCTTGTGAAATGAAAATTCACAATTGTCAAATAACAGAGCAGTTGAGGTCAGGCAGTGATCCATTTTGCATGCAACACTAAGCCAAACAACGACTTTGACTGAATGAGTAAGTGTTGCAGGGGGTTGGACTAGATGACCCTTGGGCTCCTTCCAATTCTATGATTCTGTGGTGCACAGTGCAAAAATTGTGGCCGCTTGGCTCCTCCCCTGATCCCACAGTCACTGCACTACCTGGAGTTAAACCATGGTTTGGCTTAGGGTTACATGCATAACCATGGCTTAGCTCTCTTGCTCCAAATAAGCCACAAGCTGCAATCAAGTTTGTTCCAGGAACAAAAAGACTGGGGGAGGAGCGAAATGGCTGTGATTTCCTCCCTGGGTGCCAGCACACTTGCTTGCTCACCCATAGCCATGGTTTAGCTTAGCATTATGTGCCAAACAGGCCAGTGTTCGTGTTGATTTCCTGTGGTTTCTGTTCCTCACGTTCAAATGACAACATATATGAGAAAAAGGAAGTGAGCTAGAATGTGGTCATCAACAGCTCCCAGACTCAAATTATGTTTTCCAAAAACCTTCAAAGGGTATGCTTACCACCTACCAACATTTCCTCTCCTAGAATTATTTATTTCGGCAAGCTAAGCTTTCGGCTATGCTCTCCTTCCCCCCCCCCCAAAAAAGGCATACAGTGGGTTGAGGGCAGTTAAGTATACCTTGAACATGTTAGCTGTAAGGTGGCAGGGTTCCTTGAAAGCCATTGGAAATTCTCTCTCTGTTTTGTTTTAGGTTACAGCCATCCAGCTCTAATAAAACTCCTCCAGCAGCCCCGGAATCTGGTAAGGTGCTTCTTTCACCCAAGTTACTGAAGCAACTCCTACCCATGTTGAGATTTCTTTATTTGTTGATAAGCACTGCCCAATATTGCCTGAATTTTACTTCTTTCCCCTCTGGTTTTGGAAACTGCCTGCTGGAGTTTGCTTCTGGAGGGTGGCCAGGTTTTCCAATTTTCTAGGAATTGGAGAAACATCTCTTATAAGGCCATTTCTGGCTCTCCACCACCACCACCCAGACCCACCTCTAAGTTACTTCCTCTACTTTCCCATTGTCCCCCTCTGCTTTTCTTTGCTACAGGTAGTGCCCATCTGTTTGGGCTTCCTTGGAATCAAACCTGGAGCCTTCAGATCTGTGGCTCGCTGCCCCTTATGGGTGAGCCACTCAACCAGAGGTCCATCAGGCAAATCCTAAACCATATTTTTGTGTGAATCAGCCTGTACTTTTATTATAAGAAAAAGAAAGAAAGAAAGAAAGAAAGAAAGAAAGAAAGAGAAAGACAGACAGACAGACAGAAATGGATGGGTAGGAATAAGATGAAAGGGGAAACTGAGGGGAACGGAGGAAGAAGACAGGTGCAGATGTTAAAAAATTTAAAGTATGTAGGAACCTGTCTGTCTTATACTGAAATCAAACTATTGGTGCACCTAGCTCAATGCTGTCTACACTGACTGGCAGCGGCTCTCCAGGGCTTCAGACCAGGGGGTTATTCCCAGCCCTATCTGGAGATGCCAGGGATTGAACTTGGGACCTTCTGCTTTCAAGGCAGAGGCTCTACAAATAAGCCTAAGAGCCTTCCCTTTACAAACATAGGGAACTATTTTGGACTTCAGTTCCCATCGTCCCCCCAGCCAGTACCTCCTTTTTGTAGTCTAAAGCACCTGGAGGGCATGAGGTTGGTAAAGCCTGTGCTGTTCAGTGCTGACTTCAAGCTTTTTGCCTTGTTTTCCAGAGTACCTTTGTCAACAGGCCTGCGCTGGGGATTCTTCCCCCAGAGAACTTTGCTGAAAGGCTAAAGGAATCATTGCTTTCGGTATGTTTTGCGTTGGCAGAGAAATGGCCCCAGCATGGATGGTTTGGGAAGTTTCATTGCACAGCAGCCAACTTCCTGGTGTGGTTTTTAATTTCCTGTTGTAGTGTGAATGGTTCAGGTTCAACCCTCCTGGCCCCATCTCCTCTGCACGAGTCATGTCCCTCACTGGTTCTTCTTCACACCTTGAGTGTTTTTGCCTGACTGGAATATGTCATTGAACTCTGATGATGTCTTTTCCTTGCCCAGATGGGGAACAGAGGGGAGATGTGTCAGTGTGTGTAGAAATCCGCCTACTGTACAAAAGTAAAATGTACCCATGTTGCTCCACCCACTTTTGCCTCTGGCCTCGCCCACCACTCCCATGTGACCCTCGGAAGGTTACCCATAAGTGGCCCTCAGTGTGAAGAGGCTTCCCCACCCCAGCTTAAATCAGCACAGATTGTACCTCAAAAATCTGTTTGGAGAGCCAAGCTGTCCCACCTTACTGCCACCTCCCAACATTTCCATCTTGCAATGCCGAAAAGTAAAATAAGCAACAAAAAACTACCGGTAAGCCATTCTGGCAACCCAGGAGATCGCAACACTATGATGAAGGCTTTAGGTGTGTTTAGAACTACACAGTTGTAAAGCCATGAGGAAAATGGCCCCTCTAGGGCTCCTGTGCATATGCCTCTATGGCACAAGCCATAGAGCACAGAGACAGGACAAATCTAAGTTAAGCCGAATATTCAGTCCTGCTTCTAAATCAAATTTATGGAAATTGTGGAAGTGGAGCCAGTTGCTCAGGGAAAGTTAATAGATCACTGGTGGCGGTGGTGCCTAGAGGGAAGACTATGCTCAGGATATGTACTTCCTTGAAAGTCTCTTGTGTTGTGCCTTTTGAGATTAAATGTCACTGTAACTCTTTTTTTTTTCTCTCTCTCTCCCCATTTACAGGTGGCTCCTAAGGGTCTATCTCAGGTTATAACCATGTCTTGTGGATCTTGCTCAAATGAAAATGCCTTCAAAACCATATTCATGTGGTACAGGGTGAGTAAAACTTAAGAAACCATCTCAAAATCCTACAATCTGCAGGTGAGACCTTATTGGTGGTGCCGTCACCGTGGGCTGCTTGGTTGGCATTGACCCATGGCAGGGCCTTTTCAGTGGTGGCTCCCCAGTTCAGTAATCCCCTTCCTAGAGAGGTGCATCTGTCACTATCTTCAGGTGGGCTTCAGTCCGATGTCAGCAAATTCAAGTTGAGCAGTTATAGTTGGTTAGGAGGTCTTGCACTACAAACCCGCTCTCCCAAAAGGTCAGACATTTTATATAAGAAAAACTCACTGGAAAGTTTGGGGCAACGCTTGCTTTGACACAATGTCCTCTACCCTCCCTGCAAACAAATCAGGATGAATACTCAATAAACAGGGCATCTGGAAATGCCCCATAGAAATTGATGCTGGAATATTTTTCCATCTCTGGAAGTTTAATAGGAAGCCCATTTGTTTTCCAGAGCAAAGAAAGGGGGCACAACAGTGTTACCAAGGAAGAGCTGGAGACATGCATGATCAACCAGGTAAGAGAGCCGTATCTGAGTCACCTGGTGGAGATTTGCAGATTCTTGGATGCAAAATAAGCGTGTGGAACCTAGAGGTGGCAAGATCCCCATCCGTGACTTAAAACGAAGAGTGTTAGCATCATGGTCAGCCTGTCAGATTAAAACCAGGGAGAGACTCGGGTTCAAATCCTCAGGCAGCCATAAATGTCACCTTGAAAGAGTGACTCTTATCATAGCCCAACTGACAGAGTTATTGGGAGGATAAGACAGTTATGGGATGGGGAGGGAGAACTTTCCTTACCACTCTGAGCTCCTGGTATGGAAGGACACAAAGGTTTTGCAGTTTCACTCTTTTTGTTATTCTGTCTTGCTTTCATTGTAATCGAAAGACACCTAGAATACTGGAGAGATGAGGAATAGGTTATTTCAACAAAGGTCCCCTCCTTCTAAGCCTGGTCGGTTGCATAACAATGCCTGGAGCTTCAGTACAGGGCTTGATGCTGCCACCTAGAGAGGCTACTGAATTGTGCAACCAATATTATGAGAGTGCCTGAATTCATAACCTTGCTGAAGCAAGCCCATCCAGTCCAGCATCCCGTTTTCATAGTGGCCAACCAGTTGGAAACCGACAAAGAAGACCTGATCACAAGAGGGCTTTCCCCCCTTCTGTGGCTTTCTGCAACTGGTATTCAGAAGCATCACTGCCTATGACCTTGGAGACAAGAGTGTAACCATCATTTCTAGTAGCTATTGATAAGCCTTATCCTTATCCTTGAATCTGTCCAGTCATCTTTCAAAGCCATCCAAGTTGGTGGCCATCCCCGCTTCCTGTGGCAGTGAGTTCCACAGTTTAACTATGTTCTACATGAAGAAGACCTTCTTTTTATCTGTACTGAATCTTCTGACATTCAGCTTCATTGGATATCCCTGAGTTTTCGTGTTAGGGGAGAGGGAGAAAAACTGCACTCCGTGTCAGACATAATTTTATAGACTTCTGTCATGTCGACTCTGACTTGCTATTCCTCCCGACTATAAAGTCCCAGATACTGCCACCTTCCTTCACAGAACAGTCACTCCACCCCGTCAATCATTTGGTTAGCCCTTTTCCCTACCTTGAATTAAAGCGCATACCATAACTTTAGTTCTACAACACGCAAATGAATTCAGACGCTCTGTCGCCCTAGCACAGCAAACATGCTTTAAAAGAGAGAACCTGACTTTTTGCGGTTTGGAAAGTGACAGGGAAATGCGTTGAAAAGTGTGGGATGGACAAGTAGCTAACAGGAAGGCAAATGAACACCCTGCAAGCAAACTGGGTCAAATGCCTATTGCTGTATCCCAGGGATAAGAAGGAACGTTCAATAAAGACCAGATGTCATCTGACTTCTGAATAAGCTTTATGCCAGCGGATCAGGATGAATGCTCAGCAAATAAGTTTCTTGTTTTGATTCCAGCCCCCCGGTTGTCCAGAGTACAGTATGCTTTCTTTTATGGGCGGATTTCACGGGAGAACTATGGGTAAGGAAAAGTGTTTAGATGTGTGTTTTTGGGGGAGGCGGGGAAGAGTTTGGGGCCACTTGAACCTCTGCATTGTGTGGTATCCTTCTCCCTACTTTGTCTGGAGGATGGGGGGTAGCAGTGCAGAAGAGAGGGCTATGAGATGACTTTTTGCCATGGTCCCCCTCAAAACAAACAGCAGCCTTGGCAGTCAGGGAACATCAGTGGCATGCAGTTGAGAGAGGCATGTGGTGATAGATTGAATGCTACTGACAAGCTAGTTGGATAGGCGGGTGGGTGTGCGTGTGCCATTTTTTATAATGATAATAATAATTTATAATAATAATTTATTATTTCTACCCCGTCCATCTGGCTGGGTTTCCCCAGCCACTCTGGGCGGCTCCCAACAGAATATTAAAAATAGACTCAAACATTAAAAACTTCCCTAAATATGCTCCTGCACGTTAAAAATAAATCCTCTCAAGTAGAAAACTAGCAAAGCAGTATAAATTTTCCTGCTGCACTACTTTTCTTCTTGTGGGGAGCTTCTTTACACAAGAAGGAGGTACTAAAAATGAGGCTCTTTCACACCTGCAGTTAGAGTGGTACAGTCCATTTTCTTGGTCTCATTCTGAGGCAGGGGTAGCATAATGGGATAGATGGATGGATTGTGCCACATCAGACTGTGGGCAAGTGGCGTGGGTGCCACATCTTGAATGCTTTATATTATATAACTGTTACTTTTGATGCTTAGCTGCCAGGAATGTATTCTAAGAAAACCAGAAAGGAGAGAAACTGCTTTAAAAAAATAAACGAGTCAATGTGTTGGTGTTGCCCCTTCCTGCAGGCTGCTTAGCTGCCACGCATTCCAAAGCCATCCACAAACTGGACATCCCTTCCTTTGACTGGCCCATCGCTCCCTTTCCGAGGCTGAAGTATCCTCTGGAAGACTTTGTGAGAGAAAATCAACAGGAAGAGGCCCGCTGCCTCGAGGAGGTGAGATCTTGGTCATGAAATTCTACTCATATATTGATTCAGAGCAGAACTCCAATGTGTAGTTAGCAGAGTAAAAAATTAAACACATTGCAGGATTCCCCAAAAATAGACCAGAGGCAATTAATATTTCATCAAGCAGAGCTTTACTGCTACTGAAGGCAAATGAACATAATGGTCACAAATCCAATACATTCGGGATTGGCCATAAGAAATCCAGTTGCAGCAGACTTAAACTTACAATAACTTATAGTAAATCTAAACCTTAACACTATATACAGAACACCACACCAGAAGGAAGAGAGATGGAAAGAGAAAGTGGAACCCGGGCTCCTTTTGGCCTTCCTTTTATAGCCAGCATGACCTTGACAGAAAGAGATAAGAGAGCCAGTTTAAGCCAACTGTACTCAGCTTCTCTGAAGGAATAACCCAAACATCATTTGTTCACTTCACCCACCCCAAATCATTTCCATTTTATTTTCCCTTAAAATATAAGTTGGCTCTTACATTTAATGGGGGGGGGGGGATGTCAACAGCCAGTTGTTTTTTCAAAAAATAAAAAAATGTTCAACATACAGGTGGAAGATTTGATTGTAAAATACAGGAAAAAGAAGAAAGTTGTGGCAGGAATTATCGTTGAGCCCATTCAGTCAGAAGGAGGGGACAACCATGCCTCAGATGACTTCTTCAGAAAGCTGAGGGACATTGCCAGGAAGGTTGGTAGAAAGCCAGACTTAAAATTTGGGATATTGCCAAGCTTCCCATTGTTTGTGGTGGGTTAATTTCAATGTTTGCTGTTGTTTGTTGTTGTTGTTGTTGTTACTTTTACTTGTATCCCAAAGGCTATGTACAAATCCAGTCTGTTTTTTATGCTGTTCCAAGAATCTCTGTTCTATCATTTATTTTTTATTATCTGTATTGTATTTATGTAACTTTTGATTTTTATATTGTATAGATATTCTATGTATTGACTTTTGTGTTCTATGTTATAAACTGCCCTGTGGTCTTTCAGTGCAGGGTGGTATATAAATTTAATTATAATTATTATTATTATTAGTTTTCAGTTCAAGGAGACTGAAATATTAATTAATGTCAAAAACAGAGAGCAGGATAGACTGCCTCCTCTCCACCCCCAAAAAAGAATTATGCTTAGATGCACAGGTTGAAAACAAACATGATAACACAGTAATTATTTGGGGTTGTATCCAATGCTAATCCTACTCTGAGTAGACTAACTCCACACCACTAAAAGATAGGCAGAAAATTTTAAATCCAGAGGCCCAGGTGAATAAAAATGTTTTTGCCTGATACCTAAAAACAGATAATGATGGTGCCCTGAGGAGAGTATTCCACAAGCTGGGAGCCACCACTAAGAAGGCCATTTTTGTGTCATTACCCTCTGCACCTCCATCAGAGGAGGCATGTGGAGAAGGGCCTCAGATGAAGAACGCAGGGTCCCATCGGTCCAAGAACCCATTTCTTAACTGCACAGCAATTCTATTGGTGGGATGTGCAGTGCAGGCATCTCAGATGCTTCATCCACATATCCTGTAAACTGCTGTCTCCTGCAGTCATTGCAGGGAAGGCAGCAGGGAAACACCTGTCCTATTCAGTTCCTTGTTTTTCCTCCTAACCCCACCTGCTGAGAGTCCCAGTTCTTTATTTTACTTAGTCATTGCGCTTACATTCCACCTTTTACTCCAAGGAGTTCAAGTGGTGCACATGGTTCTCCCCCTCATTTAATCCCCACGACAACCCTGTGAGGTAGGCTAGCCTGAGAGGCTGTGACTGGCCCAAGGTCACCCAGTGAGCTTCCTGAGTTAGATTTGAACCCTGGTCTCCCAGGTCCTACTCTAGCCCTCTAAGCACTACATCACCACTGACTCTCCAAGTAATTAACATTGTCCACTCTCTCTGAGCAGCATGGCTGTGGTTTCTTGGTGGACGAGGTGCAGACGGGAGGCGGATGTACCGGCAAGTTCTGGGCCCATGAACACTGGGGCCTGGATGACCCAGCCGACGTGCTGAGCTTCAGTAAGAAGATGATGAGTGGCGGGTTTTTCCACAAAGAGGAATTCCGGGCCAATGCTGTAAGTCACAAATAGGGAACCTTAGCTTTCATTTGGTTCCACATGCTGCCCTACAATATCTGTGCAGCTGCTTTTAAACCCCTAACCCCTCTCTCAGCTGACTCCCTGTTCATTCTGTTAAAAAGTGCATTAGACAAATTGACAGGAAGGATTCGAAACCTGCGGGACCAGAGATTCTTAGAGGACTGGAGTAAATATTTGAATTATCTGAAAAGCAATTGTAATAAACAGATTACTCTAGTAGGACTGCAAGAAGTTTTGTAAGGAGGATTATGCGAAATATTGCAAGGAAGATTATGAAGAGAATATTAGTTAAGCATAATTAAAAGTAATAGAGAAATTAAGAAATGCAGAGTAAGTGATAAAGAATGGAAAATCTTCAGAGGGAGTTGACAGAAGTCTAAAATATTGTATAAGATATAAATGTATGTTAAATGACTGTTGGAAATGATATGTTTAAAAAATTAATTTAAATGTTTTTTTTAAAAAAAAACAGTGCATTAGAGGAAACTGAACCACACTCAACTCCATTGAAGTGCATGGAATGTTTTGTTTAAGTGTTGGCAGGCAGCCTTGTTGCTTTGATGGTGGGCAGCAGCCTGACAGAGGGGCCAAAGTCTCCTTCAAGTGTCTTAATGGATCAAGGAGCAAAGATTTGCGAGGCATTATCTTCTTAGCTTGCACTGCTCTTAGTTAAACATACTGGAGTCTGTTGGGCTAAGCATTTCTTACAATCTTCATTGTTTCTCCTGTTCCCTTCCTCTCTCCTTCCATACATCTGCCCTGCAGCCATATCGGATTTTCAACACGTGGCTTGGAGATCCCTCCAAGAACCTTCTGCTTGCAGAAGTCATTAATGTTATCAAAAGAGAGGATCTTCTCAGCAATGTTACGCATGCAGGGAAAGCTCTGTTGTCAGGGCTGCTGGATTTACAGGTAAGCCGCCGTGCAGAAATTTTTATCAAGTGCTGTGCCATAAATTGTGATTTATTTATTTCTTTATGGCTGGAGGCAGTAATGCTTTTGAAAACCAGTTGCTGGAAACTGCAAAAGGGGAAAGTACTCATGTGCTCAAGTCCTACATGCGAGTTTCCCTTTGAGGCATCTTAGTGGCCTAATCCAGAAAGACTCTTCCTACGTTGATTAAATCCGCATGGGTAGGGTACAGGGTTTTTGATGCACTTTTGAGGTGGCCAAGGGCAGTTTGTGAGCTTCCTGTGATTCTACAAATCATCTCACTATTAAGCTACAAACATATATATATGTACCACTCTTGCAGGTGCCAATGCTAGGCTGGTGCTTAAATCACAACAGTAGGTTTTGAAATGCTAAAGAAATCCCAGAGTGCCCCAAGAATGAGGCCAAGAAACAGATGCCTCTTCTGCAGAGGAATGAAACCTTTGACAATCTGGGGGACAGATTTTAGCACAGCACTAATTGGCCAGTTCTTTGTATTGCGGTTGAGCGGGTATTATAAGAATAAGAAATCCAGGATTGGGTTGCAATCAAAGCCCAAGCTTTTTAGAAGATGCTGACATTTTATTTGGTGAAAGGCTTCCGGGAAATGATATACAATGAATTGAAAAAGATGTTAAAATATACGTTTGTGAAAAAACCAGAGGCCTTCCTATTAGGAATGGTAGGAAACGAAATTAATAAGAGAGACTGTAAACTGTTTCAATACGCAGTGACTGCTGCAAGGATACTTCTGGCCCAAAGATGGAAGCAGGAAGAAATTCCAACAGTGGAAGAATGGAGAAGGAAATTGACTGAATATGCAGAATTGGATAAATTGACTGGGAAGATTCGATATCAGAAAGACCAAAAGTTTATCGAGGACTGGGGGAGATTTACAGAATATCTGAAAAACATATGTGATGTACAGACAACGCTTGTTGGTTTTGAAGAGGCTCTGTGACATAGTAAGAAATAGTGCAAAAAAGAGAGTAAGAGGAAAAGGAGTTCTAAAAGGCAATATTATGTTTAGAAATGCGATAACAAACAGATATTTTACGAAAGATTGACAGAGAAACTGAGGGAAGTCGAAAACTGAAGAATGAGTGTTAAATAATGTGTTGACTGTATAAAATTGTTTGGAAAATGAATAAAATTATTTTTTTTTAAAAAAAAAAGAATAAGAAATCCAGGATTGGGTTGCAATCACAGCCCAAGCTTTTTAGAAGATGCTGACATTTTATTTGCAGAGAGAATAACATCTTAGTTACATCAGGGGCAGAGAACCTATTCCCTCCCCTCCAAATGTTGCCAGACTCCAACTCCCATCAGCCTCAGCCAGCCTAACCAGTGGCCGGTGTTGATGGGAGTTGTAGTCCATCAGTGTCTGGAGGACTACAGGTTTCCCATCTCTGTTTTACATGGACTCAGCCACTGTGGCTTAACCCTCAATATTTCCTCAAGCCATAGATGTGTAATTGTGCAAACTGGCTGTTACTGTGAGTGCTGGTAACACAGCCAAATCCATGTACAGTATCCTCTGCCGCAAACAAACTATCACTGCTTCCAGTCACTGTGTGGTGCAAGTAACACGCAATCTCCAGTCGGCAAGGTGCAAGCAAAGCCCTGCCTTCTCCGGCAGTTTAGCAGGGTGCAAGGACTGCTTTGCACCAACAATACCTTCTGTTCTCACTTGCAGTAAGAAGACACCAGCTCCGTTTATTCAGCGAGGTGACAGCAAAGCTGTCTTCTGCAGCCTGGCTTCTCGTCCTGTGATTCAGCAGGGTTTAGATTAACAGCTGGCAACACCACAGTGTAATATACAACTGAACTGCAGCTGTGAAAAAGGCAGATTTCATCTTAGAAATCCTAAGGAGAGGGGCTGAAAATAAAACAGCCGATATTGTTAGGCCGTTACACCTTTCTTTGGTGACACCTGACTTGGACAGCGCTGGTCACTTCACTTCAAGAAGGATATTGTGAAGCTCAGAAGTTTCAGAAAACGGGATCAAAAATGGCCAAGGGGTTGGAGGAAGGTTTACAAGGACAGGGGCATTTTAGTTTAGGGGAAAAGGCAAGTTAACAGGGGGACATGACAGTGGTATATAAAATTATGCATGGTGTAGAGAAAGGAGATAATGCTCTCCTACATACACTCTGGTCAGCGACTGAAATGAACCGATTCATTCTCCTGCATAATTTAATAATAATGCAGTCATCCAATGAATCTGAATGTTAGGAGATTCTGGACGGGCAAAAGTACTTCTTTGCACTCGCTCCCATGGGAGGCAGTGATGGCCACCAAGTTGGATAGCTTTCAAAGAGGATTAGACAAATAGTAGGGTTCCCATATTTCAAAGAGTGAAAATCTAGACACAAAAGTAATTTAAAAAAATAAATAAATGATTTTTTTTGAGCTATTTCTAAGGAAAATCAGCAAAAACGACATTGCCGATGTGGGTTGCCATACGTCCGGATATTCCTGAACGTTTTGCCGATTTCCACCCGGACACAGCTTCCTACTACAGTATTCCGTGTATGTCTGGGAAATTCCGGCCATATGGCAACGCTACAAATGCAGGAAGGAGAAGGAATTGCAAGCATGGAGTGTGCTGTTGCACTCAGATCCTGCTTGTGGGTTTCCATCAGCTGTTGGCTGGATGATGCTGGACTAAATGGGCTTTTGGCCTGATCCAGCAAACTCACCTTTGTCTTACAATAAAGCAGCAGCAGCCTTTGAAGTTGCCACTAACAATAGCCATTTTTGTTAGGTACTATGTGTGTTTTGGGGTCTCTTTTTAGCCTTGGGTCTGGACGCCACGCTAGAGGCTTCTCCCAGAGAAGGCAGCTCCCTGGTCCACTACTAATCCTGCCTTCTCTGTTCATAGCAAAAGCAGAGTTAGAACTGACTTAAATTCTCCTTCCTTCTTTTCAGAGCCGCTACCCACATCTGATGAGCAGGGTGCGAGGGCGAGGGACCTTCTGTTCATTTGACACTCCAAATGATGCTATCAGGAACAAGCTTATTGTACTAGCCAGAAACAAAGGTAAGGCTCTGTGGGGTTTGTAGCTGCACCTGTTTCCTTGTTTCTCATCTCTTTGAGTCTCAAGGATTTTGGCTATTCTGCATAGCCAGTGGCCCAGTGATGGTGGGAGTTGTCATCCAGTGGCATCAAGCAGCTGCATAATTGCTCTCATTTTGCATAATAGATCTCACCGATTTCGTTTTTTATTTAATGCTACTAGTGACAAAAGGGCAGCGAGGTCCAGCCTGCAACCAGTGAAAACCTTGATCTCGTTGGCATCAGAGTTCACTGCTATTCTCCACACACGTTCATGCATATTTTAGCAGCAGTAAGGACTAGAAACTTACTTTAAGAAACAAACAGAATGGAGAGTTTCTTATTTGTTTTTAATTTATTGTAAAATAAACTTAATTATGTATTATAAAATAATGCATTGCAAAACACGGAACAATTGATCCTGTGGATTTATAATACTTATGGAAGTTGTTCCAGCATTCCACAAAAGATGATCACTTTGGTAAACAAACCCTCCATGTTACGAAGTCTGTTTTCAAGTCTGCAGATTATTTTGTTTTGGCAATCACAAACCAAGTAACTCGGTGGTGGATTTCAGGCTTTAAAATTCCATCAGCACCCTGTGCAACATCTAAATTTGAGCGGCCCGCCTCTTGCCTTCTGATGCTTGTCGTCACGCTGCCCCCTGCAGCACCCTCTCCGCTGGGCATCCAGTGCGAGTGAACCAGTTGCACTCCCCTAAATCTGACCCTGAATAACTTCTTTGAAATCAGAAAGAAAAAGCAGAAAATGTGAGTCACATCCAATGACCATTAAAGCCTGCCCACTGAAATTAAAGGACGTAGTGTAGCCTTATGAGGCTTTGCCCTCGGGTGGGAAAAACATTGCGTGCTAACTTAAGTCCATGATTTTCAAGGGGTCTGTGCTGAGCATAATTTAGTTTTCTGTTAGAAGGAGGGATTTGGTGCAAAGTGTACATTCCTCTGCTTGTATGCTGTCTGACTAAAGAGCACAAGGCATTTCTAAACCGTGTTTTCCTGTCCTTAGGTGTCGTGTTAGGAGGCAGCGGCGACAGATCAATCCGTTTCCGGCCTACTTTGGTCTTCCGCGACCACCACGCACACCTCTTCCTGAACATCTTCAGCGACATCTTGGCAGACTTCAAGTAGCCGAGTCTTACCTTGCACTGAGAGAGCCCAAATCCTATAAGAGTCTGAGAATAGTTTATTTAAAATCATAAACATATATATAAATATATATATATATATTTTCACTAATAGGAAAAACCGAATTCATAAAGTGGGGGGGTTGTTTTGTTTTTCAAATGTTTGTTTTATTTTTCCATGCTTATCACCAATTCGAGCTGCTTCCAACTTAAAACTCTGGACACCCTCTGGTGCTTTTGAAATTCCTTGCAAGTATTCTCAGTTCTGGGCAGCCGACCTGTTCAGGGTGGGGACTTAAGAGTTGTTCATTATCTTGGTTAGGACACATGCTAGATGTTTGGTGCATTTAGTCTCTGAAGCGGGATTCCTGAGAGCTTCTCAGCGTTTATAACAACAAATTTCCTACCCTTAAGGTGGCAGTGAGACTTCTGAAAATGCACACCTACTGCCACTGATCCAGAGCTCTGTATACATACCAATGCAGATGGGAGCAGCTATTCATGCACATCCATGCACACCCCAGAGCCCCCAGACCCACAAATATTCACTGACTGGAGCCAACTGTGTTTGTATTTAAGCAATTGAATCATTCCCCCCTCTATTTCGTAAAAAACACACCTTTTTTTCTTTCCTTGCATATATGTCCCGTTTTTCTTCTTCTGTGGTACCAAAGGTGGTATCTGCCAGGTTCCCAGGACATCTCCCATCCAAGCACTGACTGGACTCAGACCTGCTTAGCTTCAGCTTGCTTGCCTTTGGACTCAGACCCTGGGTCTGAGTTTCCTTTTCAGTTCCCCGTTGCATTTCCCTATATGCAGCTCACCAGAGGCTTATACCCAATTTCTCTTTGATGCAGTTTCCTAACCCAGCATGGGTCACTGCCCTTGAGCATTGTATATGTTTGGGATCGCTACCCCAACCCTTTTAGTGGAGATGTCAGGCACTGAACTTTGGACCCCTGGCCAGTGAGCTCCTCCTTAATAAAGAGAGGTTCCTTTTTATACCTACCACACTTCCTGTGCCAAATATCTCTGCCAGCACAGAACTCTCCTTCGCTGGAGGATTTTAAGCAGAGCTTAAGTCAGAGATTCTTTAGCTATGATTCCTGCATTGCAGGGGGTTGGACTAGATGGCCCTTGGGGTCCCTTCCAGCTCTGGAATTCTGTGATTCTACTAAAGTCACATTGGTGAGACTAAATGATGTAGATGGTGCTTCCGAAGGCAAACATCTGGCTTGGTGCAAAAGGTCCCGATTTGCACATTTAGAAATGCACAATGAACAGCCCTGTTGCAAAGGTGCAGAAAGGCACCCCTCATCTGTCGGAACCAGAATACTAATTTCTCTTAGCAATGCCTAGCCTTTTGCAGATGAAACATGGCCTGCGTCAACTGGTGAACACACCAGCTCATTGAACGTGGGGCAGTTTTTGATGACCTTCCCATTTTACAATCCCAGGCAGGCAGCAAAAGCAAATGGTCCGTCCTGCCACCCCAGGCCTGCAGCTGCATGTGGCTGGACTGTGTTTTAACCTTGAAGCATTGTCACTTGGCCTCAAATATCTTCCATGCTGGGGCGATATGTCGCACACAGATGTCCTTTTGCCAATTTCGGTGTCCAGAGAGAGAGATGGGGGAGAGAAGCAGCAGAGTTTGTGAGTGTGGGTTTTGAAGTTTTGGGGTTTTTTTACAAGGTTGTCTGCTAAGCAGAAAGTGTGGACTTTTGTATGGATTGGGAGAAGATGATATGTTTTAAGGAAAGTAACACACACACACACACACACACACACACACACACACACAGCACTAAATAATTTTCAAATAACTTCCTCAGCACTTTTAACACTGATTTTAGGTTTCTAGACTTTATGGTTGTAATACACAAGTATGCGGCTTGCTTGTGCAAAACTGGGCCAAACTCCATGTGCTTTTTTTTAGATACTGTGCCTTTATTCTGCCCCACCTCCCCTCCCACCATGCATACCCTTCTCATAAATGGAGTTCATTATGGGATGAAGAGAGAGAGAAATTCACCCTCCTCTACTCAAAATGCACTATCACAACTCCTTACCTTGCTGTCCCTGTCATTCAGTATTGCCTGAAAAGTGGGGAAAGACAAACATGTGATCAACAGAAAGGGGGTCTTCTGTATGCACCCCCCAAAAAAACCCCCACATCCTGTGCTATGTCTCCTATTTCCCTTTTATGACAACATCAGCAGCAGGACCTGCTCTGCCATTAGGCAGAGGATGAAAAAGCCATTTCAGGCAGCTGATTCAGTGTGTCCTGAAAAATCAGCATTCAGGACTGCTTAATTTATTATTGCCAAGGATGGGGAGAGGTGGCTGTGTGTCTCAGGTGCCAAAATAACTTGTCTGGCAAGGGGTTTCAGGCATGGAGGGTTCCCTAGTCCTACCTGGATCTTCTGCATGCCAAGCAGATGTTCTGCCACTGGGTTATGGCCCTTCCTTTTAGGAACATAGAAAGCTACTTTGTGTTGAGTCAGACCATTGATCCACCTAACCCAGTATTGTCTACTACACTGACCAGCAGGGGTTTTTAAGGATTTTGGGCATGGAATCTCTCCCAGCCCTGCTTGGATATGATGGAGATTGAACCTGCAATGCTTGACCACCAGAGACAGGAAACAGCACACAGTGGGGTTATTCCCACTTCCTGGGAATCTTTGACTAATCCTTGTGGTTATGATACTTGGAAGCACTTAGGCAATGACTTCTAAATCTCAGAAGTCAGGGAGATGGCTGAACGAGATTTGCAGGGGTTGAGGGAAGGGCTTCAGATCCTTTCCCCCTCTCCCTTGCCCCCCACCTGCCATGATAAGCAAATCTGGAATAGCAAAATTATAGCAATGCTGAACAATCTATGCAAAGGAGAGAGACCACGGCATGATTTATGCAATCACAAAATTGCCAGGACCTTTTCAGTAAGCGGCCTAGGAAGAAGCAGGTGGAGCCTTCATTGGCTGCTTTGTGTCACCAGACCTGCTGATAGCTGCATTGCCACCCTTTGGCCATTTGCAATGGGGGCGCTGTAGGGCAGCAGGTCTCCCATTGATCAAACTGCTGCAATTCCACAGCAGGGCGCCTGCACTTGACTGCTGGAATCCCCAGTTCAAGACTCCCCTGGCACCTTGCAATAGCAGTATCGTACCAGTCTGTATCCTTGGGTACCTGGTAGCTAAATAGCTCCAATAATCCTGAGTGCTCCGAGTCATTAGTTCAACAGGCTAATTGCTTCTTCCTCACATTTCATTTTATACTGCCCCTGCCTTTGATGCTATTCTTAATGTCCAAAGAACTCCTTTACCTATGGGGATAGGAACGTATACACCCAAAGGTTCCAGGCCTCTTGGTGCATAAGAAAGAAAGCTTATCCCACGGCTTGTGACACTTAGCATTTCAAAACATAGTTGGGGTGGGGGTACTGAACTCCTTAACGCTCCTGCCCTTGGAAGACTGGATTTCTTCTGCATGTTTTTCCAGACATTTCCCCGCAAGCACCCATGCATCAAAGTTTAATCTCTGCCGCATCTTTAGCAGGTTGGAGACCTTTGGGAAAGAAGCCAGACTCCATTGCCAGTAGCAGGGAATCAAGAGTCCTTCAGCATATCAGCGCAATTGATGTTGTAGGCATCTGTAGTGAGTCTTGTACTTTAGCTGTGATTCCTGCATTGCAGGGGGTTGGACTAGATGACCCTGGGGTCCCTCCCTGCTGATGGAACCCCAAGATCTGGTAACCTGCACATTTGCCACATTCTTGTTTTATTGTTCATAAAATAACTTCTCCGCCTGTCCCGTTTCTTCTTTTAAAGTAATTTTTTTAATGGAACACTGTTAACTGTGAACACTTGTGCACAACCTAACCATGGTTCTCAGACCATGGTGGATGCTTTAACCTAGGGAAGCTCTATGGTGTTAACAGACATCCTTTTTTTTTAAAAAAAGAAAGTAATAATCTTTGTTTACAGCCTCTCTGTTAACTGTGCCAAATTCATGCGTGAGCCAGTACCTAACTTGATGTAGCCAGTTACCATGTCGCACAGATCCATGAAATAACGTTTCCTGTGTTAATCAGTATTCTTAAAATAAAATATTTATAACTGAAATCTGACGGGAGTAGAGGTGTTCTTTTAAAACAGGGGGAGACATTTGGGGCCAACGAGTCTGAGGTGTGTGGGGTGACGACAACATGCCAGTGAGGGACGGGGGCAGAAGTAAAGGATTAGAATGTTTATAAAACACAAGTTCGTAAAATCCTGCATGGTGGATTGAGAAAGGTTTTATTCCTATTTTGTAACACTAGAACTTGTGAACGTTCAATGAAGGTTGGAAGGTTCAGCATAAAAGGAAGTTGTTCATGCAGCTCACGGTTAAACTGTGGAACTCACTGCCACAGGAGGCAGTGGTGGCTTTGTTGGACAAATTCATGGGGAGAAGGCTATCCATGGCTACTTGTCATGAAGGCTATTATGTACCTGCACAGTCAGAGGCAGTAACGCTTCTGAATGCCCGTTGCTGGAAACCGCAGGAAGGGAGAGGGCTCCTGGGCTGGGGTCCTGCTTGAAGGCTTCCCATGGGGCATCTGGTTGGCCACAGTGAGCAGAGGATGCTGAGCTAGATGGGCCATTGCCTTGATCCAGCAGAACTCCTCTTACGTTCTTAAGTGGGCAGAACAATGAATGTAAAGGTTAACCTCATAGGGTAGGGCTTTTTTAATACACACCTATCTAACTAACGAAGCTGCATGATCAGAGTTCAAGGAAACTCAAGGAAACTACATATCCATGTGAATATGTAGTAATGCAAGAGCCTGGGACTAGAAATTCAGCCTCTACTCTCTGTTGGATGTGAGTGAGTCTCTCTGTCTGGCACATATGCACATTCATGCTCTCCACAGAACTTTTCACAGCTGATGGCTTTTGTTGAGAACTGGCCAGAGCTCACTCTGGTCGGATTGGGGCCTAATCCTGCATCCTTATTCAAAATCCAAATGTATCCAAACAGACGAAAACCTGCTCCTCGATCTCAGGAAACATCGCCCCAAAATTGATTACGATATCTGAAGAAGCGTCCGAATGCATAGCGAGCGTGCAACTTTCCAAAACATACATTAGATTTATTTAGTTAATAAATCCAGAGGATTCCCCCATCACTCTGAAGAAGTAGCATCTACAGTGGGGCGTGAGAATCACCCAAAATTGCTTGCCTTCCATTTGCACTGCTGGAAGCGTTGCCGTTGGCCGACCAGCGCCACTCAAAGCAAACCAACATGGTGACCACAAAATATTACGAACTAGCAAGAAATGACCCCAAGGCTCCCACTTGCTCCCGAGGTCACCCAAGCCCTCCAAACACTTTGGCAAATGCCTCCTTGTCCACGACCTGCCCATAGCGCAGACTAAAATACAGGACGTTATCTCGGTCGTACCACCTGAGCGGTAGCAACAGCTCGTTGGGGTCTTCGCCAATGTCCCCCAGAGTCATCACGGTGGCAACTGGGCAGTAGATGTCTCTCCTCCTCCCCCAGAAGGTCAAGTGAGCCACTTTCAACAGGGTGCCGTCTTTGCTCAGGTACATCATGCCAATGATGCGCCGGAGGAAGAAGCTCATGCCGTAGAGCATCGCAGCGGCAAAGCAAGCAAGGCCCGTACAGTAAAGGCACTGTGCCACAGGAACTTGGTTCTGCCAATAAAGGACCCAGATCGGCGGGAGAACCAAGATGGTCAGGCCTGTCTGCAGCAGCTTCAGCCTTGAAAGGATTCTGCAGTACTTGATCCACGGAAACCTGTAAATCAACTTATATTGATGGGTGCTTTCCAAGTCGGGCATCTGCTCCAGGGCGCGTTGAGAAGGGGTTAAGGTGCCCAGCCATCTGGGTCGTGCCAGCTGACTGCCAGGACCTTGCTGACTGCAGGGTTTGAGCACCGTAAGAACGCCAAAGGGACAGGTGGAGGCTGGGAAGCCCTTCTGCCATCGCAGAGGAACTTGGTTTCGCAGACACCTTCCGCAGGATGCGAGGAAGGGCAGGTCAACGCAAGCGGTGAGGATTCTAGCCTGAAAGACAGTTCCATGAGATATCACTGGGGTGGGAGTCGTTTTTCACACAGAGGGCTACATTCTCTTCTGGGTGGCCACCTGGGGGCCACATGCAAAAGTGGGTGGAACAACAGATGTAAATTTTGCCAACTTACACTCACACACATCTCTATTCTTCAGTCACGCAAGCGAGAGGGTAACAGGGATCCCAACCAGCCAAGAACATTCAAGGAAGGTGTGAAGCAAGGCTGGAGAGGGGTGTGGATTGTGGGAGTCCCAAAGAAAGGCCTGGAGGGCCATATTTCCTCCCAACCTCTTGCCTGGGCCCGAGTTTCCCTATCCCTCAAGAGATTATAACATGTGGAGTAGCTGGACCTGCCACCATCAGAGATGCATGCAGCCGCTAACTTTTCGCTCAGGATAACTTTATTATTTACATTGATTGATTTATTCTGAGAGCTCAGAGAAACATTCCCTCCCCACAATGCCAGACTGGCCAGCTTTTCTGGGATGCTTTCTGCATCCCTCAGGACCATGGGGCTTGATTTGCTTGCGCAAGCTACCTGGAAAACAGCTTCTGTAGCAAATGGTTCATTCTCTGCTCATTCATTCCACTTGCAGAAAGGGTCTGAACCCAAAGGTCCTGTTCAGCATGGTCACATCAAACCATAGTTTAGCATGATAGAAATAAGCAGGAACAAACCACAATGAGTCTCCGGTTCTTGTGCACCAGACTCCCCCCCCCCCCCATGTCAAGTGTTCAGAGGCTTTCACTTCCGCTCGCTGTACAGACCTGAAACTGTAGTTAATTTAATTATGGTTTGAAGCTGGCCTGTTTGAAACTACCCATATTTAACACTAATTACAGTTTATCAGAGTGGACAAAGCTCCATACTCTTCCACACTTTCATTTATTTGTCTTATTATTACATTTATATCTCCCCTATTCCCCCAAGGAATTCAAAGTGGCATAGCTGGTTCTCTCCCTCTCCACTTTTATTCCCAGAATAAAATTCAGGTAGACAGTGGCTCAGGGGCAGCCAGTAACTGAGTGGGCATTTGAACCCAGGTCTCCCAGAACCTAGTGTGACACTCTAAGCTAGGAGAAGCCAGCACAGTGCCCTCTATGGCGTTTGTTTTTTCCCTCTCTGTTTTGCACTCCCATGAGCCCCAGCCAGCGTGATGCGAGTTGTAGTCCAGCAAGATCTGAAGAGCGTCACGTTGGCTGACCATGCTCTAACCACCACACCACGCTGCCTGATGCACCCCCAACACCACAGACCAGTTTCCACCCAGCTCTGCTCCTTTGCAAGGCTCTTTGCTTGCCATTTGGGAAGCAACCCAAAGGGGAATTCAGAGCACGGCTTTACCATGAGGGCAGCTGCAGCAGCTCCTGAATGCGGCACTTCTTACACCACGAACCCCTTTGACTCGCCTTCAGACGCGGAGACCGCTTGGGCGGCGCGCTGCCAGCTGGGGAAAATGCACGTGGGCTATGTCAGCTGCTGCGTGGCATGCCGGGAATTGTAGTGCCTGACTCCTCGCCCTGTGGAGAGGTAGAGTAACACAGGGCACTGTAGACACGTGGAACTTCCTGGTTCCTAGTTTAGACCCTGGGTGGCTGGGGCGGCTGCTTGCTGTTTTGTTCTCTCACTTGCTCCTCGCATATTTTAGAATCTATTATATATTATCCCATTCCCCCCTCCAATGTTATATATTGTTAAGCATGCTGTTAGAAAAATTATAATGCAATTTCCCCCCTGGAACATATATAAATGTTATTATTTATGACGTATAATATCAGATAGATAGATAGATAGATAGACAGAGAGATAGAGAGATAGATAGATAGATAGATAGATAGATAGATAGATAGATAGATAGATAGATAGAGTTTTCCCAGGGTGGAAGTGAGGCTTTTGCCCCGCATATTGTAACAGTCGAATAGTAACCGAAAGTGTTTATTGGCTACTGTACTCTACTCTAGGCTCCCTTTTCAGTCTTCCGCAGGGCATGCCGGGGAAGCGCATGAGTAGACGTCAACCCGCCCTCTGTGCGGCGTGCTGGGAGTTGTAGTCTTCCTAACTGCGAATCCAGGAGGAAGCGAAGCGCCTCTCAGCCGGCCACCTCATCGCTCCGGCAGGCAGCGGCGGCGGGTGACACTCGAGTGACCATGGAGGAGGTGGGCCGCGGGCGGACGCTTTGCCTCTTCGACGTGGACGGCACCCTGACCGCGCCTCGCCAGGTGGGAGCCTGCGGTCTCCACTCTTGAGCATGCCTCTGGGCATGTGCAGAGTACTTTTAACCCCTCCGTTTAGGAACAGCTCGAGGGAAGGTGGGAGGTGAAGTGCGGGGCTTTTCATAGCTAAAATAAGTAACAATGAAAAATGAAAACGCAAACCTTGCTTTTTGCTCTTATAATTTATGAAATTATTATTTTGCCATTGGTGTATTAATATTAAAATACAATATGTAGTAAAAGGATCCAAATTAGAAGGCAAATTTCTGCAACAACAGCAGCCTCATTCATTGTAATTATCTACTGTTCCTTGTTAGAAGTTCAACATATTCAGCTTCTGGTTTCCAGAATGCAGCTTGTTAATTTGGGAGCTTATTAAGCAGCTTATGAATTCATAATTCATAATGAATCACAACAACAAATAAAATGTTGATCCGTCTCTTCTCTGTGGATCTAGAAAGTCACCCCAGATATGGCGGATTTTCTGCAGGCCTTGCGGAAGAAGGTGAAGGTCGGAGTTGTGGGCGGCTCAGACTTCGAAAAGATTCAAGAGCAACTGGGAGACGATGGTATGAATAGAGCACAAAGAAATTGAGAAAGAAATTGCTTGAGTACATGATAGGGGACTTTTTATCAGCCTAAGGGCCGCATTCCTTTGTGGACAACTTTCCAGGGGCCGCATTTCAATGGAAGGTAGGGCTAGAGACAAAAGGTGGGTGGAACAACATGACTTTGACCTTTGAACAGTAGCCAACAGTCCCACCATATAACAGTTCTTATTTCTGCACGGACACACACCCTTCTTCGTCCAGGCAATTGAGACCACAGAACTGAACTGAGGAAAGAGTCCGAGGGCCACATAGAGAGTGCTGGGGGGGCCACATGCAGCCCCTGAGTCTGAGGTTCCCCACTCCTGGTTGAACGGAAAAGTGCTGGTGGTTATAAGCGTTACAGCTTTCCTCTTCACTTGGCACCCTGCCTGATCAAACTAATTTACTCTGAAGCAACTTTCCTCACATATTATTTGTGCTCATAAACCAAGCATGGCCAAGTACTTGCCATCTGGCAATGCTCTCCATTTTCAGCCGTGTGTAAACTGCTCTTAGTTAGGCTGAAAGGGGTTTAGGCTGGGTATCCTTGTGAATGAAAGCTTGGCTTTAGACAAAATCATGGAGCATAAGTTCTGCCTGCAAGTTGCTAGCCTGGTAGCTTAATAGCAATTCCATGTTTGGATGGCGTGAACACTGTTGGTAGCATATGAAGTTGCCTTATTCCAAGTCTGACCACTAGCCCATCCAGCTCAGTATTGTCCACACTGACCAGCAGTGCGTCTCCAGAGTTTCAGGCAGGGGCCCCTTCCCTGGAGTGTTCTGGGACCTTCTGCATACAAAGCAGATGCTCTATCACTAACCCATGGTCCTTCCCCAAACCTGTGAGTTGGTTGCTGCTTACCCAACAGGGAAGGGCTGTTAAATTCATGTTGTTGCAGTTGTTAAGATGTAATAGTTCATTCTTGTATCCAGGAAGATACAAGGGGATTGGGGGATATGTGAGAAAGAAATCTAGGACTTGTTGCACCCCACAAGAATGACGGACCCCACAAGCCATCTCTGCATCATTGTGTCCTAATTACATTACACACACTCCCATGTTTGTGCATTGCATTGGAATCACTGTTCAGTATTTGCTGTCATATAGAGCAGGTACCAAAAATAATACAGCAAAGGCACCTGCCTGACATCAATGAGCAGGGAGTTCCAAAGTGCAGGTGCTACAATTATGACTAAATTGAGGCCAACCTACCCCCAATATTTGAGGGCGGGTCTTTTTACAAGAGGTGCCTAAAATGTCTCTGATGATGCTGTTCTTTAACATTTGTTCTTCTTAGTGATTGAAAAATTTGACTACGTCTTCCCAGAAAACGGTCTCGTGGCATACAAAGATGGGAACCTCTTGAGTAAACAGGTGAGTTTGCGACTTGTGATTAGCTAAGAAGGTGGATAATTCCCTCCCTCAAAAATGGGGGCCAGGAGGTGCTCCAGCTTCTTGCAAAATAATGGTTTTCCCAAGTGCACTGACACTGCTGTCTTATTTTTCATTGGCCCTGTTATGAGTACAGTCCTTTGGCACAAACCAAAGTTTAGCAGTAGAGGGACTGATAGTTCATGCTCAGAGACATCATAACAACGAATGCCACTTACTGGAGGAGTTGCATTGCAGCAGGGCTCGTGGACTCTCAGTGCCATCCAGCAAGGCTGTCTTTGCGTTGCTACGTGAAAATGGTATTTTAAGATCACCTTGTGGGGAATTCTACCGCTTCAGAAAGCTGCCCTGAGGACCAACTGTCTGGGCCTTTGAGAGTGGGGCTTGTAACGAACGCAGACTCTCCTGCGATTAACAACATAGGAAGCTGCCTTCTACTGATTTGGTCCATCTAGCTCAGTATTGTCTATGCCAGGTTTTCCAAAACTTGGGACTACAACTCCCATCACCCCTGACCGCTGGTCCTGGTAGGTAGGGGTGATGGGAGTTAAGTCCAACAAGAGCTGGAGACCTAAGTTTGGAAAACACTGACTGGCAGGGCTCTTCAGAGTTTCAGGTCAGGCAGGAGTCTTGCTAAGCCCAAGCCCTGCCTGGAGGCTTCCAGGGGATTGAGCCTGGGACCTTCTGCATGCCAAACAGCTGCTCTGCCACTGAGCCAAGCCACCGCCCCTCCCCCCCCCCCCCCGGGTAATTGTGGAACTGAAGCCCATCTTCTTATTCTTTTGTATACTTCTTTGTGGAGACAGACTCCCCTTTGGAAAACCCTTTTTCCGGTCTACATACCTAATCACTTCCTGTTCTGCTTTCCACGTAGAGCATTCAAGGCCAAATGGGCGAAGAGCTTCTTCAAGACTTGATCAACTATTGCCTGAGTTACATTGCAAAACTTAAACTGCCGAGGAAGAGGTGGGTGGTTCCAGCTTCCTTCTGTGGCCTGAGTCAGATCGAGGCCCATTAGACACCTCCCACAAAGTAGAGGTGGCAGAATTGCCGGCTATTATCCAACCTTAGTCATACTTGTTATAGGCCCACTGAAAGTAATTGACATGTCTAACGTACTCTGAGCAGAATTTAGATGCCTACAACCATTTGAAGTTTTTCATTTGAGGGTTACCACAAAAAGCTCATTAAAGGAACGACATTGACTATCAGTGGTCAAACAAACCATTAAGGTGTCAAGGAAATCATCTTATTAAAAAAAATCCCAAGGCTCTTTATATGGACAGTTTTGAGCCACCATATAAGTATTACCAGGCCTTAGTCACACATCAGATTTCTGCTACCTGGGAGTAAGTCCATTGAACTCAGTGAAGCTGCTGAGCAAATGTAATACAGAAAGACTTTGTAACTCTCCAAAACCAGTTGAAGAAACATTCTAGTTTTGTTTTTCAAATAGTAGCCATATTGAACTACAGTCATACCTTGGAAGTCGAACGGAAGCTCCTGCAGCCAATCGGAAGCCCTGTCAGACATTCGGCTTCCAAAAATAGTTCGCAAACCGGAACGGTCACTTCCGGGTTTGCGGCATTTGGGAGCCAAAACATTTGAGAACTAAGCTGTTTGAAAACCAAGGTACGACTGTACTCTTCCCATTTTTGACATGTCATTGACCTCTGAAAATGCATTTTCTGTTTCTCTCCCATGTATCTTCCTCCTTCACTACAACGGGTGGGCTTGCGTCCTAAAAAATACTGCTGTGATACCCCGTAACTGACCTCCCTCCTAGACCCTGATCCAAAGAGCTTTGTTTACTAGCCTAAGTCTGAGGCAGTAACATCTCGCCATGTCTCTTCCTAGGGGCACTTTCATTGAATTCCGAAATGGGATGCTGAACATCTCTCCCGTGGGCAGAAACTGCAGCCAGAAGGAGCGGATTGAATTCTATGAGCTTGATAAGGCAAGTGCACTTTTTTCCAATGCCGTCGTAACATTTTGTTAGCAAGCCCCCTTTATGTCGAAGCTTCACGTCCCCTTGACCATCATCAGTGGCACACAGCCAGGCCCTTTGGGTGCTCTGGTTCTGTGGCCACAGGCTTACATCTCCATGGGGAAAGGCTGCAGCTTAGGGGGAGAGCATCTGCTCTGCACGCAGAAGGTTCCTTATTAAATCCCTGGCATCGCCAAGTAGAGACTGTAGGTAAAGGTAAGGACCCCTGGACGGTTAAGTCCAGTCAAAGGTGACTATGGGGTTGCGGTGCCGGCGTTTGTCCACAGACAGCTTTCCAGGTCATGTGGCCAGCATGACTAAATCACTACCGGCACACGGAAGACCGTGACGAGTGCCACAGCGCACGGAAACGCCGTTTACCTTCCCGCCACAGCAGTACCTATTTATCTACTTGCACTGGCATGCTTTTGAACTGCTAGGTTGGCAGGAGCTGGGACAGAGCAACGGAAGCTCACCCGTTGTGGGGATTCGAACCACCAACCTTCCGATCAGCAAGCCCAAGAGGCTCAGTGGTTTAGACCACAGCGCCACCCGTGAGAGACTGTAGGAATGAGGGTTGGCCAATGCGACACCCTCCAGATGTTGAATTCCAAATCCTGCATCATCAAAGCCATTGCAGTCAGGGATGATGGGATTTGTAGTCCATCAGCATCTGGCAGGCATCATCTTAGTCTAGATCTACTCCAAGATTCTGGCACAGAAGTGAAAAGGCATTGTGACCACCCGGTTATGACTCTGAAGTGGTTGAGAATTAATGCTATAAATGCATGGCACAACATAGGAGCATAGGAAACTGCCTTACATTGAGTCAGAGCATTGGTCCATGCAGCTCAGCATTGTCCATACTGACCTGCAGTGGATCTCTGGGCAGGGATGTCTCTCAACCCTGCCTGGAGGTGCTGGGGATTGAGAAACTGGGACCTTCCTCATACAAAGCAGGTGATCTGTCACTGAGCTGTGAACCTTGAGTAACCGTAAAGACATTCAGCTTTTATCTTCCAGAGGTTTGCTGCGTTAGTCTTGTTGCATTTTAAAGATGAATCAAATACGTTGTGGCGTAAGTGGATGCATGAAGCCAGTTTTACCACGTCCTTGACTTCTAATGCCATCATTCCTGGGTGGGATACAGTACTGTAGTTTTCCATTTGTGTTTTTGGGGTGTTTCTTGATGAGAAGATCCAGAAGAGCTGACAAAAATCCCCCAAACACACAGCAACGGAGGAGCAAGCTTCTGGAGTGTTTTAGTATGCACGCTCAGTTTGCACAGAGGGTGATGGCAAGTCTCAGCATGTCTGCATGAACAAGAGTGTGTACCCTGAAAAGCATCTCAGAATCTTGCACAACTCTGTCACTTTCCACAGCTGCTATGATCTGCCTGTGGTGTTGCAAGCTGTATGCCTCTAAATACCAATTGCTCTGAATCACAAGAGTGCCGTTGAACTCAGGTCCTGCATACAGGCTTCCCCTAGGCTTCCCTGTGAGAATAGGATGCTGGGCTGGAGGGGCCATTGACCATGAGGGCCTCTTCTCATGTTTGTACGATCTTCTGGCAGATACTCAGGGTCTCTGTGGCAGACTCAGGTCCCCCCAATGCTAGAAAGCTTTGAAAATCATTGGTGTAGCAGAATCCACGTTCTCATCAACGCTCTTCCCCGTTTTGTTTTTCTGAACAGAGGGAGCATATAAGAGATAAATTTGTCGCCGATTTACGACGAGACTTTGCAGGAAAAGGCCTCACATTCTCCATAGGTATTTAAACATGAAATGTCACTCCCCTAAATCATTATTTTATTTTATTTTTGTGCCAAAGCACAAGGATGAGTCTGGCTACTCAGGTGTTGCCCTCGTCTTGATTTATGACACGACTGGGAAAGGGAAAGGGAGAAACATTTGCCACTAGGTTTTCAGAGGCACTGGAAGTAAAAATAAAACATAGGCTTGGGATAAGGGTGTCCACACATTACATTCAGCAAGCGTACAGTCTGTGTACTTGCGTACTTCTACGGTTATTTGCATGAAATGTTCAACAAGGGTACAGCCTGTGTGCTTGCAAGAGTTGAGTTGTACTACTCAACAAGTGTACACTCTTTCACACAAATGCTTAGACCTGTGTTCAGTGTAATGTGCGAACAAGCCTAGAGAAACACCTGAATTGACATATTAGTCAATCCAGGAGCACACACAAAATATATTTTCTGCATGTTACTGGGACAAGAGTTAATTTCAGGTGCCTTGATATATTCCAACACCCTGTGTTTTCTTTTCTATTTAAGCATGAAGCTTCTGTCCTCCCTTTTACCATAAATCCATTTAACTTTATGCTGATGGAGATAGCATCTTCCAAGGTCCTTCCTGCTCAGTAAACCTTCTTCTAGGTCATTTTTTTCTTTACACTGTACAAAACGTGCTGCTGCTGTTCTAACTTTTTGTAACCTCTCTCCAACCAGGGGGCCAGATCAGTTTTGATGTGTTTCCAGATGGTTGGGATAAGCGATACTGTTTAGGAATTGTTTCCCAAGACGGCTTCAAAACAATTTATTTCTTTGGAGACAAGACAATGCCAGTAAGTGCTAGACTGGAACGTGCCAAGAAGTTTCAAATACACTTTCAGGATAAGGATTCCTTGTGGAATTGCAATAGACAGTCATGTGCTACCCTCGTGAAATTGATATATAGATCGGGAAGGAGGAGTGTCTATGGCCCTCTAGACACTGCTGAACTCGTAACTCCCAGCCACCCTGGCCAATGGTCAGGGACGATGAGACATAGTCCAGCTAAAATCTGGAGGGCCACAGGTTTTCCATCCCAGATAGCTAACTACAGTTGTACCTTGCAAGCCGAACGCCTTGCAAGTCTAATGTTTCCGCAAACCCGGAAGTGAGTGTTCTGGTTTGCAAACGTTCTTTGGAAACCACACGTCCAACGGGACTTCCACGGCTTCCAATTGTGTGCAGGAAGCTCCTGCAGCCAATCAGAAGCCGTGCCTTAGTTACTGAACATTTTGGAAGTCAAACGGACTTCCGGAGCGGATTCCATTTGGCTTCCAAGGTACGACTGTTTTGCAAATTTAGCACATACTAAATCACAGTGAGTCACATTGCACTCATTATTGCAACAAGGCAGTTACCCATTAAAATGGCCCCTTTTCTCCTCCCACCCCCTTTAAACAATTTGACCTAGACCCAGTTTTCAGGGGAACTGGCCCCTCTGGCCAGCAGTACATAGAGCAGCACAAAGTTCCCCATCCCCACTGCACTATGCAGAAGGCAAGAAACAGCTGGGTTTCTCCCTTACGCGTCACCTTTTCCTTCCAAAAATAGTCTCTCCTTCATAGCCCCCGAGAAATTAAATAATACAGCTGTGTTGGCTGGGGCTGATGGGAGTTGTAGTCCAAATTGGCCGTGCTGGCTGGGACTGATAGGAGCTGCAGTCAAAAATATCTGGAGAGCACCTAGTAGTTGGTGAAAGCTGCTATAGCTCCACAGTTACACTCACCTGAGGCTCCACAACAGGTTATTTAGCAACCTCTAAGAAGTTCTGGGTGTGGGGTAGATCTCCAGTGAGACTGAAAACTCCAAAGTGTGATTTTTGTGTGTGTGTGTGTTTCTTATTCGCAGGGTGGGAACGACTATGAAATTTACACGGACTCCAGAACCATCGGCCACAGCGTCACGTCGCCCGAGCAGACGAAACAGATATGTGAAGAGTTATTCTTCAACTAGATGCGCTTATTTTGTACGAAAAGGGAGCAGGTTAACTTCAGGACCAAAATTTGCAGAATAACTGCCTTGGGGTGAAGATCAGGATCAAGACTGTGGTGTGCAGGAGGTTTTGGGGGGGAATTTAACTCTTCTGTTCCCCCCTCCCCCCAAAGCTGCTGTTTGTCCAGAAAGCGGCAATTATGAGGCAAATAGAAGTTAGCTGCGTCCCTCCACGGCAGCTATTTTAAAAATAGGGGAAATGGTCAGACCTGTTAAATGAATGATTGCCTTTCATGTTGTGCCCAGTTTTTGTTTTGCATGATCACAGCTTGCCTTTCAGGCTGATTTCCTAGAGACTGAAAAGTTCTGCCATAACAGAAATGTCAAAAGGCGATTCCCGCCCCGCCTTCCAGACCAAATTCCTCGACGCACACCTGGATCTCTTCCAAGCAACATGTGTGGATGGCATCTTCTGCCAACACTGTTCTGTCCCCACTTTCATTTTTCTGATTGCTGAGTAGCCCTGAAAAACAGGCCTCACGGTGGAAGCCTTGCAGGTAGATCACAACGTCCAGAAAGGCTTTGCTTGTCCCAGTGACTTATTGAAACAGGCAGCTGGAGGGTGGTTTTAGGGTAGAGGTAAAATTCTGGCACAGGAGCCCATCTTTCATCCACCACCCACCGTTTGCTGCTGTTTCAAGGGTTCTCTGGTTTGTTTCAGAATTTGTTGCCTCAGTAGGGTGTGTTTGGAATTTAATGTATTGGAATGCAAAGGGATGGGAGATTCCCACTAATACCTCACACCTGGCTTTTTGGAATATAGTGCAGTTGCTAATCCTGCCATGCAATTTCTGTTAAAAGCTCATACTTCAAGTTGGACTGCCACATTAAAATTCTTATGAACAGGGAATAACGTTTTGTTTCTCCAGATATCTCCCTCACTCCCAGAAAAGAAACCCTCTCATATATATCAATAGCACCCAATTGCCTTTCTGTCATCAGCACACTGGATTTGCCTGGCTGAGGATCTTCGAACTTGTTCTTGAGAAGTACAGTCGTACCTTGGTTGTCAAACGCCTTAGTACTCGTACGTTTCAGCTCCTGAACGATCGAAACCCAGAAGTGAGTGTTCTGGTTTTCGGATGTTTTTTGGGAAGCCAAACATCTCACAGGGCTTCCGATTGGCTGCAGGAGCTTCCTGTAGCCAATCAGAAGCCGTGCTTTGGTTTCAGAACATTTTGGAAGTCGAATGGACTTCCGGAATGGATTCCGTTCGACTTCGAAGGTACAACTGTCTTTTACATTGAGTAAAGCCATTGTTACGCCCAGCTCGGTATGGTCAGCATCGCTGACTTTTCAAAACCACAAGCAGTTATGCAAATTAAATGTATTCGCATAATTTATCCCAATTACAGAACTCGTTTTTCTAAAAACTAAAAAACACCACCACCCTTGCCACAGATTTTCAGACGGTTTAGTGCAAAAAACAAAAAACCATGGCCAGATTCAATCGTATTAGTGCCAGAGCAGGAAATGAATAGCTGAAATGTCCAAATTCAAGCCAGCATAGTCTCTGTAACAAAGTTTAAAAATGCACTGCAATTCCCTTTTATGGAAATTCCAGGAGCAGAAGGAAGAGGGGGGCATTGAACTTCCACAACTGGTTTCTTTAAAAAAAAATTAAAATCCAGCTATTCAATGGAATGCATATCCAGTTGAGCAGGAGTCAAGCACTGGTGTAAAATAGAATGCAGAAGGGGAAATCATTCAGCAACTGATCATGGCTACCACTTAGAGGAGACATTGCAAATCAGTGAGCTTACTCACACCCGAGACAATTTCTTCAGAACAGTCGTGTGATGCAGCAGGGGGAGGGGGAAATTAACGCTATTCTAGGCTGCATCAACAGACGTATAGTGTCCAGATCAGGGGAAATAATAGTACCACTCTATTCTGCCACCTGGGGTCCCATGTCCACAGTTTTGGGTGCCACAGGTTAAGGAGGACATTGACAAGCTGGAAGGTGTGCAGAGGAGGGCAACTGAGGTGCTCAAGGGTCAGGAAGCCAAGGGGTAATAAAAGCGATTGTGGGAGTTGGGTATGTTTAGCCTCCAGAAGAGAAGACTGAGAGGTGGTATATTAGCCATCTTCAAATATCTGAAGGGCTGTCATATGGAAGATGGAACAAGCTTGTTTTCTCCAAAGGGTGGGGATTCAAACTATAAGAAAGGAGATTCCGACTAAACATTAGGATCTTAGTTGACCACCTAATTACTTTCCTGCCTGTTGCAGCAATTGCAATTTGCACTGTGCTGCATGGTTTTTAATTATATTTTTATTGCTTTTTTATTCCTTAGATATTGTATTTTATTGTATTACAGTTTGAATGATGTGGCATTCAAGCTGTAAGACAATAAAATACAATCCAGGAAGCAATTAAAACAATTAAAATCAATATGTATTATTTAACGCAGTGAACGTGCCACCTCCCATCTTCAACCATGAGCCTACAGACATACAAGACTACCTGAATGAAGCTCATGGACCACAACTGGGAACCCCTGATGTAAAAGATGATAAAGTCAGGTTACAGCTGAGATGGTACTGTGATCCTAAGCACATCTTTAGCCAGATCCTTTAGCTCTTTACCCATGAAGCTGATGTGCATGGGGTTTGCTGCCTTACTTGGAAGGAAGCTTTGGTGCCGTGAAGTGGAAATTACGAAAGCGGCAATTAAAATTTCATCTTGCACAAACTCAGTCTGGGTCAAGCCACTTTTCCTCCTCCTCCTCAGCCCAGACTCGCTCAAGTAATTCATGTTAGGAGCCTGCAGGCCGCAGTAATGTAAAATAACTTGCCAGACATTTAAAACACAATGTAAATGATTCATAGGAGCGGCGACGTCAAGATCAGTGGGACAGAGGTTCTAATGAAACAGCTAAAGTTGCAGATAGTGTGGCCTTGTCACAAGCAGATCTGTTTACCTGATCCGGTTGAAAACTTAAGAGGCCAGTTCTATATCTAGCATGGCAAGAAAAACGAAAAACGGTCACAACGATAACAACTCCTGCAGTATCTCAATGTCCAGGGCTGCAGCAAATGAGGAGAGTTTAATTTCCTCTCTCATGTCTGTCTGACTGGCTTGGCAGTCTTGTGTCTCTCTGGTGTTAGCAGATAATAAGAAAAGGAGATTGAGCAATTCTGGTCTCTGGACAGTCCCTGCTTGAGAGCCAGTGTGTTGTAGTGGCTAGAATACTGGACTAGAGGCCAGAACGAATCTAATGATTACAGATGCCTTTCACACAATTCCAGAAGAGGAGATTCACTCCAACCTTTTTATTTATTTCTTTTCCCCAAAGATTTCCAGCTGTTAGGGAGTTTGAGAAGGGAACACAACACACATATGTACTGTTCAGAACATTTTCTACTAGGAAAAAAACAACAACTGGATGGCATTGAAATAAAATATGGTTGAAATATGGTTTAGCTACAAACCTAGTTGGAGCCAGGAATTAGCTAGCTGTGCATTAAACACACACACATCACTAACTAAAAATAATATACTTTGCCAGCTGAAGAAATGCACCAGAAGGGTTCAAACATCAAACCAGTTCACGTGACATACAGTGGCTTGTTTTCCTCCTACTAAGCCATGGTTTACTAAAACTGTTGATCATCTGGACCCTGTTCAGTGGATTGCCTATGGCTTCTTTACTGCCAGCAAACCACAAGCTGAAGCCATGGTTTGTCACTGACTCACAACCCTTGGTTTGTTTTAACTGTGGCTTTGGTGTCACAAAGAAAGCCAGCACCGTCCCCAAAGCAAGGTTTGGTTAGTCAACCCACCACAAACACTTGCCAAGCTACCAGAAAAGACCAGCTGGAAAACAAACCACATTTTAGAGAAACAAGCACTGGGTTTGTTTTATTGTCCATGGGACAAATCTGTAGCTTGTTAAGCAAACCATGGTTTGGTGTGAGTTGTGCAAACGGGGCCAAGGAGGACATAAAAATCAAGAGCTGGTTTTTTAAAAAGAAAAAACCCTGAAAGTTTTCATCAACCCAAATTACAAGCTAACCACGGCAGACACTACTCTCGCGTCTCAGATGTTTATATATGAAATGTTGAGGCGGGCTGTGCTTTTCTGCCAGCACAAAATCAAAAGAAGGGAAAGGTGTTTCCAGCTAGGGCTTCCCCCAGGTACTCCATTGAGGGGGCTTCCTTGGACCTAGAAACCCAGAGGGCACACCAGGAGAATTCCTATGTTTCTAGGAAAGTGGGTCTCACCAGCAGATGACTTCTACAATGACAGGCAAATTTCACAGTGCTGTTGCTCATTAGAATGGTGAGGCCCCGTGGTGCCAAGCAGAAAAGTTCTTCATGGGGTGATCTACCCAGACAATGCTGGTATCCCTTGCCATGCAGAGTCCCCACCAAAACAGATAATTTACAGACTCCAAGTCATGCTCCCCATCATCTGGAGAGATGGCACCTGCGCCATTTTGTTATATTTTGGTTAAGTCTTTCTAAGGCCTTTGGGTGCCTACACGTGCTGGTAAAAAAAAAAGAAAAGAAAAGCCATAACTAAATCCCGTCTTCTTGGTCAACTTTAAGTGTTGTGCCGTTTGCGGTTTTTTTAATTATTTTTTTTATAAAAGCGGGGGCGTTACTCTGGCCACCTTTGGACCCCCATTACAATGGTGTTTCCACCTCACTCAATACGCAGAAAACTCGTCTGTCAAGTCTCAAGTCAGTATCAGTTGTTGAACAATACCGAAAGTCCAGCATTTCCTCCATCGGGGCGGCTTTGGCGTCAGGGCGGCCTAGGAATTGATCACGTTTCCTGACCACGTCTCGTGCTTTATCCCCGGAGCGAGGTGAGTGATGACCACCTCCACGGCCTGGAGCTTCTCGTTCTTCGGAGGGATGGTGCACACCTTATAGGTGACTTCATCCCCGGTCACCGGGACGTATTCTCCTTCAATGCTTTCAGGAGGCAGGGGGAGAAGATACAAAACAAAATAATTGCCCAAGTGGTTCCCATCACAGGACTTTGCCACAAACTCAAAAAAGGGAACATAGAACCCACAAGAATGTTTTTATTCATTCATCTGGTTCACACTAAACAGTGGTTTCCCCAAAGTAGTCGATATTTACCCAGTCACCCCTGGGGATGGAAAACAAGTGTATGAACTGTGTTTCTTAGGCCCCACCCTGTTTCTGTGGTTGTAACCTATTCAAAACTGTTTTATCCCTGGGTTTTAATTGTTGTAACCCACACTGGGACCTCGGGGTGAAAGTGGGTAAATCATAATCATCATAATGCTCCAATAATAATAATAATAATAATAGGGAAATTTGAGTCTCAGAAATAAAGGTCATAGGCATGTACAGAACACACCTCCTTTGCCACTTCTGTATCTTAATGATTCCACAATACAACAGTGACTGGTGATTCATAAATGTTGATATTTCATGACTTTGCTTCATTTACATGACTAAGAAGTTGTAGTGCGGTCGATGGCAATGTTATATATCTCATCCAGGGGTCAATGAACTCAGAAGCCTGGGAAAGCCAATGCTAAGCCTGTCCTTTGTGTTCAGCAAAGCAGAGATTAGCCACGAGTTGTCCGACAGACAATCACGCAGACCAAGGCTTGCTTCTCCACAGCTTGCCTGGGTTTCCAGCTGCTCTTGGCCTCTGGCCTTTGTGGCTTAGCTGTACAAACCACAGTTAAGAAAGGGGGCCAGATTTGCACGTAATGCTGAATCATAGATAGGAGACAAATGAAGCTTGGTAAGCCAGTGACAAACCATGGCTTCAGCTTCATTCTAGGGCACAGGTGGGGACTCTTTCCATCTCCTCCTCCCCAGGCCATCATGCTGCCCCCCTCACCAGCTTTGCTCTGCACCACAAGCATTCTTGCCTGGCTGCTGGGACGTGTCCTTGAATTCTGATCGTGCATTTTGCTGGCCTTGGGTGGAGTGGGGTGTGTAAGAGTGTGCAGAAAACAACTGGCTTTGCAAAGGTAAAATTTACATTCATTGCTCCGCCAGCTTTGCCTCTGGCCCTGGCTCACTGCTCAGTGCCGGATTTACGTATAAGCTAAACAAGCTATAGCTTAGGGCCCCACTCTCTTGGGGGCCCCCCAAAAAATTAAAGGAAAAAAAGACTGGATGTACATTTCCAAAATATAAGATAAAAAACAAATAAAATAAAAGCTACATACAGCAACAGTGTTTTGTGTTGTGTAGGTTCCTGTAATGTAAGTAATGGGCCCCATCTGCTAGGCTGCTCCCTAAAATATCACTGGTTTGCTCATTTCTATATATAGGGGGCCTACATTCTGCATGGCAACATGTGCAAATGGCTTTAGATACCTAGTAGGTCCATAAATTACCATATAGCATATATTCAACACAAAAAAACAGCAACAATTTGTTGCTGACAAAGGACAGCTGGACATATAAAGGGCCCCATTATCTTCAGTAGCGTTGCCGTGATGGGAATAATGCAGCCCTCAGGATGAAAAGATGAAGGGCAAATCCATTCTCCCCACCCCACCCCCCACTTACTCAGAAATGTGCACAAAGATGTCTGGACTGCCATCGACAGGCGTAATGAAGCCATGGCCCTTGGAGCGGCAGAAACATTTACACACACCCTTGTAGGTAGGCCCTTCAGAGGCTCTCGTCGTCCTGTGAGGAACAAAAGCAAGTTCAGAAAACCATTCCCCACCTCTTCTTACATTAGGGCGCGGAAGTCAGCTTCTAGGGAATTAATGTGGCTGCTTCTGAAAGTCAAGTTTCTTGTACATATGGGGGAAAGTGCACGGGCAAAATGCCTGCTGAAAGCAGAGAAGCCTGAGAGAAGCCTGAATAAGAGTTCAAGTAATGCCACAGGGTGCTTCAGTGTCCTATGGAACTACCCACCACCCACTTACAACTAGCAGAAGAAAAATGGCAGGGCTCACACTTCACACGTGGAAGGCCACAAGTATGATCCCGGCATCTTCAAGTAGGGCTCAGAGGGAAACCTACCGAAAACCCTGGATTGCCTCCGGCAATACTAAGTTGGACGGACTAATGGTCAAACATGGCACAGGGCAGCTTCCCTGTATCCCTACATTCTTAACAAACCATGCAAAATGAGGAGAAATCAGGCAAATGTATGCAGGTAGCAGAATTCAGATTGTCAAGAGAGACCTGGGCACGATGCTGTAGAATGTAGTGCTCTTTTTAGGAAAACAGGGTGAAATTCAACACCATGCAATTACAAATATTCCATCTGTTTGCCAGATCCCCCCTCCCACGTGCTGTTCTGTTGGTTCCCCCAATTCCCCCCACAAACCAATTCCGGGAGGTGGGGAGCCCTGCTGCGCAAACAGATGCCCTCATGCAAGGCTTCTAAGTGAATCTCACCCATAGAGATGCATCCAACTACATTATACTCAGAGTAGACCTGCTGAACTTGATGGACTTTGATTAGTCATGCCCATCTATTTAAGAGGGTCTACTCAAGAGTTGGATAAGCATCAAATGCAACCCACAGGGAACTGCTTTACACTGAGCCAGACCGAGGGCCAATCTAGCACCCAGTCATCAACAATGCTCTCCTGGGATTGAGGCAAGAGGCTCTTCCGAGCCTTACCTGGAGACACCGAGGACTGAACTGTCCGAAACAGCTGCTGAGCTAGATGGACCAATGGTCTGATTTAGTATAAGGCAGCTTCCTACATTTGTAGGTAGGAATCAGAATCTGGGGGAAAGTGTCAGAATCATCCAAGGACAAAACAGAGCTCATAACTGGCCTTGAAGACATGGCCTTCTAAGATCATCAGAACATCATCAGAACCTACTGGATCAGGCCAATGGCCCACCTAGTCCAGCTTCTGTTCTCACAGTGGCCAACCAGGTGCCTCTTCTGGGAAACCTACAAGCAGGACCAGCGTTCAACAGCACTCTCCCCTCTTGCGGTATTCATAAGCAAAGCCACCACAGCTAGCAGCCACTGACAGCCTTATCTTCCTCCATGATTTTGCCTAATCCTCTGTTTAAGCCATCCACATTGGTGGCCATCACTGCCTCCCTGCAGCAGCGAGTTCCATAGTTTGTGCAGTGTGAAGTTCTTCCTTTTATCTGTCTTGAATCTTCCAGCATTCAGCTTCCCTGCATGTCCCCCTCAGCTTCTAGTGGGAGCGAGAAAAAGGGTTCTCCATCTATCTGTTCCCTCCACACCATGCATAATTCTATAATATTCCATACTCGCCTTTTCCCTAAACTAAAAATTCCCAAACTCTGCATCCGGGGAGCCTCTCCATCCCCTGGACCCTTTGGGTCTCCCCTTTTTCTCTGAATCTTCCCCAAAATCTGCAATATCCTTCTGCTGCCTTCCTCACCTTGACGAACTGGACCTAAGACCTTCCGACGCCATGGAGAAGCCCACCTGCCTTGAGTGAGAGAGGGCACAACTTTCTACAGAGCATGGTAGGACGTTCTGCTCCCATGCCCTCTCGCTTCCCCGCCCGCCCGCCACCTCCCTCCTCTCAACACAACTTCTGAGCTTCTAGCCTGGGTGCGATTGTGACATAGCCAGCCATCCCAGAGTCATTTGTACTTCCCCGCTTGTCATAATGTCATTCAGCTGCAAGCTGAGCTAACCTTCAGAGCCCCAGGGGATTCAGTCAGTGACACACCCAACTTACAGCTGAGAGATTACACTCTGCTGCTCAATTCGGTATTTTGCAGAGTTGGAGGTGGGGGAAGGAGTTGTATTATCAGGGATTTGTCTCAGCAAGACCAACTCTCAGTGGAAATCTACAGTGACCTCTCAACCATCTACGGCCAGAGTAATTGCTTCTTGGGTGGGCTGTATGGAGGTGATCACAGAAGGAACCAGGCAGGGTGAGGCTTGCAAAGGTGAGTGACCAGAGTTGTCTTCTTCTTTGGCAGTCACTCATAGCCGAGTAAGATTGCCTTCCATAAACACGGTTTCAACAGTGTGTCCGTAAGTGACTGCGGAGGCCAATTCTGGATCCACACGTCCTTTCCACAGTGGGAACATAGGTCTCCAGGCAGGAGTTGATCATGGTGAGGGTTTGCCATTCCTCTTATTACATTTCTCCCTTTCGTCCTGAGTTCGAGCGTCTTCAAAGTCCATGACACCTTTGGTAAAGGCTATTCTCCAATTGGTGCACTTGCAGGCCAGTGTTTCCCAGTTGTCGGTGTTCATACTACTTTTTCTTTTTTAACCAGGGACAACACCAGCGTTTGTTTTGTTTGTTATTAATTTATAAAAAATATTTGTATACTGCTATATCATAAAAATGTATGTTGAAGCGATACACAGCAATAAACACATAAAACCATAAAAGTTAAAAACAAGTTAAAAGCAAAAAAGTTTGAAATGTTCATTGTGGTACCAGCAATTCAGAGTCAGGTAAGAAGCAAATTATCCCTATCTACCTAACAAAATTTATATACCACTTTATGGTAGCAAAACCTCTAAGGGGCTTAACAAAAAATATTAACATTAACAATAAATAAATAAATATTAACATTAACAATAAAAAACAGACGAAAACAATGAAAAACTGTTTTAGAAGATTGAAATTAACAGTAAAGGAGATTAAAACACAGCAACATCAGTATGCCTGGTTAGGCTTGCCTAAGCAACATTGTTTTAAATGAGCACCGAAAGAACCCCATTCCACCTGCTCCCCTTGATACTCACGCTGAAAATGTGCGGGTCCTCCGCGTCGGAAGCGGGCTTGGGATGAGGTAGCCTCTCATCGGAGACGGGGAACGCTCTCTTGTCCTCCGCCCTTCTGGAAGTCGGAGGCTGCGTGGAGACGGAGGCTGCTCATGAGAGGAAGCAGATTCTGAAGACATTTCAAAGACCTAAACAGGAGAGGAGGTCTTGCTTTAGAAGCAGGAGTTTAGTTGACCAATCTTCTCATTAATTTAGTTTTTGCTCTTGCAAGTTGAATGTCAGCCGCTCTCTCTCAGCTATCCATTACAATGATGCTCTGAGGTGGTGTCCATTAGGGCTGGGCGATACAGTGGTACCTCAGTTTTTGAACACCTCAGAAGTCAAACGTTTCGACTTTCAAACACCAAAAACCTGGAAGTAACTGCTTCGGTTTTCGAACACTTTTCAGAACCTGAACATGCCACGCGGCTTCTGTATTGAGTTTTCCAGAAGTAAATGCTTCAGTTTTTTAACGTTTCGGAAGTTGAACGGTCTTCCAGAATGGATTACAATCGAAAACCGAGGTACCACTGTATCTGGTTTTCAACATTGTGATGTATTACCAGCTAAACATTGTGATATACCGATTAGCTGGCTTCACTGTTTTTCCCACATTGTGATTTTTGCATAGCATGTGCACAAACACACACACAACATGAATTCACAATTATATTGCCAGGTCAAAAAATATGAAACTGATATCACAAAATGGACTTCAAACCAGTTTTGGACAATATATCACCATATTGCCCAGCCCTAGTGCCCATCTTTGGGTAGAGCAGAATGTGTCCTTTTTTACCTTACTGCAGGCTGAGAACTTTTAGCTAATCATGCTTTGCAATCTTTTGTTGTATTTTATTCTGGTATTATATGCTTCTTTAAAAACAAACAAACCTATAAATCACTTTGAGACCAAAAAGAAATTTTTGGTAGTAAGCGACAAATAATTATCCTAAATAATGATAATAAGAAATAATGACAGAACTGACAACACGTTACTAAGACTCTTGCTCAGGAAAATGCCCTAAAACACAACAGGAAACCAATTCAACACAGAGAGTTCAGATCCAACATCAATGAAGCTCCCACATAGACGATTGCATGAATTATGCAGAGGATCTTTGCCTGACATCTCATGTCAATGTGACAATTTTCCACCCCTTGTAACAATAGTGGAAAGAACAAAAATTTATGGCTTATTAGTAGAAGAGCATCCAGGAACAGACTCTCTCTCTCTCTCTCTCTCCCCCTCCTCATCCTCTGTTTAATTGCTCCAGGTATGAAGAGGTTATAACTTTTAAAAAACAAAACAAATGAAGTCAAGATCCCATGAGGAATAATATGCATTCACTCCAACCCACTATCAAATTCCAGAGAGTATCATCACGCTGCTGGAAACAAGGAATTTCTCACACTTCATGTTAACTAGGTAAACACACACACACTTAGAACCAAATAGCACCAGAGCGTGTTAAAAAGATAAAATGTTGATGGCCCAAAACTGGAAAGTTAAGTTATTCCCTCATTGAAAGGAATGGCTTAATAGAGTTTGGGCCATCTCCATAATGGCGAAAATAACATATTATCTAAAAGCGAGATATGCAAGCAAATGCAGAAATAAATTTTGGGAAAACTAGTCTCCCTCTTGGCAGTGTGGCCCAGAAAACAATTATCTCCCGCAAAAGCAAATTCAAGTAGGTTTTGAGGTTTGTTTTTAAAGCAAATGTTAATTTATGTTATATTTTCTTGCAGGAATATTTATGATTTGAAGGAATTTTATCTGAAGCAGGGTTTCATTGATTATTGTTAATAATTGTCAAAATGGTTAAATACGTAAATAATGTTCAAAATCGCAAGTGCCATAAATTAAAGAAGACCAAACATTGAGTATTTGATATTTTATATGGCTTTAAGATTCCAAAGGTCCAAACTCAGAGGGAAGTTGGCGCAAGGCAGTTAAAAAGGGGAAGAGCAACTGACACAAATTCAGCAATACTGTCTCTGTGAATACACCATACATTTAAAGCACATTCCCCACCTCCCTGCCTAAACAATTCTGGGAACTGTAGTTTACCCCTCACAGAGCTGCAATTCCCAGCACCCTTAACAAACTAGTGTGTGCCTGCTTTAAATGTATGGCCAGGGGAGAGGCTTTTAAGAAGAAAAGTTATCCCAAACAGCTGCTGGAGGTGAGAGCTCTCAATAGAACCTGCATTGTCAGGGGCACTATACCAGATGTCAGAGACAAACAACAGGGGCAAGAGAAAGAATATCCATGCTGTGCTCATAAATTTCCAAAGCCATCTAGGCAAGCAGTTTGCCCGATCCACTAGGGCAATTATGGAAAAGCTTCACAATGCTTCACTTGGCAAATTTGACTCACAAACTGAAGCAATTATGGAGGGTGGGAGCTGGGTAGTGTATTTATTCAAGAGGGGCAAAAAGTATATACTCCAATATTTATTTATATTTTTAAGCATTAGCCAGGTTGGCCTTCCTGAAGCCCCCATGTTCAGTAGCCATATAGCTCTGTGAATTCCACACACCAGCAGTCATCCTGCCCCTGAACAATTTCCATCCTAGCAGGTCATGGACTACTATTTAACCTGTCAGACTCACTACCTGAGTTTGCATTCTTCCTCTGCCCTCCTAGTCCCCTTTTTCTTTTATGTGTGTGGCTTTCCCCCCCAGAAACCTGCAAGCAGGAACTGTCCTGTATATAAGCTGCTCTGGGAGCCCTTTTGAATGAAGAGCCGGCTACAAATATTCCGAATAAATAAGGATGGCTGGCTGGGCAAGCAGGGATGATCTTCCATTGATGCAAAACAATAACCAAATTCTGGCCACCCCAGAGCAAAACATGAGCATGAATGAGCTAAAGCACAGCCTGCGGCTTCCAGCACACGACATCCGTCCGATTCTTGCCACAGGGCTTCTGGATTTCTACAAACCACGCGGTGCAGAGAGAGGGGAAACCCAACAGCCATAGTTTTACTCTTCCGCCTCCATAGCACGCTATCGCCCTTCAGTTTACACATCAAGGAAAACACAACAGAGGCATCAGGCTGACTCACTTAATTGCCAGCGCTTATCCAATTCCCTTGCTCTCTGCCCTGCTTGCTCAGAACACAAAACACAAGCAGCAGTTCAGCGGAAACGAAGCCTTTGTCTCCCTCCCAGCCAGATCCCCTGAGGCCAGACCAAGAAAACAGATTTCTGTCATTTGTCACAGGACGGTCACAGGGAGAGGAATAATACACCGCAAACTGTTTCAACATCAGAGGAGGAGGAGAATACTGCACAGGAAACAGATCAGCCTTCCCAACTGGGTACCCTTCAGATGTTTCGGACTTTAGCAGTGGCTGCCTGAAAGATCTGGAGCGCAACAGGTTGGTGAAGGCTGCTATATAGCATCCATGAATAAAAACTCAAAAGCTGCAACAGACAAAGCTATGGCTTAAGTGCTCAGCATTTGCAAATTCCAATTCTGCTAACTGAGGCATGCAGCACTCTAACAACAAATCTGACTACGTTAAAAAAAAATTAAAAAGCAGCCCTTGCTCTGCTTAATGCTTTCAAAGGCCAGAAACAGACACAACCCTACTTCCTTCCTCCCGGTAGAAGCCCTCTTGCCAACTCTACATACAGCAGCTGGATGAAGTAATTAAGAATATCTCAATGTGCCAGGATGGACCTAGACTGAAGCTCAGAAATAACATTATTCAACTCTCCCCTTCATGAAACAGACAGGCATCTCTTCAGTGAGAAAATGAGCACATCAGGAAGAATGCTTCCAGCCCTCCTTGGCGAGCAAACTTTCTCCTTGCAGAGAGGTTATTTTTTATGTAGAGGGAGCCCTCCAAATGGTATCTCCCACCTATGCAGTCTGAAGTAGTACAGTCCACTCTACCATCTCAGGACTCTACCATCTCATTGTGCTGCTTGCATAGTGCAGGTCTTGATCTGGCTAATTAACGTGCCATATTAACAATGCAAATTTCGGCAACTTGGAAATCAGCCCCGCTGAAAACAATGATGAATTGCTCCCAGGTAATTCTAACCCTATCTACTCAGAAGGGAAGCCCTCCTGAATTCAATGGGGCTTACTCCCAGGTAAGTGGGGTTAGGATCATAGCAGAGTAGTCTTTTCTATTGCATTTGTCTTCCCTTACAAATTGACTCAGGACTCACAACATCACCCCATCTGACAAGATAGGAGAGAAACATCTGTGGAGTTTGGAAAGCCACTTGGCCGGGTGGTAAAACCACACCCCTGACTCTTGCTCAAATTGAGATGGGCAAAGCAAGAGGAAGAGGCGTGCCAGGAAACATTGGTAATAGGGACCATATTTTTAGATCAGCATGTGCACAGGCTCAAAACAGGTAGGTGTGCTTTGAAACAGAGAAGACATGAAACAAAAATTATATGCGTGCACAAAGGATAGGCAAAAAACATTAAAATCAATCTCCACTGGCTTAGCCTACAACTCCAGATGTGAGAAAGGTAAAATGCCAGCCAGGAACATGTCAAGAACACCTGAAGGTGAGTAATGCTATCAGCGATATGCTAAAATCAGTGATAAACCAGATTAAAACACGTGCTGACAACACATGTCTACCGTATTTTTCGCTCTATAACACGCACCCGACCATAACACGCATGTAGTTTTTAGAGGAGGAAAATCCGTAGGCATGCCACCCGTAGGCATTCCCTGCATAACACGCACAGACATTTCCCCTTACTTTCTAGGAGGAAAAAAGTGAGTGTAATGGTGCAAAAAATACGGTATATGTTCCGTACAGGCTTGTCCAAACAAAAGACGTGTTTGCATGTGTTTCAATCTGGGTTTTTGCTTACCATTGTTTTCAATTATGTTTTGAAAAACATTCTGCATGAGTGTTTTTAACTGTTTTTATTTATTTCATTGTTTTCTTCTTTTTGTAAACCACTTGAGGTTCATTGGCCTTTTTTTACAATCAAGCAGTATGTTAATCTGCTAACATAAATGGCCTGCGTGAACAGAAAGGTCTAGTGCTGGAGCAAAAGACCACAAAGATGGTGTGAGGTGAAGCTCTGTAATTGGTGGGGGCCACCACTAAGAAGCCCCAGCACACAAAACACCCTTGTTACCCACCCTACTTTATTTGACAGGGGGCACCCAGAGCAGGACCTCCAAAGAGGTTTTGAACGCAAGAAGCTGCCCTTATACCAAGTTGGACCATTGTGGAACATGTTTTCCTTTGAAATTAAGACAGGTTTCTGGGCCAGAGTCATGGCTCAAAGGCGAGGGCTGCACTGCCCACCAAATATGAGAAAGATTATCCACCCATCTCTCTGGCTTCTGACACAACCCATTTACATTCCAGCGTATCTTTTACAACCATAAGGTCTAGAAACTTGATTGTCTCTCTATACTGTTTCTGTAAGAAAAACTGTAGCTGCAGTGTGGGGCTTGGTGGGTTGGTGAGCAGGGGAAGCAGCCCCTAGTATGTTTGTGTTTTTTTAATGGAAGCATTGATTCTCAGGAAACTTGAGTCTTGCCCTCATTAGGTGGCTTTTCTGCACAGAATCATAACATGAACAGAGGGCTGGCTGCAACATGGCCCAGCAGCTCTGTGAAGGGAAAAAGAGACTCCATTGGCCCCTCCTTGCTTTATCTAGTAGTATGTCAGCCACAACCTTGCCTTGGTAAAAAGAGATGCTTCTCTAGACCTTGAGACAGGAACACAAAGCAAGCGAAAAGGCAAAATGTATTATTATAGCATCGCACTGTCTTGTAATCTTGATGGAAAACAGAACATCCTCAACTTGGGTGATCTCCGGATGTTGCCGCACTCCAAGTCCCATCATACTTTTAGGTCTAGAGAAAAGGCGAGCAAGATGAAACACAACAGAGGAGAAAATGGACACAGAAAAGTTGTTTCTCCCTCTCGTGTAACGCGAGAACTCAGACGTATCTGATGGAGCTGAATGCTAGAGATTTAGGTCAAGCAAAAGGAAGGCCTTCATTATGCAGCGCATAGTTTAACTATGGGATTTCACTTCCACAAGGGGAAGTGATGGATACTAACTTGGGTGTCTTTCCTAGAAAATTAGGCAAATTCCTGTACAAGGAGGCTATCAATGACTACTAGCCAAAAGGGCCTCTCCTCTCAGTGCCTCTAAATACCCGCTGCTGCTGTCCAGGGATACAGAACTTGTGTGCTCAGAAAAATGCCTGAATGTGGCTATCCTGACACAGGACAAGTGATCCAACAGAAGAACATACAAGAGCAGCTCTGCAGGTCCAGGCCAAAGGCTCATCCTGCCCAGCACCCTGGTCTCATGGCCTTACGTGACTCTTCTGAGAGACCTGCTAGCAGGACTTGAGCACAACAGCACTGTCTCAGCAGAACATAGCCACTGATGCACGTATCTGGCTACATAAATCTGTCCAATCCTCTTTTAAAGACATCTAAGTTGGCAGACATCACTGCCTCCTGTGTGAGGGAGTTCCACTGTTTATGTACCGCGTGAATAATTTAGCTGTCCTGAATCTTCCAACCTTTGTCTCCGCCAGCAGCAAAACATTTCCAGCCAGCTCTGCCATTTGGTGCACTTAAAAGATACGCGTGTGGGCCTGAGGCACGTTGCATCTGCTCCTCATACAGTTGTACCTCAGGTCACAGGGGCTTCAGGTTACAGGCGCTTCAGGTTACAGACTCCGCTAACCCAGAAATAGTACCTCAGGTTAAGAATTTTGCTTCAGGATGAGAACAGAAATCGCGTGGCGGCAACGGGAGGCCCCATTAGCTAAAGTGGTACCTCAGGTTAAGAACAGTTTCAGGTTAAGAATGGGCCTTCAGAACGAATTAAGTTCTTAACCCGAGGTACCACTGTATATCCAACACTATTTCACCCATGAGCATAGACAGCTGCCTCGTACTGAATCAGACCTTTGGTCCAGCCCAAGCTGTAACAGGAAGGAAGGCCATCCAGACGCCTGGGGAAATCCCTCAGGAAGAGTATTCTCGCCTCTCCCGAAACTGGCTTCCAGCAACTGCTATCCAGAGGCATCCTGCTTTCCCAAAAGTGGAGAAAGAACATAGCCATCATGGCTGGAAGCCATTGATAGCCTTCTCCTCCATTAAGTTGTCCCTTTTTAAAAAAAGCTATTCAAGTTGGTGGCCATCCTGTGGCAGGGAGTTCCACAGTGTAACTATGTGCTTGTCCTTTCTTTTATCTGTCCTGAATCTTCCAACCTTCTGCAGGCATAGTGTGCGCTCCAGCCACTAAGCTTTGAGGCCTTGGGAAATATTGCTTCCCACTCCAAGTCCCTGGGGATGGAGATAACTTTATTACAATACCAATAATAACAAGGCTTTCAGCACGGATGCCGATGATTCAACAGCAATTCATCAAACAAGCTGTCACGAGATTTTTCCACCTAGCAATTAAGATACATTTCATTGCGTTGTCAGAAAAGCAGCCCACGCTCAACGCACCTCGCAACCCGAAGGATCCTCACCCACTTTTTGAAAAGCCAAAACCGCTCATCTTCACCATCAACACTGCATGTGTGGCCCATCAATTAATCCAGCCCCTTTTCCTACACCAATGTTAATATACTGACTTGACAGTTATTCTTGCATTGGGAGAAAGTCTAGACACAGATATCCACCGCCTGGTCACATCGAGCCTTGACTACTGAAGTTGGGTCGGGGGTGTACATTGGGGCTACCCTTGAAGACTATTCAGAAGTCTTAATCAGGTTCAGGACAGATTACCATATTTCCTGGGACTTGCCAAGCCCAACCGTATTTTGCAAACGTTTTAAAGATCACCACTGCATTCTAGTAACCTTTCAGAAGCAAGGATATATGAAAGGCCAGCTGCATAGGCAGTCAGTCAACTGCTCTTCTGGTGCAGGGACTTCTTTGTGGTGGCACCCTGGTTGCAAAGACTTCAGTGCTGTTAGCTTTCATGTCCCAGAGAAGGCTGCTTTATTCTCTCTAGCTAATGTGGAGCTGGGAAATCCTGGACCCAGGAGCCAAACGCAGTCCCCCAGGCCTCTCTGCCGGGCCCTCCCTCCCTGCCTGTCCAGGCCCCACAGCCCACTCATTCATACCCACTTGAGTCTTCTTGCCTGGCTGGATAGTGTCCTTGAATGCTGACTGTGCCCCTCTGCTTCCCTGGACAGAGAACCGGGAAGAGATTGCAAGTGTGTGAAGAAAACATCCTGCAGTACAAAAGTATCATTTTCATTCATTGCTGAACCCATTTTTACCTCTGGCCCTCAGGCTGAAACCCCTGTTTGAGTGTATGTTGCTGCATTCTGCATTTCCTATCACAGAATGCTATTTTACTGCTTTTTATGACTTTTTACTGCATATTTAAATTGACGTCTTACTCCCAAGCTTCAACTTTTGTTAGGGGGCTTAAAAAAAACAAAAACGGGAAGATCACTTGGAAGAAATGGATCTTAGCCAGATTTTGTTTTGGGCTGCTTTTTTCCTTATATAGAATTATTTATTTTTACCCAGCCTAACATTCTGAAGAGTTTTGTACCATTGCCATATGAGTTGCCTGTTTTCGTTTTCCATTCTACAGTCGTACCTTGGATCCTGAACGCCTTGCGAGTCTAATGTTTTGGTTCCTGAACAACACAAACCTGGAAGTGAGTGTTCCGGTTTGCAACCGTTCTTTGGAACCCAAACATCCAACACGGATTCCGATCGGCTGCAGGAGCTTCCTGCAACCAATCAGATGCTGCACCTTGGTTTTCGAACGTTTTAGAAACCGAATGGACTTCCGGAAAGGATTTAGTTTGACTTCCAAGGTACCACTGTATTGTGCTTTCATGAGACAAAACCTTCCCCTGCTTGAGCTATCTCCCAAAGGAGGTCTGCAAATAAGTCCTTAAGGAAGGCCGCAATCCTAACCCCCTACTAACCTGGGATTAAGCTCCACTGATTTCAATAGGATTTACTTCTGAGTAGACATGCTTAGGCATCTGCTGAAACTAACTCCAGTACTGGGGGGCGGGGACCTTTTTCAGTTCAAGGGCCACATTCCTTGCCGGGGTAACTTCACAAAGGGCTGCATGTTTGGGGAGGCAAGGCAAAAGTGGGCGGATCACTCAATATATATGGTGCAATAAACCGGTTTGTGCCCATGCACACACAGAGAGCTCTCTCTATCTTCCATACATGCAAACAAGAGGCAAGATAAGAGATCAGGTACACCTTCCAGCCAGGGGGAAACACTCAAGGAGAGTGCAAAGCAAGGCCTGTAGGAGCAGACCCTCCCAGTTTCTCTATTTTCCAGGGACATCCCTGATTTAGAGAAGCCGTCCCAGTTTCTGACTTGATCCTGGAATGTCCCACTTTTCCTTAGGACGTCCCTATGTTGGAGAGTATGGAGTTATCCGAGCCCCAAGCCGTCTGAAGGCTATCCTGTGTAGGGAAGTTTGTTTAATGTTTTTATTATGTTTTTATATATGTTGGAAGCCTCCCAGAGTGGCTGGGGCAACCCAGTAAGATGTGTGGGGTATGAATAGTAAAATTATCATTATGGAACGGGATGTCCCTATTTTCATCGGAGAAACGTTGGAGGGTATATAGGAGTGTGTGGCCTGGTGAAGGTTCTGAGGGCCAGAAAAAGAGTTCTAGAGGGCCACGTTTGACACCTGCCACTGGTCTCGTCTCCCCATCCCTGGCATAAATGATTAGTATTTTTTGTTGGTCAAAAAGAACAACGTAAGTCTCTACTTCTTGAAACTACACATCGTAAGGCTACATAACAGTGTACACACTGGGCTGTAATCTGTCTAGCCTAACTCACAGGGTTGTTGCAACGATAAAATGGATGAGGGACACTGGGGAGATGGGCATAAATGCAAGAAAGTGTAAAATAAACCTCCAGTTCAAATTTCACATCAGTCACAAACTCAGTGGTCCTGGGTATGTTATATTTCTCTCTCTCATCACACCCTGCATATACAGGACTGGTCAATATTACAGGGCTGGTGCCCAAATTGCCAAGCTAATGTGGGTGAAGCCGTTTTGAAAACTTGAAATCCACAACTTTAAATGTGAATGATTATAAAACAGAGTTGGCAGCATGCAGAAGACTTTTTGACCAAGGAGATCAGAGTTCAAATCCACCCTCAATTATTGCAGCTGAACTACGGTGCAACGTAACCTGCTTCGTATTATTGTTTTTGTTAGAATTAAATGTGGGTGGGGACACATGGAAGCTCCTTGGGAGGAAGGACGGGATACAAGGAGAAGAAACAATGATCTTTTGAATGCACTCAAGAGATGCCACCTTCTGGGTTAAGTTTCCTGCAGCCAGAAACTCAACAGGTGCAGTCCCTTTGCTTGAAGGAATGGTGAATCGTAGAATTCCTGCCTGCTAGGCAGCTATTGAAAGGCAAAGCCCCACAAGAGAAAAGAAAATATAAGTAGCAATTCTGTTGGGAGTAGGGCTGGGAGGAAATAGCAGGCTTGCCTCTTCTTCCTTGGACTTGCACAATCAGGCTGGCCAATTGTTTCTGGAACCCCAGACCGGATGCCAAGCTCCTTCCTGGAAAACTGTGGCCTCCTCACCTTAAGTTTTGCCCAATTGCAAGTCAGGTTCTCTCACACTCCCACAACTGAAGTGGCAAAGAGGTTACACGCGCACACAAAATACTACTTTTAAAAAATGCAACACACCAGCTTTGTGTTATTGCTCCCCTGCTCACCAAACATGCTGTTCCCTGAATCCAAATACCTTTAATGCTGCAATCCTAACCATGTCTTCTCAGAAGTAGGTCCTGTGGAATTCAGTGGGGCTTACTCTCCAGTAAGCGGCATTAGGATTTTTGCAGATTCAGCAATCCTAAACTGTATTTACAAAAGATCAGGCCTCATCCAACACAGCAGGACTTAGTTATCTCTCTGTAAACATGCATAGAGTTGTCCCATGACTGTGGAATAAAAACTCCCATTTTAAGAGACAAGCAGCAAACCCCACTTACTTGGGAGCAAGTCCCATTGAGTTCAATGGGGCTTACTTCTGAGTAGACATAGTTAGGGCAGCACTGCTATTCTTAAGTGAACATGTTTTACCCCATCAGCTTTAGTATGTCCCTTTTAAAAAAAGGCTTTCATTCCCTCCTCCCCTTGAAGGTGGGGGTGGTACCCTTTAATGTTCAGAAAGGAGACCACACCTTGAATTTTTTTAAGGTGCCACAAGGTTACTTTGATTAAAAATACACTTTTTTATATCTTCCAACCTCACCCCACAAACAAAGGGACCATCTCCCCACCCTTATATCAACTCTTCCAGGGTTAAATTAGTTTGGGAAGTCTGCACCTCTCCATACACGCCCCCCCCCCCAAATCAATGAAAGCCTTTACCCTTTGTCTGCACCACCCCATAAAAATGAGGGGGGCATGCAACTCACAAGTAACTTCACACACGCACACAACACGAGTGAATTCCCCAAGTTTCAACGTCTGGTATCATTTCCCATTGGTGATTTGCTTCTCTTACCTTACAATTCTCGCTGTGTCCTTTGGTGGGATTGTCCCGGGGGGGGGGGGGAACCTGCAGGATTTTCCCCGGGGTGTTGGCGGGGGGACGGGAAAGAGGAGTAAAGCACCGAGGCCACTCCCTCCACCTCCCCAAAGCGAGAAGAACAGCGTTTACACATTTCGCCCCATATCTCAGGTTCTACAAATGCTAGAAACTTGCTCTTTTCAAACAAATGGAAGCTAGGGATCTGGAGATTATATTCGGGGGCGCAGTTGGGGTCTCTGCCCCCATCTTGCCCCCCTGCAGACGCCCAGGGCTGTTGCCTCCCCCTTATCTCTTTGTTGCAAACTTCAATAGATCTACCCTTACTCGCAACTCGACCCCACATTCTCGACCCCCACGGCTTGCAAGTTTCACTCCATCCTCCAAGCGCCCAGCTGAGGCTACGACCACGACCCCGGGCACGCTTTCCCTGGAGTAAAGCCCCGTTTAAAAGAGCGGGGCTTACTTCCGAGTAGACCCGCGCGCTACTTCCTCTTTTTTTAAAGTTGCACACGCATCCATCAACTTTGCAGCCTCCCTTCCGCGCAAAAAATAAAATAACAAAAATAAAATCCAAAAAAAACCCCTCACCTATCTTCCCCTGCGAAGAGGTTCCGGGGCTCGCCAGAAGCTGCTGCCACCTTTGCTTACTTGCTGCCGTTCAGTGCGCGCGCCTCTGCGCTTCCCCGGGCCCCCGTCGGGAGGTGGAGCGGCTCCGGGAAGGCCAGCCCCCGGCAAGGGAGGCCCCTCGGGGCGGGGACTCCTGCGCCGCTGCAGGAGGTGCGTTTACGCAGCTGGCTGGCTGCATGGTCTAAGCGCGGAGGTTTCTCGGGGTCCCGGGGCTTCGCCCCAAGAGAACAGGTCTCTGCCCCGAGGGAGCTTGCAATCTGGAGAACGCGGAGGAAAACGAGGAACGAAGATAAGGTGGTTTGCCCAAGTCTTGGGGTAGAGATTGGTGGTTTGTTGGTTTACAGGGAGTTCAGAATCGTAGAATTGCCGAGTTGGAAGGGAACTAAAGAGTCATCTAGTCCAGCCCGCTGCAATACAGGAGTCGCAGCTAGAGAGCCGGACATAGGGTTGCCATGTGTCCTCTTTTTCCAGGACACGTCCTCTTTTTCAGGGGTAAAATTTGGGACAAATTGCATTTATGTGCTTTGAATGGCCATCATAGTGTCATTGTTATTATTGTTGTTATTATTATTGTTGTCATTTTTCATACAGAATGGTTATTGACATAAGTACATACAGAATGCAGTAAGAATATTGAATGTAACAAATAAAAAATAATAAAAAGACAATACAGAGGGGAGGGGGAAACTAAGAGATAACAGAGTACAGTGCCACATACAATTATCACAGACAAAAAAGGTGAGTCAAATTAGTTTTCAATAAAGCTTGTCCACATATTTACCTGTGGAGCAGGAGGTTTAGTGGATGAGTTAACATAGGAGAAAAACTTATACCATAGGCATATAAAATAAAAGTAGTCTATTTTTGAAGGGGGTTTAAGTGTCTATATTTCAAGCTCCGAAACCGAAATACCGGTATTTTTTAATGTTTTAAGTGACTAGTGCTATAGAAATTAATCAGTCAATCAACCTTGAGTTCCCTTGGAGGTTTTGTTTATTGCTAGGGCTTGTGGCTGATGCAAATAACGATTCTATCTATCCCTTGGAGGGGAAAGGTGGGGTACAAATGCAATAAGCAAATACTAAACTTGCCACTGATGCAAAACAGGCCCCCACCAAAGCCTCTCTCTTACCTGCGTTGCACAGTAGCTCCTGCAAAGCAGTGGTAGCAACGGTGGGTTCTGGTGAGATCTTGTGTGCTGCACATCATTTTGTGTGCTCTGCAAGATCTCGTGAGATTTGGTGAGATCTCGCAAGATCTCACCAGAAGACACAGCTGCTGCAGCTGGTACGGCTTCTCCACAGAGTCACTGCTCCTTGGACTTCTGCTGCCTGAGGCAACTGCCTTAGTCTACCTCATGGGTGGGCCGAGCCCTGACTGCGATGTTTTCCCCAACTAATGCTTTATTGGTGTCAGGAGTGACCCACTTGTGCAACGAAAAGCAGGATGAAGAATGCTTGTTAATTAAAAAAAGGCACTTTGGGCTCAACCAGACTTGATGCTTCGCTTTGAGGAAACCCAATCTTTACAGCTGAATCAGAACAAACATTGACTGGGTTTTCTGCAAATTGATGTTTGGAACTAGCTGTTTTTAATTGTAATTTGTTTATTTTTTGGAATGTTTCAACTGCTTCTGGTTTGTTTTTAAATCATGTATCTATTTACCCTAGGCTCCTTGGGGAGGAAGAACAAGATTTAATAATAATAGTAAACATCTTTTGAGCAGCAGTACTACACTTGGTGAAGATGTGGTCACTGAACACAGATTTCTCATGACATGTACAGTGGTACCTCGGGTTACAGACGCTTCAGGTTACAGACTCCGCTAACCCAGAAATAGTACCTCGGGTTAAGAACTTTGCTTCAGAATGAGAACAGAAATCGCGCAGCGGCAGGAGGAGGCCCCATTAGCTAAAGTGGTACCTCAGGTTAAGAACAGTTTCAGGTTAAGAACGGACCTCCGGAACGAATTAAGTTCTTAACCTGAGGCACCACTGTATTATCTAACATATTAGGCAGTGGAATGTTTTCCCATTGCATTTTGTATTTTGTTTGTTTGTACACCTCCATGTTGAAGGACTTTCCATTCCAATAAGCTGTTTTGGAAATCTAGGCCTGGAATTCGGAAGGGGGCTTTTTCCTCCCCTGAACCCATTTTCAGGAGATGCCCAGACTCACCCAAAGCCTGCACCCAGCCTGGCCAGCCAAACAAAGAAGCCCTTTATTTTCGAAAGAGCCAGAACACAATGTCGTCCTGAGCTGCGGTGGTACACAGAGCCTTTTGTCTGCACAGCAGAAAAAGAAAGTCGCGTGAAATTAGTGTTGCTTCTGTTCAACAACAAAAAACAGGATGAAATGTTCAGATAGAGGGGTTTTAGGCAGAGGGTTGCAGGAAACACCTTTTGAAGTGAGGCAGCGGAAGATGTAGCAGTTAGAGCAGTGGCTCTCAAAGGATGCAACACTCCACACTGGTGTGGCATGAAAAGATGGCAAGTGTGGCAGGAAGATTCAAGGACACTCAGAGAAAACAGTTAAACATTTCAGTACAGTATGGTATCCAAATATTGTTTTTATTTGCAGAATGTGGATAGGTATCTTTTCAAAACCAAGCACTGATAGGAGTCGTTTCTTTTTGTTTTCCTATGTATTTCTTATCAATAAAAAATATTCGGTGTGGCGCGAGCAAATTTTTATTCTGAAAGTGTGGCCGAGGGGAAAAGAGTGTGTTAGGACCTAGGAGACCAGGTTTCAAATCCCCAGTCAGCTATGTAGCTCACTGGGTAGCCTTGGTCCTGTCACTCACTCTGAGCTTAACCTACCTCACAGTGTTGTTGTGGGGATTAAATGGGAATGGGGGGGGGGAGAGAACTATGCTTGCCACTCTTGTAGGCACTCAAGAGTGGCTTGTGAGAGCCATGTGGTCTGAGCTGCAGCAACCAACTCAAACCTCTTCACATGCTGAGCTGCTCAGATGGACAGGGGTGGGAGTTTAACAATAATCACGAGTTTTAGTTCTTTCCAAGGTGAGGGGAAGCAGTTTTCAACCTTTCTGAGTCCATGTCTCCCTTGGCCAACCATATTCTTTCTACAGCATTACACTGGGGTTCCGTTACAGGACACACTGTTAGTGGGAAATTCCCTATTCTGCCCCTGGGGAGATATGTATATATGCAGGAAGATAATGGGCTGCAAGTTAACAAAAGAGGGGGGGACACCCCTGAATGTTCCTCAATTTACCCCAGGGTGCCATGGCACACTGGTTGAAAACCACTGATCTATGGTATTAACCCCTTCACGCAATAATTAGGCGTAAGCATGTTGGTTATATGAGACTGGTTATCCCACCGTTTCAAGGCCCTGTGCCTCAAGACTTAGCCGCTCTGAGTCTCATTGCAGTTAAAGGCAAATTTACCTAATCCACACTTTCTGAAACAATAAACAAAACCAAAATGCAGCCCTCCTTCAAAAATTGATATTGTGCAGTGGGGTTCTCTAGGTAATGTATACAAAATGCCTACATTAGGGTAAAATGTGCCTATAATTCCATATGTGAGTAAATATAAGTTTAACAAATGCAGTATGTTGCAAAAATGTATATATTATGCAAAAATGCATATAAAAATGTGTGTGATGAGTTCCATTAAACTGCTGGTGAGTTCAGGAGTTCTTAAAAAAAATGTTTAGCAAACTGATGTGGAAATGTGTAGAACTGAAGACTGAAGAAACTGAAAAACTGAGAGAAAGCTACATTTGTAGATTTATAGATCCCTAGTAACAACGCCCCTGCCTAGCTGAAGCTTCTGAGTCAATGCCCGCCTGTCATTCACAGGATCCAAACGCAAATTGCTCAGCTTCATGTCTTAATGGCTTCTGGCAATGCTTAATCACACATTCTTGATTATGGGAGACAGGCTGCCTTGCAGCAAAAATGCTCACTCCCTCCTTGCAGAAAGTTTGCATCCCACTGCTCTCTAAGCCTAAATATGTCAGATTTTGCTTTGCTTACACAGCTTAAGCCTGTGTTTGTGCTTTCAGATTTAGAAACTACCAGTCCAATATGCTTTGAACATCGCAATTAAACTCTTTAAGACACAATTTCTATGGGGTGTCATGATCCTTTTAGCTTTACTGATCATTTAATCATTTGCATATTATCTTATGATACACCACTTTGGGCCATCCCATCCATGAGACAAGGTGAGGTGATTGCCTCAGGCGGCAGGATCTACAGCACTGCTATTTTTCTAGGAAAAGAAGTGCCGCCTTCCTCGTCTCTTATAATGGCAATGGCACCTGCCTGAGAGGTGCCAGAACTGAGTTCCAGCGAGTTCCAGATGAAGAAAAAAAAGCCTTGGGCAGCAGATCCCAATGTAGATCTTTATTCCCCATTTGTTGGGGTTGTACCGTAAGTCTTCACTCCCTCCTTTGGAGTGGGGGGGGGGGGCGGGAGACACCATTTTGTGGTTTGCCTCAGGTGCCAAAATGTATTGGGCCAGCCCTGAGATGCAGTTTATAAAATCTGCAGATGAAAGAGCAAGTATGAATAAAATCTCCCCTCATGACACAGGGCAGGGAGAATGAGGGCCTTTTAACCCCTCCTGAAACTGACAGTCAGCAAAATTCAAGAACCGCTCTGCTTTCACCACACACCGGCAGAAGCTACGAGCGGGGATAAATCTCGCCCATTCGTTGCAGTGCCCCCATTGTGCTAGTTTTGCTGACAAAGCCCTCACCCCCAAGCAACAGGTTGCTGGACAACAGATAATGGTCACAAGCTGTGGATCATTTTGAATGAAGGCCAGGCCAAGGTATCTCTGAGGCTAGGGTGGAAAGGCTCAGACCGAACCAGCCTCACCCATATACAGACACACAGCTTCACATGTGGCAGGTTATTTTAATCCCTGGACTTAATGGTCTTTATTTTCCAGGCAGAGAGCTCCTGTGCCCTGCGCCACTGACTTCTTTCTCTGTGGTCCTTGGTCTGTTGCGAAACGTGCCTTTCCTTACCGAAGGCGCTTCCTTTTCTTATGCCTCCTTCTCAGAACACTTTGGAATTTCCTTAGAACTTCAGTGGTGATGGA